CTCTATCGACGGCGATACAGGGGCGCGAAAACCTTTGCTTGGTTCCCCGAGAATCGTATATGGTGATTGGAATGGTCCATACGCCGTAGGTAGGGGCGCCTTGTCGGCCTACCACTTCTAAAAGGGGAGCATTGTACTTGGCTTGATCGAAGTGATATTTCTGAACGAATTCATAACTGACAAGGTCTACCTCTGCGCAGGTGTCGATATCTGCGTGCGTTTCGATATCGTTTCGGACACGAATCGGGACATGGAGGCGGGCGACTGTTCCTACTTGAGGCCAGGAGTCGGAACTTGTAGGAGCTAGTTCGACTCCGGCGCTTTTCCCGAGTTTCTCGATCGAGTATCGTTGCGATGATACCAGGGTCTCGAACGAGCTTGCTGGATCTTCGCCCCTGGGGCTCTTGGCGGTAGACGACATTCGCTTGCCCAATGGCCCGGCTTGCCACAGTTGAAACAATTGTTTAAAGGGGTTCTGATAGATTGGTTGATCCCTCCGACAGGTGTATTATTTGGATTGTTATCGTTTCGAGGGGGAAAACGGACGAGGGTTACCACCGAAACGAGGGGGATTCGGGTGTGAGTTGGAGTTGTTTTGATTTGGGTATGAGTTGGAGTTGTTTTGATTCGGGTATGAGTTGTAGTTGTTTTGATTCGGGTTGGTTCTAGGACCGTGAGGACCCTTTGAGTATGGATTTCCAGGACCCTTTTGATCTCGTTCTTTGCCATTGGACCGGTTCGGGAACGAGTCATTGAGTCGTGGGTGTTTTGAGCTCGAATTGGAATCATTGTTGAATGGATTGCGCTTATGCGCTTTTGCTTTAGTAAATTCCCAGGTACTCTGTGCTTCTTCTACCCATTGTGCTCGAGTTTCTGGAGAAACCTTTGCATACTGTCGAATATGTAGTGTCAACCACGGCTGTAGCTTCGACATATAGCGGCGAGCTTGCTCGTCCCGGGAGACCTGAGGAAGGTGACGTTCTAGGTCTGCGAGACGGTGGTGAAAGACCTTCGGTTCTTCATCGGGTCGCTGGCGGCAACGCTCCATCTCGTCGCTAACTTCTCCAGTAAAGGTATTTTTGTTGTACATCAAGGTAAGAGTCCATTCCTTGAAATACTCCCAGCTGCCGAAGCGGTCGTCATGATTATCTTCAAGGTATCTCTCTTCTGCAGTCCAGTCATTCTTGCAGTCAGAGTCGAGATATTTGACTCCTGCGAGGATCCTCATTTCCTCATCCTCGTAGACTTCGGGATTGCCTCGGAAGACATATCCAAGCTGAGAGAGCCAGTTTCCTCGCTCCTGAAGGCTAAAGGATCTCTTAAATTTATCGACCTCGAAACCCTCTACTTTCTTGCGCTTTTTGGTCTCGGTTCCCTTGCGATTCTCAGATAGCTCGTCTAGGAAGGTTCCGGTATTTAGATTTCCAGAAACCTGAGCGGAAAGCTCTTTGATGCGGGCCTGGATCGCCAGGAACTCTTCAAGACGCTCCAGTTCGCGTCTCTTCTCTTCCAGACTGTCCGTATTGATGCTTCTAGGCTCGGGGATGCTCTCGGTTACAGGTTCACCTGCGATTCCCCTGATCTGCATCCCACGAGAGGGGGGGAGGAGATGCGTCAGCATCGTGTACGGTGGCTCCGCGGATTGATATCTGATCCGGCTCAGGTTCTATAGGGTTTTCATGCCGATCCGGGGCCGATTCGATCTCGGGTCGAATCGTAGGAGGGGGGGGTGTAGCGACTTCGGATCGTGCACTACTGCGGGAGGATGCAGGGTTTCGTCGTGTAGAGGGTACCATCTTCAATCCTTGGGTAGTCAAGAGAGAAGAATCAGAATTGTAATGGTTACTAAGTTGTCAGGCTAGAGACCTGTGACTAGGCAAGGATATCGGACGGTAGAGATCAGATTGGGCAGTCGATACAGAGACTGATTCTTGAGAGGATCAAGAATCCTGAATGCTTGTGGGATCTTAAATACATTAGGGCTCGGGTGGATGTCGATATGCAGGTGACTCAAAGGGGATTCGTCCATGAATCGGCCTCGAGAGTCCGGGGTATCGTATACTTCGAATCCCGTGACAAAACTAGTTTATCTTCTAGAATTTTAAAAACTATAAAAATAATTACTCTATTCCTATATACCTTTATATAATATAAGATAGTTAAGATCTATATATCTAGCATTTTAGTCTTAAACTACTAATAGCTTTTCTAAAAGACTAATATAATCTTATAATTAACTAGTATTATATTAGATAGGAGAACAAAGGATCCTTTAAGTCTTAGGTCCTTATTAACTATAATATAGGGTTAATTTAGTATTTTTTTAGTACTATAGAAATTATAAATAATAAGAGAAATATTCTATATACTATATATAGATATATCTTTTTTGACTACTGTTTAAATTAATAGTAGGTTAAATTTAGTATTATTAAGCTTATGTTCCTTAATAAAGTTAAAGCTAACTAGATTAACCTTAGTATATATATCTAGATTAGTATAGATTTAAATATTATTCTTTATTATAATAGGAATATATAACTAAATAACTACTTCTACTTATAGCTATAAACTAAGACCTATAGGATCTAGTCTCTATTAGCTTTTTCTAATTACTTTAAAGTAAATTTTCTTTTTAGCTTCTTATATTCTTATTCTATTATTTTAAAGTTTTATATATTTAGAGGATATTCTTTATTAGTATTTAAGAATTAATAAGATTTATTATAGCCTTTTAACTTTTTTCTAATCTATTTTAAGTTATATTTAAGTTTTAACTTATTAGAATAGTATAGTTATTTATTTAAATTATTATTATAGATACTAGTATTTCTAACTATAATATAGAGCTGAATTAAGATTTCTTTCTAAGGCCTTATCTTTCCTAGGCTTTATTTAACGTAATTCCCGCCTGAGTAAAACACCCCACCAGGAATCGTATGTTCTTACCTACTTACCTACTTTAACTATCTATTATACCACCAAAACATACTAAATCCTGGCAAAAAGTGACCGAGAAAAAGGGCAGAGTCCTATTAGCCTTATAAGTTATTTAATAGGGTTAATTTAAATTAATTTATACAGCTCTAAAGTAATTTGGTGTATCTTATGTTACCTTATCTTAACAGGTGAATAGCCTACCCTTATACGTCGATAGGCATCGCCATAACCTATTTTGGGTTGAAGAACCCAACCTAACCCAAAACCTAATGGGTTAAACCCAATAACCCAATAGGTACCTATTTTAACCTATTTTTATATAATTTATTTATAATTTTTATATAGTATATCTTAATACTTAATTTATATCTGTTTTCTAGAAGGATTTAGATACTAGGATCCTACATATATATATATATATATATATAGTATTAATTATTATATATTCAAATTTTAGGACTAAAATAGATACACACTGGGTTCCTAAATAGGTTATAGAATTAGACCTAAAACCTATTTTGGGTTGGGTTGGGTTGGGTTAGGTTGGGCCCGGGTTATAGTGGGTTCTGGCGATGCCTAAGGATGTCCGAGGATACAATATCGTGTTCAGCCAGTTGATGAATACTTCAAAATTCACCAGGTACGCATATATTGTGCTCATCTTGTTAATGGTCTGTCGCGTAGATAAGAGGTAGACATAGATAGCAGATATTGTGGCTGGGAGAGTCTCTGAGATGTTGCTACTGGGCCGCAAGGAGCAGGAAGGCCTCTGGGACCGCGGGCGATAGGATGGCATCTTTATGAATATTTGAGGTAATGTTTCTCAGATTCTAATTCAAGGACGACTTGGAGTTTGTACCACTGTCTTGTGCGGGGAATTACTGTTATGGAAGTACATGGCGCTGAAGTTTAATAAACAGCCACAATAGATGCATGCCGCGGAACTCCGTCGGGCTTGTCCGGAACCCCGCAGACTCTCGGAAAGCAAGTCATCTGATTATCTGCAGCACACAATTTTCAGAATACTACATCAGCTCCGACGAGTTCTAAGATCACGAGAGATGTAAACTTAGCTTGGGTCCTTTCAGCTTCTTTCAGGTTCTCTTGCGCAGCCGTTCCGATGTCCGCAAAGGGGCTGCTGCTTCAATAGATTGCAGCCTCGGTGACGTGTTTGATCTTAACAATTTCTTTCATATGGACGCTAAAATTTTAGTACTGCTTGGATTCGCCTTGATAAGCTTTGCTGATGCGATAGGAGTTTCCTCTACCACTGCATTTGGCTAAGCTAGATCTAGGCCCGGACCAAGTGGACTATCGGCGAGTTCGATGCTGAAACTCCTATTCTCCGTCTTGAGACATATTTAGAGTCCACAAAAAGGGTACCCCGCCGAAAGTATAATCGATTGGAAGGCTGACAGCCACTCGGGTACAGAAAGTGCTTGTATATTAGATTCAAACTCAATTTGGTGAATAGTCCCATCCATAACTTTCAAGTTCATTCAAGGTGGTATCGTCATTATTGACCAAGCATGAGGTAAAAGAGTTCACTCTCATCCAGTGAAATTTTTTTTATACACAGGCGGTCTATCTTCGCTTCTTATCTGATCTTGTCAAGTTTTGAAGCAATCTGTTGCTATAATAGGGTTTCTGGCCAGCTAAGTTCATTCAAAGCTTGGCGTTAAATGCCGCCGATCACAATTCCTTTCTTATCAGAGTTGCACTGAACAAGCGGAGGTGAAGAGCTGAGAAACTAGTGAGATAAAAGAAAATGAAATACCAATCAAGATCTGACATGCTCTATTGTAACCTCGGGTAAATAATATAATTCCTAGTGCTCGGAGACTATCCATTTACGAAATAGTCAAGTTAAAGGATCACACCTTCCTGTTCGCGCCTACTTTGCTCGAAATGCCCAATTTATAGACCGGTTTAAGTATATAAGAGGCATTTCGACCCTAAATATGCAGTTTCTCGTCTAGACTCACTATCAGTATTTCAGTAGTTGCATCTCTATTCTCCTCTCCTCCAAATATTTTCTACGGTCTCAATTGCTCTCCACAATGAAGATTTCAGCAGCCACCATTCTTCTTTTGGCGGGCTCTGCCATTGCTAGTCCACTGGCAGCCCGTGTCGCTCGCCGTGCTGGGGTCTCTCGTCCAAGAATACGCGTCGATCCCAATATCAACGAGGCCAACGATGCTGAGCAGAGCTCCAACTGGGCTGGCGCAGTCTTAGTCTCCTCTGGCTTCACTGAAGTCTCTGGAACTTTCACTGTTCCCAGCCCTCAAATTCCATCTGGAGGTGACCAAAGCACCCAGTACTGCGCTACTGCCTGGGTCGGTATTGATGGCGATACATGCTCAACTTCCATTCTTCAAACTGGAGTTGACTTCTGTATCCAAGGCAGCGATATTAGCTACGATGCCTGGTACGAGTGGATTCCAGCCGGTTCGGTGGACTTTAGCGGTATCAGCTTCAGCGCCGGAGACTCTGTATCCGTGAGTGTTGTTGCTACTAGCAAAACAACTGGAACTGCCACTATTACCAACAACTCCAATGGGCAGAGCGTCACCCATAAATTTACCTCAAGCGAGACCACTAGCTCCCTCTGTGAGACCAACGCGGAGTGGATCGTCGAGGATTTTACCCTCATCTCCTCCTCCGGCCAGCAATCGCTTGCTCCCTTTGCCAACTTCGGAACTGTTACCTTTACCGATGCCATTGCTGTGAAGAATGGAAACCAAGTTGATGCCTCTGGTGCCAATACCATCTCCCTCGTTGACGGAAATGGCAATGTCCTGGCTTCCCCTAGTGTCCAAGGCAGCACCATTACTGTTACTTACCAGTAAAGGAAGTGCAAACAGTGTCTATACAGACAAGATCCCTGCTAAGTCTTTTGTATGTTAAATCTTTGTTATTAAATAATGAAAGGAAATATGCATATATTATTGATGCGAGAAGGTTTAACAAGCGCCAGGTAATATTTTGTTCTCAGAGTGCAGTGTGGCTTCGTATTGTGTGAATTGATGGACACTGGCATCACTGCCAAAGTGAATGAAAACACTTAAAATGTAATGATAGTTCTTGGCTTCTCAAAGTCATTTTGAGCCGGATAGTAAGATTCTGAGGTTTTCCTAGGGGACACTGAAGACTCAAAACACTTCACATTCAAACAACTAGAAAATCGTCCTTATTGGTGGGCTTATGAGACGATGGTGCATCCACTGTGGCACGGGCCATCATGAGCAGCTACACTCTCCCTTCCCCATGCTTACGGTATGACTGGCATGATCAAGGAAGGTGGCTATAATACGCTGTTATGGGCGATGTTATTCTAGTCGTTGGCCCAGAACAGTTTAAGCTGCGTGTTTATTCACTCACTCTCAAGGCAACGTCAAAGCCAATTACGGTCATGTTAGGGCCAAACTGGACGAAGAGCCATACCTAATGGGGACAATAAATATGAGAAGCCAGATTTATTTAGGTAATTGAGAGATTATTAGCTTAAAGCGGTGGCTGTGGTACTTATTTTTATTCCTTTGAGTTCTAATGGATCACCACGGAGTAGATGGCTATCCCTTGATTACATCTCCCAAGCAGCACATAGCACTCGCTTGTGTGCGTATGCGTGTGTATGTGTATAAAAGAAGCAAGATTTTAACTATTTCTGATCTAATATGAATACTCAAGTTGCCGCACAGTTGAGCTTTATTTGACGCGTATAATATGTGCTGTCAATTAGTGCGATCTAGTTCTTGGCTGTATAGTATGTTGTAACCATTAACCATCATCTTGGCCCTATTAAAGAACATACTAACTGGCCAGATAAGAAACCCACAGTTACATAACATCTTTTTTACTTCATTAATATGTCTTATACAAAGTCAAAGCCAACCAACCCAACTTTGAAATAATAATCGAAAAGTAAACAGATTATGAAGCTGTATAAAGGCCATGAATACCCTGCTAATCTCCAAGACAGGCAAATCTAACTCAACAACCAGACCACGTGCTCAGAAGTCTATTGCATTTCAGTTACCCCTGGCGTGAGCTTATTGCTCCCTTGACTTTACCAGCTGTCCAGGTAATAGAGAGGTAGAAGCTAATATTTCTTAATTGATTTCAGTATTCATCATGCGCCACTTCATCTTCCCCGGAACCTTTCTCCTAGCGGCCCTTGCCAATTTTTCTTATGTGGCTCCCTCATTGAATGGCACTTTGAATAATGCAATCAACACGCAATGGGGCATATTCTGTTCGGATACTAAATGTAGCGAGGACTAAGGAAAATAGGTTGATATGAGCAATCCAGGTTGCCTCAACTGGGATGGCGCTGGATTATTATTCGTAAAAGATAGCTCTGAGGCAGGTTTTATGCTTATTGCTTTGAAAGATGCAGACTGTCCCTGCCAGACCATCTGTGATGAAGAGACTTACAAGTGGTTGGTATACCGGTTGTCATAAGCTTCCCTCAGATATGTGCTCCTGGCGACGGGTGAGGGACAAGGATGGCTGCCCTGATAAGCAGTGCGCCTAAGCATAACAACTATCTCTTGGCCCCTCTCCATGTTTATATGGATTGAGGAGTGCCGCATAAGCGTATGGATTCTGGCTGTGCGTCTACTTAGGGCTAAAGACATGCCTCATTCATGTTATCTAGATTATTTCACACTCTATTTGAATTGCTTGATCATTCTTATTACACGCAAATCTGACTTTTTGACCTATTATTCTGTCCTAAAAACTATCTTCATTTTATCTGTTTCTCTTATATATTACTTCACTTCGAGACTCAACGCCCATATCGGTCTATGACAGCCCTGAATAAAGAGTATCACAAACCTCTATTGCAGTAGGCTACTTTTCTGGATCATAGATAGAGACTTTCCATATGATAGATTGTCTGTGCGGTCGACTAGATTAGCATTGGGGCCAAACTTGCAATTTTTCAGCGAGGTCATGTTTGAGATTGGTTCTAGACTGACCTTTTTCCTTTTCTCTAGACTTAGTATTATACATTTAATACACTTATTTCATCATAACCAGGCCCCTGTTACAGTCCTGAGCTCCTTACAGTAGAGCAGTATATCGATTTTGCTAAGAGATATGTGGATTTATTCGATCTGAGTCCTTATATGTGTTATCTGATCTTAATTGTTATATATTGATTAATTGATTTTAATATATAATACTGTACTACTAATCATCAGGATACTCGTCTCGGACATTACTGATAAATGCCTGTGCCACCCTGTCCCACCTTTTAAAATGCTTACCAGCAATACTCGTCAGGCTTGAAGGTAGCTCCTCAATATCAGGCAGAATAAGGCTGATATTCTCCTCGGCAACATAACGAACGCTTCGGTCTTCGACTAGAACATGGTAAAAGCTCTGGTGGCGGCCAGCCTGCAAACGATCGATCCCCATCCGCCTCATCCACTGCTCCCCAGCACCACATTCAGAATCCCAGCCAGTGATGATAGCCCGGTAATGATAGCGACGATGCTGGAAGACTTGTCCTACCTTATACCGGACAGCTCTGTTCTCACCGGTGCGCCGATGGATCTGCTTTGGAATCTCGTCCACGGCTCGCATGACGTGAAGGCTTTCGAGGATATGCTCGTGTTCAAGAAGGCCATTGAACAAAGGCACAATATACTGCTCCACCAAAAAAATATCAGAGGGAAAGTCTGTCGCAAAAAGCTCCATCAACAATGATAATTGATGTCGTAGATCCATTGGCCGTGAATCGGCCGAAAGAAGCATCGACGACCACGAAGCCGCATATTTTGCACTCACGATATCCACCGGTGTAGCATGGAAATCGAATTGCCTAGTCGCAGAATGGATCGAGTTCACAATGTTCTTGCTGCATCTCATAACAACCTCCGAGGGAAATGATTCGCCAAGGAATTCGCTCTGCTCTGTTTCTGATGCGCCGAGGAATATCAGCTGTTGTCGGAGGTCGGAGACCGGTGTCTCCCTTGCACCTCTAAATGGATCGAGATACATAGGCGAGCCGGGTTCAGTGCCAGTGACTTTGTTCCCGTCCATATCGAACCCGGTTTGTGGAGTAACGATAACATGGACATGAAATGGGAATCCACAAGGATGAGACTCAATTCCAAGCGCCTGGGCAACGTGGCAATATATGACCGCCGAGATCAATGGCAAAGAGTTGTGTCCCGGGCTATTGAGAGCCATCCCCAAGAAGTTGTGTTCCAGAGAATGGTACTCTCGCCCCGATTCGATGCCTGTCAGGTTATTCGCTCGCAGCCAAGACGCAAGTTCGAGAGCTTTCGCCCGGGGGCTTTGATCATCAAAATCTGGGTGGGAGGTCGCGAATTGGTGGACCACTTGGGCCATGGCATGCTCAAGCTAGAACATCTTTAGCCAGGGTAATTTGGAGATGGCTGAATTTGGAAGAACAAACCTCGTCAAAGTCACCATACCCGCTTTCCGGGATGAAAAGGTCGAATGCGCCCAGGGCGCGATTAAGTGAGATTGTCTCACCACGTCGCAGTTTATCCCACTCTGGAACAGCGATACTTCGGTGTAGGCAGGTCAAAAGGGCACGGGCATAGTATCTTAGGCTCGAGGAACAATGGTAAGCTTTGAAGAACCGAAGATATGCAGGAGATTGCCTGATTGAATACGCACCTCCTTGCGAGATGGTCCTCACCATCTTGTACTTCGCTATTCCGTAACAGCGTATCTTTTGCATCGTAAGCGAACTCGATCACAGCTCGGAACTTCTCAATCCGACCTGCCTGGCTGGCGAGAATACTGTTCAGGAGCTGGGTGACGGAACCATCGATATGATATCTCAGCATAAATAAGGCTTTCCAATCTACCGATGATGCTGGGAGGATAAATTTCCGGTGGATGTCATGTCGCCGGTCCCAGAACTTGTAGTAGGTTCGGCAATAATGCCGCCATAGCAAGGGCCGTTTCGTCACATCTCCGAACCGGCGACTGGTTTGTTGGAGAGCTGTAGCAGACCGCGGTTGTGAGTGACATAGGATCGAATGAAGGATCTCTTCCGGCAGGTGATTGAGAGACAGAATCATCCCTGTGAAGGCCGCGTAAGGCGCTTGGTACGCGCAGGGTAGAGAAGAGCTGCCTGGATATTTGACAACCCGAAGGAAGTTCAAGGGAAGAGCCCTGGAAGGATAATCACTTGGAAAAGGTAATGGAATTTGAGCTTAGCATCGGGTATCAGAGCAAAGTCAACGCCAGCGTTGGGCCCTTGAATGGGGGATGTTTGGTCATGATGCTCACTGGGGAAAGGAACGAGCGCGCGAAGAAGAAAGGGCGGGGAAACCTGTGACCTACGCCAAGACCCGCAAACTTCCCCTCCATCGAGTCGCGTCTTCACTGCATATTTTACTCCGAACACAGACGAATGGCCGAGCGGTCCTTCGCGCTCTCAACACTGGGCCTTTTTGGGGGAATGACGAGGAAATTTGCGAATATTCCTGCAACTTGAATTTTACACCCTTGGTCTCCTCACCATGGGCCAATCTCAGTCAACAGGGTCGGCGCCGGAGCCGCAACCCGAACAAAAAACCGATTATTACGACCTACTAGGCGTCTCCCGAACGGCAACCGACGACGAGTAAGCTAAACGCCCTGGTTCCTCCCCGATCACCATCACAGCCCTTCGTCTCACATTCAATAGGATTAAAAAAGCATACCGAAAGAAAGCCCTCGAATTGCACCCCGATCGAAACTACGGCAATGTTGATGAAGCCACCCGCCTTTTCGCCGAGATTCAATCCGCCTATGAGGTCCTAGCAGATCCCCAGGAGCGAGCTTGGTACGATTCCCATAAGGATGCTTTTCTAGGGACCACCCAAACTTCGGATGGCTCCTCGGAGGGAGCCTATAATATACGTATCACCACCGCGGAAGAAGTCCTCAAAGTATTCTCGAAGTTCAGTCCTCGAATGGAATTCTCCGACTCCCCCTCCGGATTCTTCGGCGGTCTCCAAGAACAATTCGCGCAATTGGCACTCGAGGAGCGAGCAGCTTGTCAGTGGGAAAATCTGGATATTGTAGAATATCCATCCTTCGGCTCTGCCAATGATGATTTCGAGACCGTTGTTCGTCCCTTTTACTCTGTTTGGACTGGATTTTCTACCAAGAAGTCATTCGCTTGGAAAGACGCCCATCGCTTATCTGAAGCACCCGATCGCCGAGTCCGGCGACTTATGGAAAAAGAAAACCGACGCCTTCGCGACGAAGGAATCCGGACTTTCAACGATGCAGTGCGGTCATTGGTAGCGTTTATCAAGAAACGTGATCCACGTTGGAAGATCAATGCCCAAAACGAAGCCCAACGCCAAGAAGCTCTGCGTCAGTCAGTCGCAGCTCAGGCAGCTAGGTCTCGAGCTATGAACAATGCCAAGATGCGCGACCATGTTCTGCCAGAGTGGGCGCGGTCCGAGGAGCATGTGGTTGGCGATGATGACGAAGAAAGCTCCGAGAGTGAAATCGAGAGCTTTGAGTGTGTTGCATGCAACAAAAATTTCAAGAGCGAGAAACAATTCGAGGCTCATGAAAAGAGCAAGAAGCATGTCAAGGCTGTAAAGCAATTGACCCGTGAAATGCGCTTGCAAGATGTACAACTCGATTTGGACCAGCCTACGGTCGAACGTGATGCGTCCGATCTCGATCCACTTGATGATGACGACGATATACCCGCCGAGGACGTTGAGAGCGTACGCACGTCGTCCCCAGTTGGCGAAGCAGAGACCAGTACGGATGAGGCTGGTGAGCCTCCGTTTTTCCAGTCTCAAGAAACGACTCCTTCTGAATTGGATAAAGATACCAAAGAATCCAGCCTAGCTGCTCCGGATCAAGAGCTAGACTCATCTGATTCCGGTGGTGACGAAGATTATGCATCCCGGGAGACCGTAGAAACGAGACTTCACCCAGACTTCGGCTCTGCACAGGACCAGGATCCGGTCACTTCACTAGACAAGCAGCTATCTTCTGTGGTGCTTGAGGAAGAAGCAGAAGAACAGCCCCGGACTGCTGCTCTAGGAAAGGCCAAGCAAAAAAAGGCCAAGAAAGCGGCGCGAGAAGTCGGGGATCAAGATCAATCAGGCCTGACGTGTTCTGGGTGCAACGCCAACTTCCCTTCAAAAACGAAGTTGTTTACCCACCTTCAGAAAAACCCATCACATGCACAATTAAAGACTACCACGAAAGGCCGAAGACGCTGAGAGTTTGTTTATATTACGCATCTGCTTATCTTTATACCACTTCCCATCGACCTTACGCATTTACGAATAGACTCTAGAACACTTGGATATCTAGCGATGAAGAGAAAATGAAATGATAATCTATGTTCACTCTATTCTAGTCTAATTGGATACACTCTCACAGACTCGGATATAGCTGTGTCGGCAAAGGTGTACATAGAAAGCCCCCATAGAAAGTAGAAAGTCTTCTTATCCAAGACCCGTTCGCGAATTCTTGACCACATGCGTAACAGGTTGAAGGATACCCTTGTTGTTGGAAGCTCCAAGAGCCGTCCCACTACTCCAACCCATCTTCTCCAACATGGCTCGGCCACGATTTCCAGCTCCAATCTCCGGTGCCGATCCGCCGACCACATCTCCATCCATGTAGGTGACGCCTGAAGTGACACCGCCTCCTCCTCTGGGCTTGGCCTTTGTTTGTTTCCCATGGCCATCCGCACCCCATGATGCGAACAAGCGACGGTTCAACTTCCTTCCAGATAATAGAGAATCGACCTTCGAGATGGTCTTGCGTGTGTAACCCGGAGTGCGAGATGTTTTGATGAGAATGGGGAATCGAGTAAGGCCGTTTCCCTTGGATTGGGACTTGAGGCTCACAACATTCGCCAATTCGTGAATCGTTTTGCGACGATTCTTAGTCATGGGTGGTAATGACAAGCTAGGACAAAAGTTAGCCTGACTGGCCATTATATGACATCCCGGGGAAGGGAGGGGGGGGGGGATATGGACATACGTTGTTTTCGATGACATGAGGAACGCCCGAATCTCAGTCATCAAGTCCTCCATATTCATTCCCTTTGAGTATCTCTGTCTCAAATCCGCATCTTCGGGGTCTTTCCCAAGAACACCCTGGGAACGAAGCTCTTCTCTCTCCTTCTTCTTCGCTGCCTTCTTCTTGCGATCGGTCTGCCATACGTCTTGCATATACATTTCCAATTCACTATCGGACAACATCAAGTCAAAGTCAGGCGGCTGCTTCTTACCCTTACCCGATTTCGACAAGCTTGGTCGTTCAAAGTCCATAATGTCGAACCCATAGTAAGGATCAGCATCAATTGCATCCGCAAAAGCCGATGCGGACGGGAATCCAGATTTGCCGCTTTTGCCTTTCTTTTTGTGAGTTTGAGCATACTCCAGGGCTAATTGCTCGAGGATGTCGGCGTCTAGGTCTTCATCATCCGAGTCGAGCTCCTCCAGGTCCGATGTATTTGGCGTGTCCAGTTCGACGTCTGAGGCGATGTTGATGGTTAGGTTGTCGGGCTTGGTGTCAATATGCATTTTCGATAGCACTGGTGGTCTTGTGTCAGGTTGTGTCTTGGCATCAGATGAACTGACCTAGGGAACTTACCGTCGATTGAGCTTTCGACACCAGTCTCGTCAATATTTGCTTGAACCCCCATGCCACCCTCGGGTCCGGCTTGGACCCGACTATTCTCTTCCTCTGCCTCGCTCTCACTCTCACTCTCACTTTCACTATCTTGATCCATATTGGCGATGTAATCCGCCAGAATATCATCATTATCGGGTGACCATTTAAATCTCTCCCTCGCGGGCGGTTTGCGGCGGCTCTGCGCTGGCGTTGGATGTGACTCTTGAGTCCGTAATGTGAGCTCCTCCGTCTGGAGTACCGGTACGCTTTGGGGTGCCGGTTCTTGGAGGTTCTGAAGTATTCGAAGATCGCGTTCGTCCGTCTCGATGACTATCGGTTTATTGTTCCGCCCGGTAAAGACCACTTCATCCTCGCTGCTGTCGTCCGAAATGTCTGGATCCGCGAGCGGTGCCGGGTCAGACAGTCCTGTATCGGGAACCGTTTCTCCGACCGAGTCAAGAACGAACAACGGTTCATCGCTCTCCTTGGCAGGAGCCTCCTCGTTACTTTGTTCGATTTCAGTGATGCACTCGGTTTGTGGTTCTGCTTCTGCTGCTTTTTCGTTTTCGTTTTCGACACCGTCTTGCATTTGGTCGTCTTCCTCCACATCCTCGAATTCGCTTCGTTGTAGCTCTCCGGCGCTCACGAAAGCTACCGCCTTGCTGCGAAGATTGCCATTATCTCTTAACCTATGATGTGTCTCTGTATTTCGGGCCTCTTCCTGCATTGTGAACCGATGTGGGGTGAATTGGTGTGGCGACGCCATTTCTGCAACTGGTCAGTTCCCGATAGTTGATGGTTTGGATGGCGTCTTAGGGGTAGAGGATAGGCGGCGGGAATTTACTTGGAGCGGTCATTGCTGGCGGCCTTTTGGCGCGGGCCTTGAACTTGCCATGGCGGGCCATGAGGGTTGGTGATGTTTGGTAGTTGGGGGAGTGAGGAGGGCAAATCCTACCGGATTTCGATGGGGGGGGTGTGGGCCCGGGCGGTGGGGATCTCTCATTGTACTCTGAGGCAGGTGAAATGCAAGTTTGAGGTGGACTTGTTCGATTTGGGGGACCAAAAAAAAGTGTCTGATATTTTTTATGGTCGTTGTAAATTGGAGTATTGTTTTATTGGCAGTAGTTGAACAGGCTTCAAAAAAGGTAGGGGGGTGAAGGGATCACAGGTTTGAGTCTCTTGGAGATAACTAATGATCTCCGGAGTGACGTCGTCCCGAGTGATCTCTCCCCCCTCTCTTCAAGGGTTCCCTCCGAATATCACCACAGCTCGCGATCCTGGGAATCTTTTGGATTCTTATATCGACTTTATTTATATGCCAACCTCGATGGTTCTATCCTGGGTTTGAACACTCGATGCGCTAAACTGGTTTGACTGTTGGCTCGTGAGTAACCATCGTATCCTTTAGTGTGAGATGTACATTATATATATCTTAGTATCTCTGTCTAGGTTTACACTCCCCCACACCTGAGCACTCAACAACAAACAACCAGAACTACCAACCTGAGACCCGAGACATGGCGGGGGTCGATATGGAGAAATGCAAGCGTATTGTACAATACTTCTGGGACCCAGAACCTAAGAATGACACAGTCCCCAAAGTCTCGATCTGGTGCCTGGGCCAAGAATACACCCCCACCTCAGGAGATGCCTCAAAGGGCATAGGTGAGTCCGAGTCCTGATCCCGCGAGATGCAGCCGCGGAGTCTTGCTAAGGGAGAAACCTTACGCTAAACAGCTATAGTAGAAGATACCTCTAATCGCGACGAGCCCGCAGCGAGTCCCGCCCCGAACGAGACGGTCGGAAGCAGCCCGAGCTCATGGCCAAATGCATTCCTGGATGACTTCGAGTCAAGGATATGGATGACATACCGATCAAACTTCCCCCCGATCCCCCGTAACAATACACCAGAAGCGACCTCGTCCATGACCCTAGGCGTCCGTCTACGCAGCCAGCTTATGGACTCACAGGGATTCACATCAGACACCGGGTGGGGATGCATGATTCGATCCGGTCAAAGCCTACTGGCAAATACACTATCCTTCATACAGCTGGGGCGAGGTGATGATATCCCATACACAATACAGATTAACCCCCCCGATGCAAACAGAGTGCTGACTGACCAAGTAGACTGGCGAAGAGGTAACTCGCCAGAAGAAGAGTCCAAGCTACTCGCCATGTTCGCCGATGACCCCGAAAGCCCATTCTCGATACATCGATTTGTTCAACGTGGAGCGGAATATTGTGGGAAATACCCGGGAGAGTGGTTTGGGCCGTCGGCCACAGCTCGCTGTATACAGTATGTCATGAATGAGCCCCGTCTACCCCAGATCTGGGTACTGAGCCGATACTAGGATGCTATCCAGCGAATGTGAATCACCCAAGCTGAGGGTCTACGTAACAAACAACACGTCGGACGTCTACGAAGATCAGGTTGCCCGGCTTGGCCGCGATGAAAATGGGCAAACGATACCAGTTCTCGTGCTACTCGGTCTAAGGCTAGGTATCGAGCAGGTCACCTCAGTATATTGGGATGGCCTTCGAGCTGCTCTGCAGTATCCACAATCTGTTGGAATCGCTGGGTAAGTCCATCCGTCTCAAGGCCGGCCATGATAGACCCGCTATATAGAGTATTCCCAAGAATAGACCACTGATCGTGAAAACCACAGGGGACGCCCATCAGCATCGCATTATTTCGTGGGTGTGCAAGATTCCCATTTGTTCTTCCTGGACCCCCATTCCACGCGCCCGGCACTCCCGACGCCTCGACCTGGCAAGATCTACTCCACCGAGGAATTCGATAGTTGCCACACCCGCCGATTGCGGCGGATACACATCAAAGACATGGATCCGAGCATGTTGATCGGATTTGTGATTCGGGACGAGGCGGACTGGAAAGATTGGAAACAACGCGTGCAATCAACACCGGGAAAACCCATCATCCACATACTTTCCGGAGCACCGGTGGAAGAAGGGCCAGGGCCAGGTCGAATGGAAGCACTGGACGAAGTCGAGGCTCTGGATGATTCGGATATCGCGGGGTAGAGGATGAAATGGAATGAGAGGCGCGTGGATCGATCCGATCCGATCGATCGATCGAAAGAGCGGAAGTGGCGGTGTGGCTATGATGTACAGAATCTAGAAGACAAGAGAGAAAAGGTCCAATAGTGATTGAATGCTTGATTGCATTTGAAATTTCGTGTTCTAGTAGGGGAGGTTCAACCGTGCAACCAGCCCCAAGACCCGAGTTATGTTACACCGCGCATCGAGCAGTAACCATCAGAAAAAGTCGCCCATTGGGGTAAAAAGAAATTGAGACCATCCCATGACACATTAGAAAACCCGCAAAACACCCATAACCGACCGCCTCGAAGCCCAGAAAAGATCAGGAGGCAGAGAAAAAAGTAGCAAAAAGCGCAAGAAATGAAAAGTCCAGAACTCAGACCGCTTATTTGGCGGAGGAGGAGTACTTGGTGACAGCCTTGGTGCCCTCAGAGACGGCGTGCTTGGCCAGCTCACCGGGGAGGATCAGGCGGACGGAAGTCTGGATCTCTCGGGAAGAGATGGTGGACTTCTTGTTGTAAGCAGCCAGCTTGGAGGCCTCAGTGGCAACGCGCTCGAAGATGTCTGAAGGAGATATTGTAAGTGGGAAATTCCGAACAAAACGCGAAAACGCGTTGAAATGGAACGCGAAAAAACATACCGTTGACGAAGGAGTTCAGGATGGACATGGCACGAGTGGAGATACCAGTGTCGGGGTGGACCTGCTTGAGGACTGGAGAAGGAAAAACATTAGTATTTTGGAATTGAGACGCGTCTTTGGAAAAAACACGATGGTAATCGCGTTCAAAACAGCAAACTCACCCTTGTAGATGTAGGAAGAGTAGGTCTCCTTGCGGGTCTTTCCGCGCTTCTTCTTCTCGCCAGTGGCGGCGGAAGTCTTCTTGCCAGCCTCCTTCTTCTCAGCAGGAGCCTTGCCGGCAACCGGGGCCTTGCCGCCGGTGGAGGGAGTCTTGGTAGCGGCCTTGGGGGGCATTTTGGATGAGTTGATGATAAAAGGTGGTGAAAGGTTGAAAAAGCGAGATGGAGTGAGACGTGAAGATGGAAAGATGGATGGAAGGGAAAGGTAAGAGGAAACGCGGTGACGAGGGGAACGCGGTCTTTATACTGGACCACCAAAGACTGGTTGATCCCGGGGGAACGCAAAGGAGCCGGAATTTCAATACCGTCATGGCCTTGTATGATCTGTATGATTAAACGCAAGTTTACGCGTCTGGCGGTGGGGGGAGCGGGGTTGGATCACGCTGATCCACTGTCACAGCCTGTAACCCTGTAATTTACAGCCACCTTGCCTGATCTGGCATGCCCGCACCTTGCTGATCTCCACTCTCATTGGTCGATTCCATTAAGCGAGGCCGTGATCTGGCGGGTTTGCTTTGATGTGAGCCAAACGTCACCCTCACCGCGTTATTATAAACCCCCGGACTGCCTCGTCGTCGCCCTTCCACCTGCTCTTTTCCATCTCTCGACCACTCGACTCATTTCCATCACATTTTCAACCCTTTTCAAACCCCTTTCAACCACCCCCCCCAAAACAACCATCAAAATGACTGGCGGAAAGTCTGGCGGCAAGGCGAGCGGTTCCAAGAACGCTCAGTCGTAAGTTCACCTTATCTCTTCCCCAATTCCCAGAAAATGCGACTTTGGACGCGTTTGCGCGTCATATACACCCTCTGTTTTCAAAGATTCATTCTGACATCAATCACAGCCGTTCCTCCAAGGCCGGTCTGGCCTTCCCCGTTGGTCGTGTCCACCGTCTTCTCCGCAAGGGCAACTACGCTCAGCGTGTCGGTGCCGGTGCTCCCGTCTACCTCGCCGCTGTCCTCGAGTACCTCGCCGCTGAGATTCTCGAGCTGGCTGGTAACGCCGCCCGTGACAACAAGAAGACCCGTATCATCCCCCGTCACCTTCAGCTCGCCATCCGCAACGATGAGGAGCTGAACAAGCTTCTGGGTCACGTCACCATCGCCCAGGGTGGTGTTCTCCCCAACATCCACCAGAGTACGTTTTCCCCACACATTCATTCCGAAATCGAATCGAATCTCAAACTAACATGCTTCTTTCAGACCTCCTCCCCAAGAAGACCCCCAAGGCCGGCAAGGGTAGCCAGGAGCTTTAAATCTAAGCTAAATGGTTTTCTTTCTTTCGCGGGTTTGATTTGTTTTTTTCCGGCGTGGGTTGGTTTTCATTGACACGATAATGGGGTTATGGGACGGGCACGTTATGGCTCTACTGCGTTTTCTTTTTCTTCTATCAGCTTCCAGGTTGTACATTATGTCTGCGGACATGGAATGATACCGACGAACTACCAGCCTGTTCGAGGGATTTCAGCTTTTTTTCGGATAACTAGCCCCGGGCTTGTGCGCAAGCCCGAATCAATGAAAAGATTCTAGGTCCATCAGATATAACCATCTCCATTTCTCCTGTAGTTCAAGCTTCAGTATTATGTTGTCTCGCATCAACGCGCTGGCTTCATTTTCCTAACAGGTCATAGGATTGCTCTAATTCAATAGACGGAGTACGATGTTTCTCAACAAAAGTACCAAGTATCTGTTCCCAGTGCTTTGCGACCCGCCGGCTCGATTCCATAGTACGTGGCATTGCTCTTATTTATAAGAGCGACACGATTTATTATACTACGACGAACCCTCGGGGGCGTACCTTGTGCTCCGTATCAAAAAACACGCGCCGGGCTCGATTCGTCTTAATAGTTGACCGCATCGCTCCGCTTTTATTCAATATAATTTCGTACACCCCGTACTACAACGAAAGTACAAACTGCAAAGGTAATATGAAAATCAGAGCGCATTCAATTTCATTCTTAATATCTACACAAGGCCCTGTAATCAAAATGCGTGGTCCACTTGCTCCGTCCCAGATATTACTCGATCCATGAATCCCGGTCCCTTGTTTAGTGGGCGGCCGGGGGCGCGGCGTCTATTCGTTTGTTAGTATTCTTGCCGCAAGAGCATTCCTTGAGTTCAACTCAAATAAGGAAATTAGAACAAGACGTACATGGTAGAATAGGAGCGGGCAGGTTTCTCTCCCATTTGTTTCCTGTAGCCAGCGTAAGTTTGAGTCCGGTGCATGCCATCCGGCAGATATCAAGGTCCAGAAGGGCGTAAACGTACCACCAGGGGCAGTGGGATGGCGGTAAGGATCGGGGTGTTTCCACTCTTCGAGGATTTTCTCTGTTTCGCGCAGCAATACCTGGTGTTCGCATGTGTGAGTAGAGCGTTCAATCCAATCCCAATCATCGGATATAGGGCGGGCGGGCAAATATCGGATCGTGTCCATCGTACCTGTTGCTGGCGAGGATCGCGGACGTCCTTGTTGGCTTCGAAGAGGGAGCGAATATAAACGGCTTGTCCCCGCCACACTGATCGGTGGACAGCCCAGTCAAGGGACAGCTTCAGCGAGCGCCGATAGAGCGAGCTGGGATGGGGTCAGAACGGACGACGGATCGGGAGATAGCGGCGGTGCAATTGCACACTCACAGAGCGGGGGTGAGGGACATGATTGCGTCCTCGAGTCCAATTGGATTCGGTCTGAATAAGAGAAGAGAGAGGCAGCAAATCCGTCGCGAAGTGGACAATGCGCGTCAGACCAAGAACCGAGAAATTGGGGGGGAGTGATGCGGGTTGACTATTCTCAGCTTCCTCATTCGTTGCGAACTGCACAACTGGTTCCTATGCTCATCCGCACTGCGCAGCCTTCAGCAGTCAGCGGGTCCACCTCAGGCCAAAACAAGGCCACAACAGGCCCTTTCAATGCCACAAAACAAGGGCGTAAGAACATTACTCCGCTTGCCGGGTGGCTTCCGCATCTCGGCTTCGGGAGCTTTTGGCTTCGGCTACGTAACAGCAACAGGGCGAGAAAGAGTGAGGCTTTTTTTTCCTTCCCTTCCCCTTTCCTCCATACTTACAATATTCCCCCTCTCTAGGGAAAAACTTGCGACTTTTTTCTATCTCAGTTCGATTTCCGTTATTCCACACAACATGGCTGCTCGACTTCCTCTCGCGCGCCTCTCGGCTCAGCGCCTGACGACTTTGTCCCGGAGCACTCGGGCTACCAGCCGCCTCCGCGGTGTCCAGAGCCTCTCGACTTCTACTCATTCAAATGTCTCCTCTAGAGCCTCTGGTCTCCTGCAGGCCTCTTCAGGGTAATAAATTCCCTTCAATTACCGGCTCGCGCAAATGGAATTGGCTGACGAGGAATATCAGGATCAATGTCTCGCGTAACCTCGCTCCTTTCGTTGGCTCCCAAATCCGAACCTACGGTATATCAATCTCAATCCCAGTCAAATACAAACCATGCTGACTCTTTTTGCGACCAGCCGATTCTATCGTCAAGGTTCCCCAGATGGCCGAGTCGATCACAGAGGGTACCCTGAAGCAGTTCTCTAAACGTATGCACTAGTCTCGAACAGCGTGGATCCCCAATGGATATGGTTACTAAGTAATTATACAGAGGTCGGCGACTTTGTTGAGCGCGATGAGGAGATTGCCACTATCGAAACCGACAAGGTAAGTTCTTTTCTTTTGTCGCATTGGAAAACAGAGTCCTGCAAATTCAAATTCTAACACTATACGTTGTGCATTAGATCGACGTGTCCGTGAATGCCCCCGAGTCCGGTACTATCAAGGAGATTCTTGTCAACGAGGAGGACACCGTCACCGTCGGACAGGATCTTATCAAGCTGGAGCCCGGAGAAGCGCCTGAGGGCGGCAAGCAGGAGTCTGCCCCCAAGCAGGAGTCTGCCCCCGAGCAGCCCAAGGAGTCCGCCCCCGCTGCTGAGAAGCCCAAGGAGTCCACCCCCGCTCCTGAGAAGCCCAAGGAGACCCCCCCAGGCCTCCAAGCCCGCGCCCCCTCCCAAGGAGGCCCCCAAGGCCGAGTCCAAGACCACCGAAGCTAAGCCCGCCGTCGGCGGCCGCGAGGAGCGTCGCGTACGTACTCGTTTCTTCTTTATGGTGCCAAGTGCCAAGTAGACTGTTTATGCTAATATTATTTGCGCCACTACAGGTCAAGATGAACCGCATGCGTCTGCGCATCGCCGAGCGCCTGAAGCAGTCCCAGAACACCGCCGCTTCCCTCACCACCTTCAACGAGGTCGACATGTCCTCGCTGATGGAGTTCCGCAAGCTCTACAAGGATGATGTCCTGAAGAAGACCGGTGTGAAGCTGGGCTTCATGAGCGCTTTCTCCCGCGCTTGCGTTCTGGCCATGAAGGATGTCCCCGCGGTCAACGCTTCGATCGAGGGCCCCAACGGCGGTGACACTATTGTTTACCGCGACTACGTCGATATCAGTGTCGCCGTTGCCACTGAGAAGGGTCTCGTCACCCCCGTTGTCCGCAACACCGAGACTATGGATCTGGTTGGCATTGAGCAGTCTATTGCCGGTCTTGGCAAGAAGGTATGTTTGGAACTCTGGTTATGAATGCGGTAACATGGACATGTTATTAATATATTACCACTACAGGCTCGCGACAACAAGCTCACCATCGAGGATATGGCCGGTGGTACTTTCACCATCAGCAACGTGAGTTTCATTGTTTCTCCGCTATTGATTGGCCTATACTAATTTAAATAGGGTGGTGTCTTCGGTTCTCTGATGGGTACCCCCATCATCAACGTGCCCCAGACCGGTAAGTCCCATTCCCACACCTTGCAATTCCTGCCACCGGCATGAAGACCAATTCCTAATCATTCCCTATAGCCGTCCTGGGTCTCCACGCCATTAAGGACAAGCCCGTCGCCGTGAACGGCAAGGTCGAGATCCGCCCCATGATGTACCTCGCCCTCACATACGACCACCGTCTCCTGGATGGCCGTGAGGCCGTCACTTTCCTTGTCAAGGTCAAGGAGTATATCGAGGACCCCCGACGCATGCTGCTCGGGTAAATGGTTTCGTTTCGGTTATAAACTGTAACCAAACCCCCGCTATGTACCCCGTTGGTTCGATCTGTGTTTTATCGTGCTTAGATCCCCGTCGTTGGCACGACCCTGTAGATTATCCAGTTTCTTAGTATCTTGACTAAAACTGCCATTTCAAGAACCTAATTTCTTGGCTTTTTCTTCTTCTTCTTCTTCTTCTTCTTCTTCTTCTTCTTCTTCTTCTTCTTCTTCTTCTTCTTCTTCTTCTTTGCCTTTCCTCGTAGCTGTAGCTTGGGTCAATCACGCGTCATTCGTTGGTGACACGGGATCGGCCCGGCCTCGGGGCCCGTCAATAGCGCTGGCGCCTTCCCATGCGTCAGGTAGATAAATAGTATTAGACAGGGTGGTGGTTTTCGTCCCCCATCCGTTGGGTTGAGTTTTCACGTTTCTGTTTCGATCTGCGGATCGATCTTTATAGAACTCAACTTGCGTCGGTGGTGATAACCGATTCGAGCCAGAGGCGGAAATTGGCGAATGGGCTCGCTCGCCTGGTACCGGTATAGAGTTAGAAGGGATCCCTGGAAAGTCGCACCATGAAAGCATGGGATCCCTTCCATTCCCTTCCCGCGTGGTAGTTGACTTGGGGAGAGGGAGTGCGCTAGTTCGCGGGTTTGGTTTGTTTCATGGCGTTCGGTTTGCGGTGGGTGTGGCATCGAGTAAATAATTTATCTTTTTCTCTTGTCGATTCGATTTCGATTCGATGGAACTCATTCTCATCGAACGGTCGATATGATGTTGAGCATTTATTTAGCGCTGACCAGCGCGCTCTAGGAGCTGTCTTGTTTCATCACGGGACAAATTCCCCAGCTTCCCACGCTCCAATTCAATCAGAATAGGAGGCTCGAGGACAGTCATCAGATCTAACAGGAATCTCATCACTGTGTTTTTGAACCGGGCGAGTGGAAATCTTCGTGACAATTCTGGCTGGCTGACATTGCCGCCATAGCCATAGGCTTGCCACGTTTGGAACCATCGCTTGTTGCGGCCTGGATTGATGCAGTTCCATTCTTGGAGGCGTTTTATGGCGTCAGCGTCATCTGAGGTTCGGATTTGGTCGTGGATCGCGGCCTGGTGCAAGAATTGGGCACCAACGTCTAGCCAGCGGGATTCGGAGACTTTGGGTACGGCGGCAAGACAAAGATTCATGAAACGGAGGCCGATCTTTGCAAGTTGAGGTGATTCTGAATCTCGACCTTGCCTCGGCTCGAGTTTGTAACATCGAACTGCATCCGCTACCCATAGGACCTCACGTTTGATGTTCAGATCCACGGCTAGCGAGGAGGTTGAGGTTGAGGCGGGAAGAGATCCGAAGGCTGTATTGGGGTTAATATATTAATAAAATTCAGGTAACTACCCAGGAATGAGGGGGTTTGATATCACTCGATATTGACTTACCTTTCAATGACTGCACGAGCCAGTCGGCTTCCTCGGCTTTGACGGGGTCGCGTATATCATCCGCTGCCGACAGGGTTTGTTCGATCGCGAGACAGACCAGATAGTCCAAAATCAGGCTATTCACATCTTCGTGGAGCTCTGTGTCGGCCATCGTGGACCGCGATAAATCTTTTGGTATCATGGTCGGTGAAAGGAGAGTGAAACTCGGGTGAATGGTTGCTGCTGATGAATTTCTGAGCTAATTCGGGCGACGCGCAGGTGGGAGTGGAGATATCGAGCGGGCCGCGGATTTTTGGGTGGGGGGAAGATGCAGCTTCACCAGGCGGTTGCTTCGTGGGTTTTTGCGCCGATCTATGGTTGATCTCAGGGTTTGGCAGGTGTTTTGTTCGATGATAGTTTATTTGTGCCGATATTGATTTGAAATATTGCAATCTTCGCTCCCTTATAGCTTTCCCGGCTACTTTGTTTCACGTTCAATTTGCCCTCATGCTACAGGTAATACTTGTTTAGAGAGAGATATATATATACACCTGCTATGCTCCACACACTACCACCACTTCTCTAATCAGGATTTCACCCTTGAACCCGAAACCTGCCGGAATCCCCAAAAATCCACATCATAAATCAATAATAATATACAAAGACCCAAATGGTCAAGTGTCACGTGGAGGTGAGAAAAGCATGGCGTCACGATAGCTAAACCTTGGGATTGAGGTCGACTTCATCCACTGTGAATAACCCCACGCATTCCTGCATGTTATCTATCACCACCACCATCACGACTCTCTCCTACTATCTTACACTCCTCTGCTCGCAGGTACTACATGCTTAAGTCGCTGCAAAGAATAAATCGAAAATTGCCGTACCAATCAACTCGACCCTATACAATGGCGTGGTACTGCTCCGGATCCACCAACACCGAGCTGGTCGAGAACCTGTTCAAAGGCGGCTTGATCAAAAATGATCGCGTGAAGGAAGCCATGCTAGGAGTGAGTTGAGAAATACCAACTGCACCCCTCCCATCATCCATCCAATCTCCCCCAATCTCGAGCATCTACCGAGTGTCAGTGTCTACGAGCCCCGCATCTGATATATGATCATATCAGGTCGATAGAGCCCACTATGCACCTTCACGACCATACTCAGACTCACCACAATCCATTGGCCACGGCGCTACAATCTCAGCACCACACATGCACTGCCACGCATGTGAGTATCTAATCGACCACCTCTACCCAGGAGCCCGGGTCCTAGACATCGGATCCGGGTCCGGATACCTTACGCATGTCCTAGCAAATCTAGTGACCGGGCCCGGCACCTCGGATAAAGGACAGGTAATAGGCATCGACCACATCCACGAATTAGTCGAACTAGCAAAAGACAACATGGACAAATCCACCGAGGGCCGCTCGCTTCAGGAATCCGGTAAAGTGAAATTCGTCAAAGGTGACGGCCGCCTGGGATGGAAAGAAGAAGCACCATATGATGCCATTCATGTCGGTGCTGCTGCCGAGGCTCTCCATCCGGTTTTGATTGAGCAGCTTGCTGCTCCGGGGAGGTTGTTTATTCCGGTTGAGTCGGACCCGAATGATGAGGATGGGAGTTTATTGGGTGGGATTGGGGGCCAGTATATCTGGGTTGTGGATAAGAGGAAAGATGGGTCGATTTTTAAGGACAAGGTTTTTCAGGTTAGATATGTGCCTTTGACGGATGCGCCTGGATCATGACAATGAGTGGTATACCGAAACTGCAAGACGAAAATGCAAGACGAAATGGCAAGGCGAAACAGCAAAACAATCTACAATATTTTATTGGAGCGGGGAGGTGGATGCGGCTAGGATGAAGCAAGAATGCTCACGATGATGACGAATGACAGAAGATCAAGGAAAGCATCGAGGTTCATTTTGATAGTGACAATAACAGTGCAACTACTCGAAAAAAAAAGAATAAGAAAGAAATCCCGAATCGGATGATTCACCAATGGAAAAATGATCCGGTGTAATGTAATGACTCCTAGAAACACCACGGTATGTTTGATGTATGATGGTAAAGTGACACAGAAGAAACAGAACAACAAATGCCTAGACACAAGTGGCCACCACTCAGCGGAATGGAAAACCGCCTCCACCAAAACCCCCAGCCTGACCAGAGAATTTAAACTGTGGCCCACCCTGCTGGAAAAAGAACTGTTGGCCACCACCCTGGCCGAAAGGTGAACCCTGGAATCCATGGCCTCGCTGTTGCGACTCAGGATCATTAGGATCGTCGCCGTTATCGTATCGAGTTCGAAGCTCAGAATCAGACAGGACTTCGTAAGCCTCGTTAATAGCCGCCATCTTCTTCTCCGCATCCTCCTTGGACACGCCTTGGGAATGCGCCTTGTCGGGATGGTGCTGCTTGATCAACTGGCGATAGGCACGTTTGAGAGTCCGGTCATCTGCGTCACGGCTGATGCCAAGAACCTTGTAGTAATCCTTTTGCTTAGATCGTTTCAGAAGGGCATGTGCTTTTTGCAGAAGGGTTTGAACTTCCTGCGAGTGAGGGTGGTGCTCCTTCGCGCTGCTTAGTGTGCGAACAGCTTCCTCGAACTTATCTTCGTCCAGCTCATTTTGGGCCTGGTATAGAAGGCCGTGAAGAGAATGTGGGACCAGCTGGATAGACTCGGCACAATATGGTGCGGCTTTCTTTAACATACGCATCTAGTGATCCACATTAGCTCGTAAGTCCACAGAAGAGAGAGGGGGGGGGGGGGGTAAATACCTCTCGATATGCCTCACAAGTCTTCTCAACAAGGAAGACATATAGATTGTTTGATGCTGCATGATGAATATGACCTGCTTTGCGTGCCTCTGCAACATCACCCTTCACATCATCAATCAACCCACTATCCTCACCATCCCCAACCATAATCTTCACAGCATTGCTAAACTTCCGCGCATCAAGTGCACCATGCAACTTTCCTAACGCCTTCGATAATTGACGTTCCCGTTTATAAAGACGATTGCAAGGACTCGAATCCGGATCCGTAAGAAGACACTTCCGAATCTGCGCCAGACCACGATCATGATCGCCCAACGAATAGAAAAGCATGGACGACATTTGCAGATGAGGCTCTACAAGCTTCGGCGAGATCTGTAGAACATGCGCAAGGTCACTAACACCCTCTTCAATCTCGCCTCTCTCAAATCGACAATGCGCGCGAGTCTTCCTAAGAGGGAGATCGGTATTCGCTTTCAAGATAGCAACGCCCGCCTGCGTAATGCAAGATTCCCAATCACTCTTCTTCTCGGCGGCAAAGGCTAGACCAGCCGCGTCCCGCGCTTCCTCAAGCTCTTTGTACTCGGGGCTGTCTTTTTTGCCCGCCTGTTCGAGGTCTGCCAGGGCTTCATCCCATTGCGCGGACCGTGCCTTGAGTCGAGATCTTTGTAGAAGGGCACCCTCGAAGCCCGGCTTCAGCTCCAGGACCCGGTTGAAGTCATCTGTCGCTAAGTGGTTCTTGCCAATGGATAGGTGAGCTGCACCTCGTTGGTAGATGGTGATGTAGTTTGTTGGATCGCGGGAGATAGCGGCGTCGAAGTATATTAATGCATCGCGAGGGGAGCCCTTGGCTAATTGCGCTTTGGCGGAGGAGATCAATTCGGAGAGCGGAGTATCGGGGGGGAATTTGGAGGGCGTTGCTGGTGGAGAGACAGGCCAGAACGACCGTTAGAGTTTCAAATGAAAGACGCATTTTTTCAGAAAGAGAGACTGGACATGACAGTCCTAAAGTTTTGGGGGGTTGAAGTCAGAGAAGAAGGAGGATAAGGAAGAGAGGGCTGAAGTACAGAGGATAGATAGACTTGGGGGGGGCGAGTTGGGAATGCGCCGTCGCAGAGTGGCCTTTACGCGTAATTTACATAAATTACCAAATACCGCCGCGCATAACTCCGCAGACTCCGCAGACACTGTCAGTGACACTGGACTGTGAGACCTCATCCTCCATCTCTCCCCCTCCACAAGGATGCTACGATGTGGTCGGTTCATGAGGCAACCTCTCAGGTTTAGCCTCCTACCATTCCTGCGACGAACCTTGCATACCGGTATGCTATTATACGCATTGCACACATCTACACATTGTCAATTGAACTCATCGCTGACGCCATTCCCATCGCCTAGATCTCGGCGTGTCACCCGTCCTATTGACCCGCGCACGATTACTCGCCGCGGAACATGCAAAGCTGTCGACTCGTCTGGCCGACTCCTTTGATGCCAAAATCGCTAAAAGGGCCGGGGAATTGGCCCCGTCTGCAGCTATCCTGAAAGAATGGGACAATGCCAATGAGGTATGTATAGTCCAACCCAATCTCCCAATCTTCTTTGGAAAGATCTTCCTTTGCAAGGCGCGTCCGTCTAATCTAACTTTGACGAAACAAAGTCCATATCCGAATTAAAAGCCCTCCTCGAAGACCCCGAAACCGACGCAGAACTACACACCCTCGCAACAGAAGACCTCGAAACAAGCCGTGGAGCCCTTCCCTCACTATCAGACCGATTAAAAAAGTCCCTGATCCCCCGCCACCCCTTCGCAGACCTACCATGCCTAGTCGAAATCCGGCCTGGCGCAGGAGGAGACGAAGCCGGCCTCTTCGCCTACGAGATGATGCGCATGTACATGACACTCTGCAGTCGCAAAGGCCTCCGGCCAACGATCCTAAAACAAGACGTTGAAGACGGCCCCTCCGAGGACAGACTCCTTGAAGCCGTGATCGAAGTTGAAGCGGACGGCGCATACGACATTCTCCGAACGGAGTCCGGAGTCCACCGCGTACAGCGCGTCCCAGCAACTGAAACGAAAGGGCGCACACACACTAGCGCAGTGAGCGTGATGGTTTTGCCCAGTTTTCCCGAAAGTGGAAGTGCATCTGACAGTGCTCTCAACTTCGATGATCCAACCAGCGACTACTATATCGATCCTCAGGAAGTGCGCGTTGAGAAAATGAGGGCTGGCGGTGCTGGTGGTCAACACGTTAATAAAACCGAGTCCGCTATTCGATTGACTCATATTCCGACCAATACGGTGGTTTCCATGCAAGATGAACGATCTCAGCATGCTAATCGTCGAACGGCTTGGCAAATGCTTCGCGCGAAGATTGCGGAAGCGCGTCAGGAAGCTCGTGAACAGGAACTTGTTCAGCTTCGCCGTGGTGCCATGGGCGGCGTTGCGAAGATGGGTCGAGGTGATAAGATTCGGACATATAACTATGGACAGAGTCGCTGCACTGACCATCGAAGTGGTATTACACTCCATAATCTGGACGATGTACTTGCAGGAGGTGATGGGCTGGAAGCAGTCATGGACAGCGTCCGCACTTGGATCTCGGATCGTGAGGTGGAGGCTATGGTTGCAGAAGAACTGGCCAAGGCAGAGGAGCAAGAGAAGAAAGAGGCAAAGCAAAGGAAGAAGTAAAATATGGCCATGGGCCCGGGCTCCCTTGATGGGGTTCAAAAATATTGTACACTAGAAATGATACCAAATGTATTTTATCACACTCTCACGAGGACTCGACTCTTGCAAAGTAAAACTGACGCCTATGCCTATCTATTATCGCTCAAAGATACTTTCGCTCCGGATCCGCGATATCCAGCAACTCCATAGACTTCTCATACCTTCAAGTTGTTAGCATTAGCACCTTCAAAATTGCCGATGTCGGATCGAGGGACAACACATACATAGTAAACACAATTCCACCACTTAGAATCAAACGGGCCAGCCGTGGCACGGCTCCAGACCAGAAGGTCAAGACGCCTTCATCCTTGAAAATTCTCGCGGCACATACGAAGCTGTTCTTGTAGTTCTTGCTAGCTTCGAGGGATTGCATCCTTGTCTTCACCGTATCCAATGGCTGGGTAATGTAGCTGTTGATATCCCGTTAGTCATTGATTCTGCAAGTTTCATTCCACAAGCAGCCAGCGCAGCCAGCGCAGCCAACATAAAACATACACAGTGATAATACCAGCAATACCACCAATGGCAAAGGTACTCATCGTCCCCAGCTTCTCACCGGGCGCAACATAGCCCTCGGCAAATTGCTTCAAAGTGGTGTAGGCCGTGAATCTAGTCGCCGAATTGGCAGCCTGTCTGGCCGTAGTCGGTACAAAGCCCTGGAAGAAACCCTTGATACCTCGTTCCTGCCAGATGATCTTGCTACCGTGGAGGAAACCGCGCATGCGAGGTTTCTCGGCCTTGCGGTCGTCAATCAGCTGGGTCTTAATACTTTCGAAAGGAGTGACAGCGAAAAGCGACTCGGTGAAGCCAGCACCGAAGCCAGCAACAACGGTCCTGGGGCCGGAGATCTTCCCGTTCTCATCCTGGAGGGTTGCCTTGATAGCGTCGAAGGCGACGAATCCTATATCAGACAGACTCCGCAGTCAGTACACTGAACGGCATTTGTGACAAAATCCACCCCAATCCACCCCACACTACCAAAAGAGGATATACGCACGAATTCCGGCCTTGAGCGAGTTTCCAATGATCAATGTTGTACAGCCTGCATACCATTGCTTGCCAAATGGCGGCCATGGGAGTTTCTGACCCTCGGCGAGGCGGCGATTGAGTTGTGTGCGGGTCTTTGCGACTGCGGGCGCTAATTAGTTCCGGGGAGTCGGGGGAGAAGAGTAGGAATTGGATTGGAATCGGGACCATACACTCGGCAGGATAAGTAATAGCTAGAAAGAGAGAAAGTTCAATGTTAGCTCATTCATGCCCCGGGTTTGTGACACATGCGGGTGCGGTGGGCTACTAACCGATCTCCACGGCTCCGGCAGAGGAACCCGCGAGAATGGAGCGCAAGGCGCTGGGCTGTGGGGTTGATTCATTAGCGTCAATTCGTAAGGGTCGCGTCTATGGGCAGGAACAAACCTTCGCCTTCTGGTCCTTGTTTGCCGTGGCCATATTTGGAGGTGGAGGAGATGAGGGAGGATGTGTATGTTGAACCTCGGGTTTCGTAGATCACGCATTTACGGTCTTCCGGAGACCCACCGTGCGCAGTTCTCCATACTAAAATGCACTACGGTAGTAAACGATTACTCCGAGGTCGGACTACACCAGTGCAAACATCGGAGGAAAATTGTCAATTCGCAAGATGCTAATTCTAGTACCTAGTATCTCGCGCTCCTCCAAATTTCTTTTTTCTTTTTTTGTTTTTTTTTCCCAGGGGGAAGAGGGAAGGGGGAAGGGGGAAGGGGGAAGACGCTTGCGTCGAAACTCATAGGGTGAGATCGATCAGTGATGCATCAAGATGAGGTTGAAGTTGAAGTACCTGAAAAAAGGTAGATGGCATAGGCCGGGCTAGAGTCGTCGTATGTGAGAAGTGGAGTTGGAGTGCAGTAGAATGGCCCGGGGGGTTTCGAATGTCGTGAACAAAGGGGAATCGAATCGTGCTCCCTGGGTTCTGTTGGAACTGGGAACACGATTTAGAAAGAAATCAATCCGAAAGCCACACCAAGGTGGCTTTGACGACTCCACAAGAACGCCTCAACTCAACCGAAAAGATCACAGAAAAAACGCCTGCTGCTCCGCGATCCTTCAAAGAGGACCAAGCGACCGAGCATATGTACACCTCGCAGCATATGATGATAAGTGCAGGTCTCGTACGGCACCAGAAAATGCACCATTTCAGATCAGAAGAAAACCTCCCCAACGCGAAAACATGGGCCATTGAGAGTCGAAAGAACGGAACCATGAAAGGGAGAACAGGGGAAATTATGATACACATGTCATACCAGAATCCGTATCATCGTGACGAGAGTAAATGTGACAGAAGCCATGCAGTACTCTGCCTTGGGGAAGAAGGTATTGTGGGGGAAGGTTGAAGGGCTTTTGGACGATAAAGCCGTGGCGAGGGAAAAGGCATAACGGGACACAAAACAGGAAAGATAGCAGGTGAATAAGCGGACAGGAACATAGATTGATCAACAGGGAATTTTGGCGGTAGATTTCAGTTTTCGAGGCAGTATGGACCCTGATGACACTCGTCCAAAAGACCGATAGTCGTTTAAGAGATAGGCGCCGGGGGCTTGGGTCCGATTTGGCTAGGAGCAAAGCCAACCTTGTTCGGATCACTCGGGCCACCGCGACGAGGGCCTTGCCCATGGCCGCTGCCACGGCTGCCACGGTAGAACCCACGGCCTCGGGTATTGTTGTTGACGTATTGTCCACCATTGGCATTGTGGTGGTTTTGGCGACGTGGTTGACGATCACCATTGTTTGGGTGGTGAGGTCCCGGGGTGATCATAGGCTGGGCCGGGTTGGAGATGGGGCGCGGGATGTTTTCGGGCGAGTCATAGACGTAGAGCTTCTTGTCGATGTTTTGGGGAATAGGTTGGATTTCGGTACCCAGCTCCTGCTCAATCTTGTACAGGTTGAAACGGTCTTCCCAGTTGATCAAGTTAATAGCGAGACCAAGGTGACCGAAACGACCAGAACGACCAATACGGTGCAGATAGGTCTCCGCATTCTTGGGGAAATCAAAATTGATGACGACGTTGACCGCTTGAATATCGATACCTCGGGTCAGCAGATCCGAGCAAACGAGGTTGCGGCACACGCCATTGCGGAAGTCATGGAACACGCGGTTACGGTGTTGTTGAAGCATGCGAGCGTGCGAATAGAAGCAAGAGTAGCCCAACTCAGTGATCTTCTTCGCTAGCAACTCCACACGGTTTGTGGAATTGCAGAAAATGATGGACTGATTAATCTGGAGCTTCGAGAAGAGAGTGTTGAGGCAGTGAACCTTCTGCTTTTCTTCGACAAAAGCATAGAACTGAGTGATACCACGCAGAGTCAGTTCGTCCATCAGGTTGATCTCGTAGGGGTTGCGCATGTGCTTGTCCTTGAAGTGCTTGACAATCATGGGGAATGTAGCACTGAAGAGCATGACCTGACGGTCCTTGGGATGGAAGGACATCAACTGTTCGATAACAGGAGTGAACTCGGGGGATAGAAGCTTGTCAGCTTCATCCATGACGAAGGTGGGGCATTCGGATAAATCAGCGACACCCTTGCTGGCCAGGTCCAGAACTCGACCGGGAGTGCCGACAAGAATGTGAACGGCATCGTTCAAACGAATGATATCGTCCATGAGCCCGGTTCCACCGGTGGTAACCATGACATTGATACCTAAGTGTTTTCCGAGTGTCTTACAGACTTGCGAAGTCTGAAGGGCTAACTCTCTGGTAGGCACCAGGATCAAGGCTTGGGTTTTGGTGTTCTTGGGGTTAATGCGTTCTAGAGTGGGGATGACGAAGGCAGCGGTCTTGCCGGTACCGTTCTTGGCTCGGGCCAGGATATCTCGCCCTGTAAGAGCAACGGGTATCGTCTCTTCTTGAATGGGGGATGGCTTTTCAAATCCGGCCTCGAAGATTCCCATCATCAGCTCTCGCTTGATGTAGAAGTCTTCAAATTCCAGGCCCTTAGTAGCAGTGACATCCTGGAAATTCAATCAGTGCTATTCTTGAACTAGAAGGGACGAATTCACGGCGATGCACTAACTTCAGTTTGGGGGCGAGCATCTTTAGGTGGTAGCTTCAACGTATCCTGGAGTCTTTGGTCTGTGTTTCCGTCTCTGATAACCAAGTTAGGTCGCTTGAATACTATTCAATGAAAATCATCATCTTACCCGAGCTTGGTGTTGCTGAGTTGTGAGGCAAGGGCGTCGGCCATGGTGAAGGTAGGGTATTAAAGAGATGGGGAGAGGAGTCGAAAGGGTAGAAATCGGCGAAGGGCGTAAGAGACCAAAAGTGAGAAAAATGCGTGAAATGACAAATTTCAAGAGGTCGCGCGGGGAGGGGCTTGTAGGATTTCCCCAGTGCGTTGGCGTGAAGCTAAAACTCGTCGTCTCCCACAATTGGAGTTAAGAGGTCGTGTGGGTAAAGGCGGAGGGGAGTAGACCAGGGAGAATGATCAGGGCTTGTAAACGAGTCCGATACTACTTTTGAGAAGTGAGAGAAATCGGTGAATCGTCGGGTCCCCGCGGTGCTTCAAATTTGTGAGATTTCGGGTTGAAGCCGTCAAGTCGTATGTCGAAATGGGTTATCGTGAAAGATCAGATTGGAGATGAGCTTTCCCAGCAACGTTAGAGTGCAGGTATGATGGAGGAAAAGGTTGAGAGGGTGAAGGTATGAAGGGATTCGTAGGAGTGGAAGCCAGAGAGGTGTGTCCAGGGTGCGGCGGACGGCATGATGGTGCCGCCCGGGTCACGTGAAAGCATCGGCGTATTGGTCGGACTGCGGGCAATTAGTACCACGGTACGGGGAACGGCTTCGGAGATAGGTAAATTATAAACAGTTCGGGAGGGAGAGAAAATGAGCAAGCAGAGTCAGAAGAGATCAAAGAAGTCTGTTCTGACAGAGATGTGGGTTGAGTGATTTGCGTTACAGCTTGCACTGGCGCGCATATCACTGTTCAAGATAGTCACCAAGTGTATCAAGAGTCATTACATTGTTTACATCTTATGATATGATGATGAATGACAAAAGGGTATGTATTTCACGTGGAAGAATGGTAGAAGTGGGTATTGGTATTAAATAAAAGATTCTGGGCTAATCTATCAAAGTAAAAAAGTTCTGACATGGGACACAGGAGAAAAGACACCAATATCAAGCATGTTTTTATCAACCTTGGAACGTCAAAGCAGTTTGGCCACGTTCAGGTTCAGCCAGCTCCTTTACCCTCACATCAGGAGCAATCCTGATATCTGTTTTAGTTCCTGGAGTGATCAAAATGAACTGCCGTCCAATAGAGCGTCGAGCAGCGGACATCTTACAAAAAAAGGTCAGTAAGCTGGACGAACAAGAATCTTTTTGTTTCAGATGCACTTACTAGCATGTCGATGGCCATTCTTCGATTGATGTGGTCCATGTATACATCGCTGCGGGCGTGAAAATTAGTACAGATAAAATAAAACAGCATAATTGCCCTGGAGGGTATACATACAACTCGTCAAGACATCGGATGGGCGATCCCATGGCTTCCCACAGGGCGAGTAGCAGACATATTTGCGAGAAGGACTTCTCGCCACCGGATAGTGTTTTGGCACCGCGGCCAGTTTTGTCGTCCTTGGTGATATCGGGTTCCACCTAAATGGGGAGGGAGGGCATTAGAGTCTGTACGTATATGACTGAAGCGTAAGAGTGTAAGTAATGTAACTCACCTGTAGGTCCAGAATCTTGTTGGTGTGGTCAGTAAGGAGCTGACCACGGAAACTTCTCTCACTGAGAAGATATGTAAACTGTGCCTTGGCGCGAGAGGAAATGTGCGCTCTGAAAATCTCCCATCGTTTCTTACGATTGTGGAGGGTAACCTTGAAGAGCTGCTTGTTGTTAGCGGAATCGCATTGCGAGATGGTAATTTAAGAATTGAAAAAGAAGAGCGTACCTGAGAAATTGTACTTAGCTCTTCGACCTGATCCTTCGCTCGTACATAGGCTGTCTCTGCCCGGCCAGCCTCTGCGGCAATCTCATCCCGTGAGCCACCGAGCCTGGAGGAAGTTAGTACGAAGTCAAAGTCACAAAGTAAGAGCAGAGCAGAAGAGAGCACATACTGTTGAGCGTAGCGATCCAAGTCTCTGTTCAATTTGGAAAGCTTGTGGTCCAGACTGAGAGTTGTCTCGCCTTCATCAATTGCGACGCGGGGGGGAGACCTGTTCGGCCTTCCCACACCACTCAAGAACACGAGCCTTTGCATGCTCTAGCCTTTCCTGAATTTCGTCTCTGTGATGCTTCTGTCTTTCGATATCCGCGACAGCAACATTTTTTCTCATTGAAAAGTTCGCGACGTTTGCCCGCCACCAGTGACTGTTCACTCGAAGCCACGTGAGACCTTTCGACCAGCTCGCTGATGCTTTGGTCCTTCGCCGCTAGTTTTCGTCTGATTTCTTTCAGAGATTGAATCATGTCGTTCATTGCCTGGACACTGTCATGGTAAGATCCCTCCTGGACTTCTTTATCCTCTTCGGCCTCTTTGAATGCTGCCCGCAAGGCATCAAGTCGCCCGTCTTCTGTTGCATTCTCCTTCTCGAGTGCCTCTCTCAGTGTCTCGAAATGGTCCTCCATTTTCTGCATCGAAATCTTCAGCCCTTGCGACTCTCGGCCGTGGCGATTCAGCGCTTGCTGGCAGGTTTTTAAGTGGGAGCGAGCGGACTGCAAGGCATTCTCCGATTCGTGGGCTTGGCGTTTGAGGTCCTGTACGAGTTCACGCTGGGAGCTAAAGATAGGAACAATGTGTTAGAGCCCCGTCAATGTGAACAGTACATGGATAATCTTACCTGACTTGTGCCGCGAGGTCGGATTTCATTCGAGGATGGCCATTATAGGGATAGACTGGGCTTTGGTTGGGATCGCCGAACTGATTGTATGAGAGCATCATACCCCGACGTCTATCGTCTGCGTTGATACTGTAGCAGCGCCTCACGTTTCTTGGGCGCTCGCGACCGAAGAATAAAGTCGATGATGCTTCCTTCAAATCTTCAATCAACACACATTGTTCGATACCGTGGTTAATGATCAATTGGCGTCGGACCATGGGGTTGTCGATCTGGACGGGTCAGTTAAATTCATATGGCGGACTGGATCGTCTTACCTCAAGTACTCGCAAAAACGTATCAAATTGCTGGTCTGGTTCCTTGCCAGACGTATCGAGATTACCGCCACTCCCGATGAAAATTGGGCACACGCTGCATTGACTGTTAGAGATGATTTGGTTCAATCGATGACAGGAGTCTGCTACCCACCAATTGACTTGACGCATTAGGCCCGAGAGAATGTTCATGTCGCCTTTCGAGGAGACAAGAAACGCGCTGAGGGTACCGCCGAGTGTCACCTCGAGGATGGATGCCCATTTTTGTTTGAGCAGAGTAACATGGTGGCCCATCGGGCCTATTGGGCGTGAAGAAAAGCTATTCTCCTTTTCGATGGCACGTAAAAGTGATGGCATTTTATCATGAAATCCATTGCGTCTCTGCCCATCTTCCCGCCTCAGTGAATGTAAGCGATTCTCGGCTTGTTGGACATCATTCTTTTTGTTGTCGTAGTTAGCCTTTGCAGCATGTTCTTCTTTTTCAGCCTTTGCGATATTGGCTTTTAGTGCGCTTTCGCCTTCATTGTGCTGTTCGAGTTTTTCCTTGGCTTCAGTAGCATCCCTGCCAGCTTGCTCACACTCCTCTTGTTTCCGAGCATAACTCCCGTCATTCATTTCGGCAAGACGGCGGTTTTCATCGTCAATATTACTTTGCGCCTCGTTCATACGAGACTCGGCGGCTTTGGCATATTCTCGAATCTGACGTTGTTGGGCCTGCTCTGAGTTAGACAATTTTGTTCTCCCCCCGATGGAAAATACGAAGGGATACGATGCATACCTGAAGCTCAGCACGCTCTTTCATTTTGGCGTCATGCGACTCTTGGATCGTTTCTCGCTCGCCGCGAGCATCCTCAAGTGCCTTGTCAGCCCGGTACGCACATTCCGCAGCCGTTTCTGATTCAGCCTCATTCGCTCGGAACTTCTCATCAAATTCTTCGAGTTCTTCCTCCGCATTCAATATCTCTTCCTCAGCTTTTGTAAAATCTTCACTAAAAGCATCTCGGGCCTGATAATCTGTTAGTCATAATCAAGAGACGAACCGGCCACTACCAACCCTTTCTTGGTCCTCGACCTGAGCCCAGGCCATCTGTGCTCGAATATTCTTCCTGCGATCTCTCAAGGAAGCCTGTTGATCCGAGATTTCCAGTTTCCTCTTAGCAGCATTGCTTCGATTTTCCAGAACACGAATATCTTCCGCCTTGGATCGCAATTTTTCCTCAACCTGATCAATCGACTCTTCAATCAGCCGGTAGTCTCGATCCAATTGTTCCAGCTGCACGCCCTTGACGAAAAATTTGTACTTATCCGCCGGGCTCGAGGTGCTAAGAAATTGTCGAGCTGAATCTTGCGAAAGAACATTCATCGGATTGTCGATTTGTAAAGAGAAGTAGTCGGTGATGGCATCGAGTTCTGCCTTCTTGTTTGAAACAATTCGACCATTCGCCGATTTGATCTTGAAACTGCTCGCTCCACTTCTCGAGAAATGGCGCTCAACGATGATCTTTTCCCCGTAGTCGTCTGCCATGTAGGCACCTTCTTTCTGGTTTTTGAGGTGCACAATGATCGTAGCATTCTCCTTTCCCTGCTTGATAAAACTCTTCAAATTTCCTCCGCGTTGAGTTGCAGAGGCCTTGCCTCCTAGACAAAGCGTAATCGCGGTCAATATGGCGCTCTTGCCACTGCCATTCTTTCCGACAATGAAGTTGATCAGAGGCCCAAGTTCCACGCTGAAATGATCATGACACATAAAATTGTAGCACTCGACCATTTCTAGAATACCTTGATCGGCGGGCTTGTTGGGTTCCTCGGTCACGTGGGCGTATTTCTCTTGGATGATTTGCGTTTGGCGGAATTCCAAGTCCTCTTCGTTTTCAATAGGCTCATCATCGAGATTGGTGCTGTTTTCCTGATCGCTTGATTCGTAGGAGGCTGGCGTTGCCGAAGTCCGAGGTCGTTTCCTCTACTCCAAATATCAGAATATGCTTGATCTTGTTTTTGGCTTTGTTCGTGACGTACCGAAGGGGGAGGGGACGACCCTGATGCAGCACTTGCAGAGTCATCGTCGCTCGGGTCGTCAGGATCCTGAGAGACCTGCACGCGTTTGAAAGACGGCATTCTCGTAATGTATGTGCCGGAATCAAATACGCGCGACGAAAGATGTGCCCATGGTCACAAATGTCTGTTTGATTGACAGGTAGCACAAGCACAGAGCAATCGCGTCGGCGCGCATTTTCGCGTCAGCGGATGCTTAGGTAAGCGGGATAGTCACTGATAAGGCGGGGTCCCCAACCCTAGCCGCGGCCCTGGGAATTCAAGTTTACTTCAATCAGTAGTGAACTCATCTACATTACAGTGGCGTTCACATTGAGGAAATCATTTGATTCAGGATTCGATCCAGCATTTGATTAATATATATGCTACAACTAAATTCCCTGGCCAAGGACCAAGACACCAATGTTTCGATTGAACCATTTCGATTGTTCATTTCGTTCCAACGGGTACACTACTAGAGGGCCTCAGTACATTTTTATAGGGTGGGCTCCTCGGCGACATAGTGCAGATAAGCGCCGAGCAACTTGGTTCCCTCAATGTAGTTCCTGCGGTCAAGCTTCTCGTTGATGGAGTGAGCAGCGTCGGTGGAGCTGCCCATGGGAAGAAGGAGAACATTCTTTCCGGTGGCTTGCTCGAAGGTCAAAGTCACGGGAATACTGTTGATACGGTCAGCAGTGTTCCACTTGTGTGGAAAATAAAATAACGAAAATTGAAATGGGCTTAGGCTTACCTTCCACCCTCACGGGTCATATCGGGCTCGACGCCAAAGACTTGCTTCACAGCCTTGCTGGCAGCGCTGAAGTTGCCGTGCTTAGGGCTGGCAACCCACCACTTGCCGTCGTGCTGCAGCCAAACGTCGAGAGTGTTCTTGCTGTTAAGCTTGGCGAATTCAGCCTTGATGTAGTCGAAGACCAGCTTGTTCACATCGGCGCTCTCCATGTTAGGCACAGTTCGGATGGAGAACTTGCCAATAACCTTGGCTGGGATGACGGTCTTGGCACCGGGGGCAGAGTAAGCACCCTCGACACCGTGGATCGACAGGGAAGGGAACCTCCAACGGGCCATGAGGGTTCGCTCCTTTGTTGCGTGGATGCCGGTCTCGGCACCCAGAGATTCGTGAAGGTTCTCCATGGTGTAGCTAATGTCGGGGTAAAGAGCCTTCTCCTCCTCAGTGACGGGAGCGACAAGCTCCGCAATGCCGGGGATGAGAATGTTACCCTGAGCATCAACAAGCTTTGACAGAACATTCACAAGATCAGTCATGGGCTCGTGGGCAGAGCCACCGAAGACACCACTGTGAAGATCTTGGGCAGGGCCCGAGATGCTGATGGAGTAGTAGTTGCAGCCGCGAAGACCGTAGGTCAGGCAAGGCTTCTCAGTGCCGAGCCAGTAGTTATCAGAAATGCAGACAGCATCAGCATCCTTGAAGTACTTCTTGCTCTCAGCCTGGATGAAATCATCCAGACCCTCGGAGCCGTACTCCTCCATCCCCTCGAAACAGCAGAGCAGGTTAACGGGGAAATCAACGCCGGCCTTCTTGTGAGCTTCGATAACGTTGAGCCAGCCGAGAACGGGACCCTTGTCATCAGTGGAACCACGTCCATACATGCGATCCTTGTCATCGATGGTCAGCTCGAAAGGCTCGGTGGCCCAGCCATCCTCCTTCAGAGCCGGCTGCACATCGTAGTGACCATAAACCAGGATGGTCCGCTTGTTGGGGTCGTTTCCGTAGCGCGCAACGACAACAGGAGGCAGCTCGAGGTGCTCCTTGCCAGGCTGCTTGCCCAGAGGTCTTTGCTCAACCTCGGCTCCGAGAGCAGTGAGTTCATCGGCTAGGAACTGGGCCATCTTTGAGGGGACAATATTAGGTTAGCCTTGCATAACCTGAACGGAAATGAGAGTTTGATCGACTCACTCTGACAACATCAGGGCGGTTCTCATCTTGCGCCGAGACGGAGGGAATCGCAACCGCCTTTCGCAGACCTAGAGGTATTTTGTTAGCTACACACTCGATCCAACAAGCTTCGCAGTTCGGCGGCAAACCCCGCACGAAGCTTGATTGACCAGGCACATACGATCGATGAAGTTCTCCGACGAGTCGTCGACCCTGGAGGTAGACGCCTGTTAGTTTTTCTCTTTGAGCCCGGTGAGCAGAGGCTATAACATACTGCTTGAAGAAGGGTTCCAGTGAAGGCGCCATTTTGGTGTCGCTGATATGTCCGTAGAAAAAGCGGCGAGGAACAGGAACGTATGGACGAGGAGAGAACCGGGAAAGAAGCGATTGCCCAGGTTTTGCGAGCGAGGGGAGACGACGGAGGGGAAGGAGGGGCATTGCAGAAGGGCACCCTGTGGCACTGCAGAAGAGTCTTATCACGTAATTAGCCCTGCGGCGGTGTTGTACCCAGTTGGAAACCCCGGCTGTAGCCGCCTATCACAGCAATGATGATACCAAGGTTCGCAGCAGGCAGAAAAAGCAGTGCACAGAGCGGCCCATGCGCTATTTATATAAATTGCACCCCTAAAGAGTACTACATTAGATCTACAATCGTGGAAAAGGAGGTCTTGCCTCCCAATTTTACACTATCTCTGTTTTGACACTTGCTATCCGGTGTGCCGTGCAGGTGGCCTCGGAGTCCACGAATTAATTGACAGGCGACCCACTCCACTTCTACGCTTGTGGTCGATGGTGGTTGTGTGGTATTGTTTTTTTTTCCTCCCTCCTCTTCTTCTACCTCTTTTTCTTCTCTTTCAGCAATCAAGGTTATTTGATACAATTGATATGAATAAATCTGGGAATAGAACAGATGCTAGCTTAGAATACATGTCGTTTTATACAGGGGTTACGCATGGTATCCCCAGGTCCTCATGCCACCCACCTCCCCAAGGACCCAATTCCGACTCTTAATCCAAATGAAACCGACGATAAGCGCAAAACCATTGGCCAATCGTTTATTCATCGCGTCCCCAAGCCTCCCGACGCAACTTCCGGTCTTCCCTGGCCATCCGTCGCTTCGGACCCCATCGTGATTGTACAGCTTCCAGGACCTGCTTCTGGATCGCCTTCTTCTCGGGACTAGCTCCACAGACCTTCGCAATGAAGAGCGGCGAGCACTCAAACTTCTTAGCCAGACTGTACCGGCTCCAGGTCATCGGGTCGTTCAATCGGAGCTTGCGGATCTCCTCGACATCCTCGGGTGTTAGGTGGTATTTCCTTTCCGGCTCGGTCTTGTACACGCTGGGCAGTTCGTTGACATCGGTAGTAGCTGTAGCAGCATTCGCTGGCCGCATGGCACGTCGGACATCATTGACAGGCAGGAACTTGCTGGGTGTGTGGTAGACCGACGGGGCGCTGGAGGGTGGGTTGTAGATGATTTGGTCACGACCCTGTTGAGATGGGCCGAAAGATGCATCCGGCTTGACGCGAAGCCGTTGCTTGGTGCGGCGATATGAGGATTGGTGGCGCACGGCACCAATGGAGAGAGATTCTGTCAATGAGGGAAGCAGAAAGGGTAGCGTCAAGAAGGGCCGCTTGGGCATTGTGATCGAGGCCGCCATTATTGTGGTAGCGCAGATGTCGAATATCTGGTAGAAAGAGCGGAGGTGTAAGAATTGATGTCCAGGTTGATTAGGATCGAGGATTGAGGACGCGGAGGGAATGGGACGACCGGTGGACCGATGCACCTTCCACAGGAGGACGTGTCGAGGCCGAACTTTTTCCCAGATGGCACGTGACTAAGGGGCTTGACTAGATTGGGCATGGCGTCACGGGGGGGATCCAACAGAAAGTACCTGGTACCTAAAAGCTACTATGAGATACCGTTATATATAAAAGTACCCGGTACTTCCTCCGACATCCGCGTTGATCACCTGGCCATCGAAGGATGTCATCATCTTACTTTCTGAAGATCATGAAACCCCTTATTCCTCAATATCACCTTACCACACTCACCTCACCTTGTTGAACAAAGTCAAGGCCGCGTTTGAATCTTTCAAAGACGGCTTATGGTCATGGCCAACGTCTATTAGAAGAGCCCTTTGAACACCTCGGTTTCTACAGTTCTCAACAATCCGACGATCCCCTCCAAGTTGACATTCTTCCCTCTACACATCCGTCGCCGCCATGTCGGGCCCTACGAGTTCGCCACTCGATTCTACAGAAAATACGTTCTCACCACCCGGTTCTTTTCCATCGGAAATTCCAGATGATATCACAAGACTGGCAGATCAGAATGTCCCTCTGGTCGGAAAGCCAGCAACAAGCGTACGAGCTCCCAGGCCAGCAAATTTGACCTGGGCACAGCTTCAAAACGTGGAGAAAGATGCATCTGGAGAGCATGCAATCGCAACAAGATCTGCTGCTTCCCATAGTGGTCCCGTATCACCAATTTCACCAATCAGTTCCTCTGAAGCACTGCGAACCCCGAATCTCGATCGGCAAAAGAACAACCCATACAGGACTTGTTCGTCCCCGGGATCCTCCTCACATGTCCCGCCACGTCTTCACTCCCCAGCTTCTCAAATATTTGAGCGCAGCGTACAGGAGGATATCATCCCCGTCCAAGCATCTCCATCGATACCCGCGCATATTCGCACAGAGAACTATATCCCGCCTGTTTTGGAAGCATCCTCTGCTGCAATAACCGATGAACAATTAGACCCTGACTCTGTTGAGATCGTAACTCATAGCCTACATCAGCCCGCCACGGGTATCCCCAATTCCTCGACAGCGGAGCAGTCATTGTCATCCTCCGGCATGATTGATCACGCCGGTCTACACTCAGATGCGGATGAAATGTCTTCCTCGTCCGGTGCGTTGGATACGGATGTACGACGTCTTAGCTTCATATCGTTTGCAGACGTGGTCAATGCCGAACACGCTGCCGAGCATGCGGAGAGCGAATCTGTGTACAACCGAGAGCCTTCCCAGGGCACTGCTATCTCTGGGAACCCCATAACTATAGGGTCTCTGAATCGATCTCCATCGCCACTGCGCTCACCTGCTTCTTCCCATGCACTGGGGACATCACCTCCCACCAGCATGGAGGCTTCATTTAAAGGCCTCGACATGTCCCCAAGTCATCACGCGGTGCGTCGGCCTGGAAGCCCACTGCCGCTGGCCCAGAGCCCCGTGTCTTCTAGTTTCGGCGGGGAGCTGAATGTGGAATCGATGACCCAGGCGTTAAGAAGAACGGGCAGTGGAGATCTGGGAGGCGTGATAAGCCAAACTACTAGTGCTGTTGGAGTTGACGAGACTCTTGATCGTTCAACCTGAACTGGAGTCTGACTCAGATAACATGGCAACGGGGTATTGATTGCTTATTATGATAGGCGCCATGTGATCAAATGCCGGCGGGAGTTGCCCATACTATCTTTTTCGATGGGAATGAGAATGTCATATGGCACATATGGCATTATTTTCGGTGGACAATGTGCGCAGGCTCGTGGATTCCCTTTAGTATATTTTCGGCAGGATTGCTGGTGCTGGTTGCTATTTTGCTTTGATGACCTTACATAACTCAATATATGGAGCTGGCTATCCTTGAGTATACGTGCTTCTAAGAGCTTCGAGTTCTGAGTACTTGGTCGCCACATGATATTTAACAATGTTTGTACATATTATACCCTTGATTGTAACTGGAATTACATGATGATACAAGCAATAAACAAACTAGTACATACTAGTAAGTTGAAAAACCGCAAATTTTGGAACATTGTTGTGCTCCCTCGGTTCTGTCAAATTCTAGTAGGATACCCTGTACCTACTGATTCTATACTAAGTAGCTCAGAAATGGCATGAAGTGCCAGATTAATATTGTTGAATGCATATATAATTTTGGGATTGACAACTCTATTTCCGTGCCTTTTCCACCGCGTCCAGAGCAGTCTTGAACCTGGAGCGCAAGTCCGATATCTCCTCGAGTCCGACGCTGATTCTAACCAGGTCAGGGTCCACATTGAAAGATTTCGCCTGGAAATAGGAATTGCTTGTTAGTTTGAATCATTAAACAAAAGCATATTTGTGGAAGACTACATACCCAGTCCAATTCACCGTAGTGAGCCAGGAGAACGTAGGGGGAACTAGAGAACAGCACTCAGTCAGTATGTTCGGAACCGGATGTATATCCTTTGAAGAGATTTTAAACTTACGCAAGAGTGAAATTTGTGCCGAGACTCGGGCCCTTCAGGACCTCGAGGGTGTCGTAAAATGCAATTGCCTCGGCATTTGAGTGGAAAGTGACGGAGAAAAGCCCACCATAACCGCCGTGAGGGTTGCGCAGGCTATCATAAATAGGTCGTGTCGGGCTGTATTTGGGGTAATGGACTTCCTTGACTGTTGATGTGATTAGTATTACAACATGACATGAAATATAACAGAAAAAAAGGATCGAGAAATGCTTACTTAGTGGCGAATCCTTCAGCATGGCCGTAACGTTCTCGGAGGTACGATTGATCTTGTCGATTCTTGCCACAAAGTCCCGGCTGTTTCGCTCCAAGAAAACAGCATCCTCCGCCCAGTAAATATCTTCAAAGTTTCGATCATAAGTTTCTTTCAGGAGTTTGTAGTACTGCCCTTGAGGGTTAAGCACTGCACCTCCGCCCATGACGTTGCTGTCACCACTGAAAACCTTGGTAAGACTGCTGGCAACAATATCCGCATACCGAAGGACATTGATGTTGATGAAATTGCTGATGGTTTCGTCGACTACCACGGCAAAGTCGTATTTGTCACCCAGAGCACGAATGCGAATAAGGTCGGGAGTTCTCAAAAGAGGGTTTCCGGGAGCCTCAAGGAAAAGTCCAAGGAAGCGTTCGCCATTCTTTAGTCGCGCTTCCAGGTCATCTAGGTCCTCTGATGAACCATGACCATAGAACAAACAACCGGGTCCCCATTTCTGTAGGATTTTCAAGGTATCGGTATAAGGGAAACCATAGCAGATGCTTTTCAATTGGCCTCTAGAGGCCAGAAGTGTTTGATGAGCATTGAAGATGGCGCTCATCCCAGAAGGATATAGGTAAACGTCGTCCTCGGAGATACCAGCAACGCGACCTTCAGCCGAGTCCGCTTCAAGGGCCTCTGGCAGCTCGACATTGGCAGTTAGGACACCCGAGATGCGCTTTCTCACGGCAAGCTTGGCTTGGTTTGCAAGCATGGTGCTGAGGTTACGACCGAAGCGTTCCTCAATGAACTGAGCATAGTCCCGACCATCTTCCACGCCGTTAGCCAAGGGAGATGTCTCCGCGGGAGGACTACGCGTGATTCCAGTGATGGAGCCTCTTCCCTGGTATCTCCTAGGTCCCTTGCAGGGCCGTTGCGACAATGACTCGGCCGATGTGGAGGGGACCTTCTCTTCTACCAAGAATCCGTCCTCCAGAGCACGCAGACAAAACTCGCCTCGTCGGCTCGAAATTCCATTGCCAGAATGCTGCCACACTTGCTTAGAAATGGGAGCATGTTCCTTCGGGTATATAACGGCTGACAAGGAGGAAGTGACTGTTGATGGTCCGGCCTCGGCATGCGGGGAGGGAATAAAGTTCACGATGCGGACTTTGCGGGCGTCCTCGGCGGGCAGTTTGGAGAGGATGAACGATTGGCAAAGGAGGGCGGTTTTGACAGAGGGAAAAAGAGTCGCCGTTTCTGTTTCTGGGTTTCCGTGACGACGAACAATTTCTTGGGCGAGTTTCTGGATGCTGGGGTGCACGAAGAACCGGGGGTAGCCGCATACCATTTTACTGATAACCCAGTCTTCGCCTTCTTCGTAGCCGATGTTGGCCCTCCAGGTGGGTAGCGATACACTAACAGCCTATAATTTGGTTAATAATTCACCCAAGGTCTCACACTGAAGACGATTGGCCTCGCGACAACGAGAAATGGCCAATGCCGCTCCAAAGGTATAATGGAGGGGTTCATCGCGGGGTTTAGGAAACATACATGGTCAGTGTTCGGGGGGACCGTCCCTCCAAGTGCTTGAAGCATGGCAGAAAAAATCGATTAGAAAAGCTTCAAGAATGCCAACGGCAGAAGTAAAGAATGAAAATGATGTAGAGAGAGAAAGAGAAAGAGCAAAAAGTCGAGTCACATAACTAGATGCGACTTCGGCGCACCAGGCACGAGCACGAACACTGCATGACTCAGCGAGTGGGTCCCGCGATGCCCCAGTCCGTGTTATCGCCCGAATTTTTTTTTTGAGATATCAAGCTCTCCACTCACCACAGTCGCTGCTAGGTCAACCAGAATCGTGAAGTTGCCACAATGTCTTCACACACGGTGAAGCGACGGAAGATTAGCCCAGAACCGTCTGGTGCTCCTCAATCCGACACCAATCCTCAGACCGCCGCAACAACGACGACGACAGACTCAAAGGCAAAGAAGAGTGATCACACCTCTTCTGCCCGCCGCAATGACTTCTTGACGAAGGGCCTGTCAGGCAATAAAGGAAAGGATGAGCGATCCGCTGAGCTTGCAATGGCTAGTGGCCATTATAAGTCCAGCTTCTTCAAGCTGCAGATGGATGAGCTACTGACTGGCCTGAGACCGAACTACGACAAACAGATCTCCAAGTTACAGGACACTCTGCACAAATTGAAGGGCGCCATTGAAAATCTCCCCGAAAAAGCTCCCAAATCTGCTTCAGAAGCGGAGAAGGAGCTTCGCACTGTTTCCGGCGGAGTCGCAGTCCCCTGGCCCGAACCCCGACCTGCAAAAGATGCGAAATATACTATGTCCTACGCGAAACCATCAAACATAAACGTGATCGGAAGCTTTGCATTGAAGAATGGCACCAAAACTTCCGACCCTCGTCCAGTTGATTTGGCGGTGACTATGCCTAGCTCGATCTTCCAAGAAAAGGACTACGTCAACCATCGCTATTTCCACAAGAGGGCATACTATGTTGCATGCATCGCAGCCGGGATCCAGGACACCGCCAATGCCCTTGATTTGGAGGTCAAGTTTGGACACCAGGACGGAGACAGCCTTCGTCCTTTGATTCTATTGGAGCCTCGCCCTTCCACCAAAGGCAACAAATCGACATCATCGCGCCCCCAAATCCGAATTCTGACTGCAATCGATCCTACTCTATTTCCAATCACCCGGACACAGCCCGCGAAGTGCAACATCCGACAAGGCTCTTCCACCGACAATGCGGAAATTGGCGAGCCGACTCCATTCTACAACGCAAGTCTTCGATCCGAGGCCACAGTCTCCCTCTACCATAAACAGCTCCACCTGGCTTCTCAAAAATGCGAGTCATTCCGCGACGCTTGTATCCTGGGACGCACATGGTTGCAGCAACGGGGCTTCCACTCTCCATTCCAAAATGGAGGGTTCGGTGGTTTCGAGTGGGCCGCGCTCGTGTCTCTTCTGTTTGAAGGCGGTGGCCCTACTGGCCAACCAATTCTCATGCGTTCCTACAGCAGCTATCAAATCTTCAAGGCCGTTGTGCAATTCCTGGCTGGCCGAGACCTGACGACGCCTTTGCTATTGAACGCCACCGACATTCCTGTCTCTGGTAACGGTCCGGTACTGTACGATGGTAGCAGGGGATTGAACATCCTATACAAAATGACTTCCTGGTCCTATGCGTCCCTCCGCCATGAAGCCAGTGTCACTCTCAAGATGCTCAATGAATCCCGGGTGGACAATTTTGACCGAGTCTTCATTGTCAAGGTAGATGAGCCGGCTTTGAGGTTTGACCGTCTTATCTCCTTCCCCAAGTCATTCCATGGCGATACCCTTCAAGCTCTTCGCGAACAGAATGCGCTGTATACTGTTCTTTCAAGAGCCCTTGGGGATCGTGTCAAGCTCATCTCCTTGACGAGCCAGTCTGCTGGCACTTGGTCGGTCCGCTCAAAGGCACCGAACAAGAAAGCAAGCAATGAGCTTTCGGTGGGTCTTCTGCTCGACGCCGATAATGTCTCCCGCGTTGTCGACCATGGCCCTGCCGCCGAAGAGAAAGATGAAGCAGCATCATTCCGAGCTTTCTGGGGTAACAAGGCGGAGCTCCGACGATTCAAGGATGGCAGCATTTTAGAGAGTCTTGTGTGGTCTGATCAGCCTTCTGATGATTCCATTGTGCATCAAATCTTGGTCTGCGCCCTGAACCGCCATTTCCAGATTCCGGAAGATGATTTCCTGCTTACTGGTGATGAGTATGACGACCTACTCTATGACGAGGGCGACGAGATTGTCTCGTACCAAAACCCCACGTTCCAGTCTATCAAGGAGGCATTTAGTGAATTGGAGCAGTCAGTCCGAAGCATGGAGGAAGTTCCATTGGAAATTCGACACCTTGCCCCAGCCAGTCCACTTCTTCGGTATACTGCGCTTCGAGTACAAGGATCCGCAGCCAATGAACCGGCAGACGTTGTTCTTCAATTCGAAAGTTCATCACGCTGGCCCGATGACTTCGCTGCCATTCAAATGACGAAGGCAGCTTTCCTCATAAAAATCGGAGATTCTTTGAAGTCAACAGGTGCCGCATCCTCATGCCGCGTCGGCCTGGAGAACGAAACCAGCAAGATCCTGAACAGCGGATATCTTGATATCGTCCACTCTTCTGGATTCCTCTTCCGCCTTCGAATTCACCATGAGCGCGAACAAACCCTCCTCGAGCGCCAATTGAAAGACAAGACCATCAGCCCTCGGGAACGGGAAGAAGTTGCCCACGCTCTATTCTCTTACAAGAAGAACTTCATCCAAGCGCCCCGCTTGACCCAAGCGATTCGCAGTCTTTGCACTCGATTCCCATTACTCTCCCCAACTATCCGCCTGGTCAAGTTCTGGTTCCACTCCCACCTTTTCTCAGCGCACATCTGTGACGAATTGATCGAGCTCATCACGACCCGAGCTTTCACACAGCACTATCCCTGGAACAGCCCCTCAAGCATCATGACCGGATTCCTGCGGACATTGCATTTCCTTTCCCGCTGGGATTGGCAACACGAGGCTCTAATCATCGATCTTGCCGGTGATTTAACCTCCGAGATCACAGAGAAAATCCGCACCCGATTCAACGCATGGCGTAACATCGACCCGGCCATGAACACACTTGCCCTTTTCGTCGCATCCGACATCGACAGCGAAGGCGTGACCTGGACGCAATACGAAATGCCGCCCAAGGTCGTGGCAGGCCGAATGTCCGTTCTGTCGAAGGCGGCAATGGACTTGCTACGAAGCCAGGGCCACGAATTGGATGTACCCGATCTCTTCCAAACCTCCCTTGCGCCGTATGACTTTGTCATCAATCTGCGGTCGAAGATGTTGGGAGACCGCGCTGTATCCAAATTCAAGAACATTGCCGAGGCAGAGGTATCCGGTCGTGCGGGTAAGATGGCCATCGTCAAGGCATTCGTTCGTGACGTTCAGGCTTGCTACGGTTCAAGCCTGCTATTGTTCCACGGAGATACCAGTGCCGATGTCGTTGCTGGTATTTGGAACCCGCAGACGCTGAATCCTAAGAGTTGGAATCTTAAGACTGCCTACTCGACTGCACCCGCGCCGGGCAATGATTCTACACAGCAGGATCGCGTTGTGATTAACCAGTCTGCGATTTTGAACGAAATTGCCAGACTTGGTGAAGGACTTGTTGATACGATAGAGAGCGGCAAAGTTGGAGCATAGATGTGAAAAACATAGTGTTTTGTGGGGATTTTAAATGTCGAATTATTAAATTTTTATCTTATTGGCGAAAAATGTACATTACCTGCTAGCGCCACTGCAATGCAACCTCATCTTTATCAAATAGACAGAACAGACACAAACCCCTCCGGTAGAGAACCACCGTAACAAAATATTGCGTGAAAAAAAAACAACAGAAATCATTTTACATTCTTCATGAATTATCCTCATCCCCGATCCGATTTACCCGTCGGGACCTGCGAGGAGAAGGAACAGAACTTATCCTTAATTGCGACGACTTCATAAGTTCCCTCGTCGGAGGTTTTGACAGTCTTGATATTCTCGTAGGAAATGTCGTGCTTGATATCGAGGATCTCGGACTTCTTTCCCTTGCGAGCGTTGGAGCTTCGAATATAACTAGGATTCAGAAAAGAGATTAGTATCTTGAATGGTGGGTAGGAGAGCGATAGAAATACTCACGTGAATTCAAATGGCGGCGTTCCCCAGAACTCAAAGTGAAGCTCAGCTTCTCCACCTTCATGGATATCCACAACAGAGAGCTGGCCCTTGCTGATGCGCACGCTTGGCATCTCGTGAATGGTCTTGGTGATGTCCTTGTGTGCTTTGCACTTGCCACTGGCCCCGTCACCGACAGCAGTGATGGTAAAGTCACCAGCGCGTTCAGCTATACGACGGAAGTCCGTATTGTGTGAGGTAGCTTTGCGCTGCGCACCATTGAAAGTGTAGAACACTTCAAAGGGTGCGTGTCCGGATAGAGCGAACGAAAGTCGCTCACCGACACAGTAGTCAACCTTGGACTCGAGCGGGATGATGGTCGGCACATCTGAGACGGCCACGCGGACATTTGAAGTATCAAATTCAGTGGTGCGTTGGCAACCCCGGGAGTCGCGGACTTTGTGGATGCTGACGACATGTTGGCCAAGGTCCAGGTGACGTCGAGGGATGGGGAGGTTGTGGCGGTGCGAGGGAATCTTCGGAATGGTGACAATCTCTGGCTTGGCGTTTGAGTGGTGTTTGATTGTGATCTCCAAGGAAAATGGAGGTAGGCCTTCCAATGTGATTGGAATTGTCTCTTCGCCGGTTGCGTCTTCTTTACAGAATCCATAGATGTGTCCAGGAGAGTCAAACTTGGCGGATGGTAGTGTGTTCACTCGCTGGGTAACCTCGAGGATATCTTGCTTTGAATCATGATCGTAAAGGTTGTCACCGACCTTGGCAAATTTGTAGCTGTATGAGCCGGGCTCGGAGGTATCCATCTCCATCGAGACTACGTTTAGAGCTGTATTCAAATTGCGGGAGCGAACAGATGATGACCCGCGGTCTGTTTTGCGTCGCTGTTCATACTGAAGGGCAAATGGAGGATTACCGGAGAGGCGTAGCTCGAGGCTGTCATCATCACCTTGGCAGACCTCCGGCTTCACATACTGGTTCGCAACGGGCGAACTATCCACAGCGGTAATTCGTGGTCGCGGGATCCAAGACACGTCAAAATTATTAGCGGACTGATCCACCGAGCCGGGGCACGACTTATCAAAGACCTCCACAAGCTCATAAACACCGTCATTTTTGACGGAGAGAAGAGCGTTGCTGTCCCAGAAGACTTGGTCCAGAATTGAATCGCCGGAATTGGTATTCCGGTATTTCACTGTCCACGGCTTTTCACCGCTAAGTCTCAATGGGATGTTGATCTTCGAGCCTTGCAGAGCAGTGATGCTCCTCTGCTTTTCAATTTGACCAAACGCAGCATGTGGAGGCTTCGACCGGGCATCAATTCTGATATTTTCCTTGAGTGTCCGTTTGCACTTTGACTTGTCCTTGACATTAGTCAATGCCAGAACATATTCACCGCCATTTACCAACTTGTCGGTTGTGATAGTGGCCACCTCGGTCTCAGACTCCAGTGTATGCTTCGTTCTCTTGCCATTGTTGAGGAGTTCGTATTGAAGAGTCCACGGAGCTTCGCCCAAGAATGCTACATCCACGGAGACAGATTCACCGAAGCATGCCTTCTTCACGCTTCCTTGGCCACGGAAGTGCGCCGAGGCTGGTGGCTTGACATCCTGTTCGAGAACAGGCACTTTGTCCCTGAGCGAGCGAGGGGAGTAGATAGAATCCTCGATATCGATGAAACGGTATCTATAAAAGCCTGCCTCTGACGGTGTAAGGTCCAATTGGGTTCGGAGTCCATCGATCCTTTGAGTTTTGGTAACTGTACCACCCCGATGAACAGAGCTTTCGATGCTATAGCGAAGACGGAAAGGCGGCGATCCAGTCAGATCCAGATCCACGAGGAGACCAATGGCATTGTTAGCGCATCGGTCAAACACCTTCTCTGCCTTAACGGACAATTCGGGCTCGGGGGGGATTAAGCAAGTAGCAAGATGCGGGCTCGAGAACCTCTCCCGGGCAGTATTGACTGGCAACCGATTGCAATGAATACCAACCAGATTCTTTAATTGGCGACTTCTGATCCAGATTCTTCAACGCGAGGATTTTGGCACTATCTGGATCTCTCTGGCTTTGAGAAGGATCGGAATTATGGAAAGAGTACGCCACGGTGAATGGGCCATCATTAGCGTACCCAATTCCAACATTTTGGAAGTTGAGGGGCAGATTGACGCTGTCTCCATGGGCGACCTCCAAAGGACGCTGATCATCACAGCCCGACAAGGACACACGCGGACGTTCGTGAATGGAGAACTGATGCCATTGCGAAGGTGATTTAGAAGATGGTTGATCACCTTCCTCGAAGAGGGTAGAGTAATTTGCAACATTGCCTGCGGCATCGTGGACCTCCTCGATGGCGTAAAACCATTCTCCACCAACGTTCAAAGACTCGTTCAGGGGGACGTCGATTCTTTGGCTTTGAGCCCATGAAATATCTGGCTGCTTGATACTGAAGAGAGCGCCGGTCGATCTTTGACTCAATAATGGGGATCGTAGATTATCTGGCTGGATATTTTGGAATGAATATCCACGATCGAGCTGATTGACCTGTCGACTATACTTGATCTTCAGTGGAGGCGTGCCTTCAACTTCGAGCACCAGATTCGACAACTCTCCCTTGCATTTGTTCGTATGGGAGTTTTTGATTAGTGCCCGAGGACAGGATACCACCAAAGCATCTGATATCCGCGTGCGAACATCAAGCTCTGATTTATCTACAACTCTCTGGAGACGATAGATACCGGTTTTGCGCACGGGAATGAGGAGATCTCGGTGGGGGACTGTGTCCACAGTGGAATGTCTCTTCTCGGCCTGGCGTTTGAGTTGTTTCAACTGTTTAGCTGGGACTGTGAGGGTCTCGTTCTCGCCTGTGTGGAGATCAAGTCGCAAGATTTCGATGAGAATCGGGTCAGTTTGGTTGACGCGGATGGGGAGATCAATGGTGGTCTTCTGGGAGTCGAGACAAAGTGGCTCGCGCTCGGGATTGAGAACAGCAGATCTAAAAAGGTCAACGAGAGCCAACCCTTTTTTTTTGGAGCAAAGCTTACCCTTCTGGCAAAATGTGCACGATTTGTTTTCCCAGAATCAACGAAGCATTATGAATGATGTCACCCGGCTTGACCTTTCGTTCGGAAATTGAAAGCTCGCGGTCGTAAGCGACTTTGACCAGACCTGCAAACCATGCGCCAATGGGTAGCTAAAACAATTCGATTAGTCTTCATCCTCTCCATCCCGTACCAGCCGGAAATCAGAAGTAAACTCACTGGAATGCGGAACATCAGAAAGACATTACCAACGACATGCAGCAAAAGCAGTGCCAGCGTTGTCGGGAAAGCCCATTCTAGCCAGGGAATGCGCAAGGCCTGAAGACCAAAGAGGAAAACTCCATCGAATGTAACCCATTTCAAGAATAACCAAGTCGAGTCCAGCTCGTCAGATGCGGTCCAAGACTCATATACACGCCATAGGTTGAGCACAAGGTAGAAAGCCACCACATAGAGCCGTTGTGAAGGGCCATCGATTAGATTGACCGGGACGAGCGGGTTGCTGGTGTTCTGGGGCGGTTTCGGCGGCGATACCTTTGCGGGTGATTTGGCAGACGACCTCACAGCAGGCGTATCGCGCCCATCGCGAAAAGGCTGAGACCGAGAAGGTGTTTCAAACAGCTTCTTTCTGTTCCTTGGGAGGGTCTGAGGCGTCTGCGGAAAAGCAGACTGAAGGCGGGGAGTACCGTTCATGGCATGCTGCGATCACCAGGGTCCAGCTTGGTTGAGAAGTGATTTCCCACGCAAGGAAGGAATACCAGGGCGCGACGGTCACTGGTCTGGCGGCGACAAGAGGGCGCAAATCGGGTTGGGCGACGATTGAATGTGGATCACCAAGCAGTTGGGGGAGATGGGGGGTTGGAAAAACAGAAACAAAAAAGTGATTGTGACCGAGACGCGGGAAGCGCGTCGGAGGAAGCTCGGTCCACCGCCAACATGCCTCTATACAACGACCGCAGTGGATGGGGTTTTGGGGAAAGAATTTCAAAGAAATGTCATTTTTGATATTGAGAGAGAATACAAACTTATCTCAAGTATTGAGCAGACTCATATACTATTTTAGCTACTTTATTATGGCTATGGGAGAATACTGATAGCTCTGGGGAACTCAAAGCGGTGTAAGCTCACCTATCCAGGCATTGTACTGGCTAAGAAATATATACAACCGGCAGTAAACTTGGATATGAGATATTAGGCAGCATTGAGGACTGAAGGGGTACATAGGATACTAGTTCAATTTATATTGACTAGCGATAGACCTGCATCATGTCTACATTCGAACTTGGTCTCTACATTTTATATCACATCACACACACACAACAAATAAACTATATTCTGGACGAGAGTTCTACTCCCATATTAGGCAGAATGCAAGGCGGTCAGCCATTTGAGACGTAGCTTTCGGAGTGATTGTATCTAGTCCTACATACATACCCAATTTCAACATTTTCTACAATTTTCTTTTTCACATCCTTTTTCCTCTGCTTCCTTCTCTCCTACGAAAAGGGCCCCTTCCGCCTCTATCACCGCAATTCCCTTTCATGAAAACAGCTTGAATCGTTCTTATCATGGGACCACCCTCTAAACGACAACGCCGGTCCAACTCGACTGAGTGCTCAAGTGATAATATCTGCCAGCCGGCAACACACCTCGAGAAAGACAGCTGGAATGGATTTTGCGAGATTGAGTCGGAACCGGTCAGACTGTTTTGGTCTCAAGTACGGCCTAACCCAATCAACTAATCTCCTTCCTCAGGCCTTATTCAATGTGATGCTTCGAGAATTCGGCGTGAAAGGCGTCAAAGTTCAGGAAGTGGTATCTCTCGATGAAGAGTTGATGGTTTTTTTAAAGTGAGAACTGAGAACTGAGAAATGAGAACTGAGAACTCCATGCCCGCTCCGATAAAACATCAAAGCATACGGAACTGACTTGATGCCCGGGGACACAGCCAACCTATCTACGGCCTGATCTTCCTCTTCCGCTGGCGGGAGGACGATGCCGAGAAGCAAGAAGCGTCATGTCCGGATGGACTTTGGTTTGCCAACCAGGTATGATTACAAAGGAAAAACAAGACTTTTCTTTTTGGGAGATTGGCTGACCATTGCCAATGCCAGACGGCAAGCAACGCATGTGCCAGTGTGGCCCTCCTGAATATCGTCAACAACATTCCCGACGTTGACCTTGGAGAGAACCTGCAACAGTTCAAAGAGTTCACAATGCCCTTTACCCCGGCACTCCGGGGCGATGCAATTAACAACTTCGAGTTTGTCAAGAGGGTACATAATTCGTTCGCACGGTACGCTAAGCATAGTCTTCATACTACCTATTACATAAAACTTTTCCGGGCTAATTCCGAGTGACGATGCACATTATAGGAAGATGGACATTTTGAACTCTGATCTACAATTGAAAGGAGAAGCTACCTCTTCAAAGCGTTCCCAGAAGCAGATATCCGGCGACGAGGATGCCACATTCCATTTTATCGCATTTATGCCGGCCATGGGCCAGGTCTGGAAGTTAGATGGGCTGGAACGACAGCCCCAAGCCATCGGTTAGTTCTTTCCTTTTCGTTATCTTGGGCTGGGAATACAGTTAGCAAGCTGACCCCTTTCCTTATTCACAGGCGAGTGTTCTGGGGACGAGGATTGGCTCGAGTTGGCAAGGCCCAACATTCTCGATCGAATGGCTGCATACGAGGAGGAACAGATTGAATTTTCGATTTTGGGATTAGTTCGAGACCCCCTTCCAGGTCTTATCCAAGAGTTGGCAGTCAATGTCCGAAGTCTCGAAGTCGTCAATGAGCGCCTTATGACCAGTGGCGTAACCGATGCCGGGGCCGATTCGAGCATGGAGACGTCTCAGTCGCTTGAAGCACTGCAGGAAACAGTGCTCGACCCAGAGCCATTCTTTGGACTCACACGAGCGATGATCGACGAAGCTGTCATTCCAGAGGCATTATCGGAGGAAGGCTCACCGTCTTCCCTCATAGAAAAGCGGGACGAACTCCGCAACGCGCAAACCGCGCTGCGCGGTCGGGTTCGCGAGGAGCAGGAGGCACAAGATGCAGATGACGACCATGCGACCGGACGACGATATGACTATGGACCAGCGATACGTACATGGTTACGCTGCTTGGCACGCAAGCAGGAGTTAGCAAAACTATTGTCGTGACTGTGGTGAAGTTCGTGGGCCCAGAGGCGGCCGCGATTGGCCAGCCAAGCAACGAAGTATAACGAGTGACCTTGCCCGATGCCGCGAGGCGCTTCGAACTCTCCTCGTGCTTGGAGCAACAAGCTTTCTCGTCAGTAGGAATGTTAGTCCTGTATCTAGGAGGGAAAAAGCAAAGAAAGATCATTAGTTGGACTAGTTGGACTAGTTGGATCATGAATGCACCAGAATATTAATAATAAATAATCACTATTTATGGAATAGACTAACCTGTGATAACCTCGGAGCTATTTCCATTGCTATAGCTAACGAGTAGGATACGAGTAGCATAGTATTCCCATGACTGCTGGCATGTACTCACTACTTTGAAACGCATACCAGCAGTCACGGGAATATTATAACTACCTAACTACCTATAAGAAACTCGTAATACTAAGTAATACTGGTTTATCTCCACTTTCATTTCCACTCGCACTCGCACTCCCACTCCTCTTCCCGTCGCCACGGCGTCATCCGCCCAGTCCACCAGATCCAAAGGGTTACTAGGGTCAAAGGGCCCCTCCCAGTTGGCTAAGACCCTTCGGTACTGGCCCCCCGCCTAAATTCAACTAAATTTCATCAAATCCCACTTCTTCCCACCTTTTCCTACCTTGTTTCAGTTATTCCTAGTAAACCCCCCCACTGGGCAAAAAAACAGCACGTCACCGCCTCCGCTTGGATTTCCCCAACTCTCGGCGCTTCCACATCCTTTGTTGGTACTTTGCTTTGCTTTGCTGGATTAATTCACTGGGTGATTCGAGCGCGCTTCTTCTGTTTGCAAGGGCCATCTGCCCGCGAGTCCTCTATTTCCTTCACTTTCTGCCCGGTGCACAAAGCTATTTCGTCTCGGAAATACCGAACCTACCTACATCCCCCCCCCCATTTCAATCTCCCGCCACCTGGATACCGACACCATGTCGTCCGCCCCCGTGGTCGAGAAGACCCCTGACGATTCTTCCAAGCTGAAGACGTTCCTGTCTATCCTGCGCAAGTATGACTAGCCTCATTCTGTCCTACTCCCGGGAGGAAAATTCCCCCGTCCCGTCCCCTCGGGGCACTACTGATGCAGTGGCTGATGATGCAACATTGAAATAGGTTCGTGGGTGTGACAGATATCGCCTCTGTTCGTTTCTCGTTGCCGGCGCAACTCCTCGAGCCCCGACCTAATCTAGGTAGGTTTGACACAAGTGTGACATTGTCTGGGAAAGTGCGGGCTGACAAGGCGCTTCAGAATACTGGAATTACCTGGATCGACCGGAGACCTTTGCGAGGTCAGGACTACCGAGGCCCATTTATGCGCTGTCGACTCATGTGTGCTGACCCGAGAGCTACAGCATTGGCAAATCCGACGATGAGCTAGGACGAATGCTCGAAGTGTTGCGATTTTGGTTTACAAAGGATCTGGTACATTACCTTGGAACTCTCCCCACCCCGCGGGAATTTGTGCTGAGTGTTGGAACAGAAATACATCAAGGGAAAACCGTGCAAGCCATATAACTCGACTCTGGGTGAATTCTTCCGCGTAAGTCAAGTCCTGATGAGCGCAGCGAAGAACCGACCAGGCGAACAGGGGCGCTAATCAAACCGTTTTGTCTCGAATAATAGTGCAGCTGGGAGGTCCCGGACTTCGTCCCGGAGGAGGCCAATCTCCCTGGCGTCGAAGTCAGCAGCGACAGCAACAGCAACAGCAACGGCACCTCGGACAAAGATGACAAGGAAAAAGTCAAGATCTCCTATCTGACCGAACAGACATCCCACCACCCCCCCGTCTCAGCCTTCTACATCGACTGCGCCGAACGCGGCGTCACAGCCCGCGGCTTCGACCAACTCAGCGCAAAGTTCACCGGCACAAGTATCCGCGTCAGCCCCGGCCAGCATAACCTGGGCATATTCGTCAACCTCGAGAAGAGAGATAATGAAGAATACCAATTGACCCACCCCCACGCACATCTCGGCGGTCTACTACGCGGCGCGCTCTCAGTCACAGTGACCGATACATGCTACATGACCTGTCCCAAGACACGCATGAAGGCGATCCTGCAGTACATGGAAGAAGGCTGGATAGGTCGCACGCAAAACCGACTCGAGGGAGTGATCTTCCGCTACGACCCTGACAACGATAACATCACCAGGACGAAAGACGTGAAGGAAAGCGACGTTCTTGCCCGAATCAGCGGGTCCTGGCATGGCAAGATCTACTACACTCCGACAGGATCCAAGGAGCCCATTCTCCTAATAGATATCTCGCCCCTCTTCCCCGCGGAGAAGAATGTCCCCCCTTCCGAGACACAGTTATCCAACGAGTCACTGAAGTTCTGGTCCGAGGTCACCGATGCCATTGTCGGCAAGCAGTTCACCGAGGCTACCAGGCTGAAGCAGGATATTGAGGAGCGTCAGCGCGCGCGCGCTACTGAGCGTAAGGAACAAGATGTCGAATGGAAGCCGCGCTTTTTCACCGGCGCGGTGACCCCGCTGGGTAAGCCTGAATTGACCGAGGACGGACAGAAAGTCCTCGAGGGAATTCGGTCTGGGAATTATGCGCTGGACGAAAGTGAAGTGCAGGGGGCATAGGCATAGGCATAAAGTCAAGGTCTTACCCCTAATTGTCGTGAATTCCTCTTTTGGGTTGAATCCATGTGGCCGTATCTGGTATGCGACCAATTTTTCAACACGGCGTCTTATCTATGGTTTCCTTACAGGAATTCCTCGGTGGCCTCCTTAGGAAGCTTTCTTCCTTCGATTTAACATATTTAGATTTCACCCTGGGGACGCTTATCATCTTTCCCCCAGGGCACTTTTGTGGATAGTTGCTGGCGAGATATGGAGAGATCTTTGACGAAAGCAGCAAGCAACACTGCGCTGCTTTTTGCACACAATCAGAATGGATAGAGAGTTGTCTTGACACTTTTTTTCAAGCATTTCAAAACAAACTGTACATGATGAGTCGGATAAAATAATGAAGTAGTAGTATAATGTAAAAGAAATGCCATTCACGCAAGAAAAACCCAGACAACCCAAAGCAATGTCCTGAACACCAAACCAAACCAAAGCCTCGGCACCCAAAACCCAACAAAGGTAACTACAGTCATCAGGAGCATAAAAACATCAATACAGGGCTACCAGCTGTTCAAACACTAGGCAGCTGCGCTAACAACTTTCGTGAAACCAGCAGTGACAGTCTTCGCGATTTCCTCATTCTTATGCGGGAGCAAAGATAAGGCATACGCAACGTCGTTCCACTGGCGTTCGGTCTCGCAGCGAGGGAGTCGAGCAGCCAACTTGTCGGACAATTGGCGAGCATGTTTTTCCTATAAGATATCGCGTGAGCCCAAAGTATACTGGAAGGGGGAAGAGAAAAAAGGGAAAGTTCACTAACCTTTTCGACGAAACCAATCAGGAACTTGACGATGCGCCGCAGAGAAGCCTCTTCCAGGTTCTTTTCAGCACTCAATAGACTGAACATGTCGACGAAGTGGTTGTACACGGCGTTATCCTTGGTAGCCAGCTCCGTGAAGAACATGCGAGCGAGATCAGCAGTCTTCTTATCGTCGTCTTCTAGACACTTCGCCATTTCACCAAGTTGACCCTTGACCTTGACCTGGCCGGCTAAGATAAGGAAGGTCAGGGTCATCAGACAGGTGCGCTTCACAGAGGCATCGTCGTCATTGAGTCGGCGATACAAGAAGTCAGTGTTTTCGTCGATCAAGTGATTGAAAGAGACAGCCATATCGCCAAGGGCGATGACGGCGTTGCTGCGGACAATCGGATCCTCAGACCGTTCCATGATCGTGATCAGGAGTGGGAGGTTCTTTTCACAGTACTCGGCGGAGACACACATGAGCTTGGCCAAACACAACGTCGCAGAGGCCTGGAGGTCGCGGTCTGGATAGGCGTTGTTATTGGCGCAGATTTCTGCCACGAGGGGTCCGAATTTGGAGAGCAGGGAGTTTTCTCCATATAGAAGCTCACGCTCACGAATATGAGCCATGGCATCGGTGAAATCATCCTCGGTGGTACCTCCGATCAAATCAAGTTCATCGGCGTCGGCGTCGTCGTCCTTCTTACCGGCGGATTCAGCGGCTTTGGTTTTCTCCTGCTCGGCTTTACGGCGTTTGAAGTCGAGCTCACAGAGCTCAAGGTGCACGATCTGCTTAATAGCAATGTGACCAACGACATACAAGAGCTGTGAGAGGGCCGCGGATGACGGCTTTGGCTTCGAGGGTGGTTCTTGTTGTTCTTCTGTGGTTGCAGTGCTAGGACGCTGTTCTTCAACACTGGCAGATGTGTGCGAAGATGAAGGCCGCTGGAGATGAGGTTGGAACACAAATCTAGTCTTTCTCCGGAGGATGTCCGAGCACAAGGTATCAGGATGCTTAGAAAGAGTGTAAATGGCGCTGATCGCTTGCTCGGCAACACCATACCACTCCTTGCTCTCGGAAACAATCTCCAACATAGCACCCAGTTTGGTCAAGACAGAATGATCGTTGGCAAGTTTAGGAATGGCGACGACCTCCTTGGACTTGGCCTGTCGTCCCGGAACCATTCGCCGGAGGGCGATGCAAGTATATTTGGCAAGGACAAGGTCAGATCTGCCCAATCCACCCAACCCAATGCGCAGCATCGCTTCAATCTCCTTGATGACCACCTCGGGATCAGCGAGAGCCAACATACCCAGAACGATGATAGAACCGCGACGCTGGGTCTTTGAGATTTCTTTCTTCTGGATCCCATAAACTTGCCATAACTTGGCAATCACAGCTTCTGATACATGCCCGGCCTTCATCATAGTGCTCAGCAGCTGTTCAAGACATGTGAGCTCGGCAGGGGTTGAGCCAAATGTCAAACTAATCATGTTGCGTGCAATATAGTTTGCAGCGTCGTTCTGGCTGAACGAGTCTGGGGCATCAAAAAAGAGACCCTTGTAGCAGTCAATCAGATGGGACTGAACACCCTTGCCTTCATCACTGTTACCCTTGGTCCAGATCAGGCGTAACATGCGACGAATACCAGTTCGCGCTGTTTCAACCTTGTATGCATCAAGGACCACAAAGAAGTCCATGGCTTCAATCACCTCGCTCTTGTTGCGAGAAGACAGTAGCTGTGAGACGATCGTGGATCCAGAGTGGAGGACCTCAATGAAGCGGATAGCCTCATTATAGTATTTTCGGGTCAGCTGCAGACGCGTCAAAAGCTCAGATGTGGCAGCTTGCTCTGCTGCCTTTTGCATAGCTGTGGCCTTTTCTTCCTCGGTCATTCGAGGTGCCTTGGAGGGGGAATCATCTGGCAATTGCGTCGCTTCATCCAGCAGTTCGTCATCGACCTGGGTCATTTCTGCGTCGAATCCGGGGGTTTCAGGGGGTCGCAAAGCATTGAGTTCGCTGTCAACTCCATCCAGTCGGTCATTCCATTCTTTGTATGCGAGTTGTCCGCCGTGCATGACGCTGAAGGGATGCGTGGCAACCAGTTTAGATAAAAGCTTAATTGCGTTACGACGAACATTACTGCTCTTGTCTTCCAGACTTCTCGCTGCGAGTTCAGCGGCGGCTTGTCGTCGCTTGGGGAACTTCTGTTCTAAATCGCAAATTCGCATAAAGACCTGGATGGCACGGCAACGGCAGTAGGGGTTGATGTCCAGGAATCGTTCTTCGAGTACATCGAAAAAGGCGTTGATCTGAGTTTTATAGTTTTCACTGCGTTCTTCCTGTCGGCTCAAGTCGGAGATTAGATTTCCACAGACCTCAATCACAGCACAGCGCAGGGTGTAAGCCTATGCCAATTGTTAGCAGGTGCCGGATATCTCAACACAAAAAGATACCTACCTCGCTGTCAAGCTGTTTAGCCAAGAGAGTCATTTGTTTGATGATCAATCTTGGGGTAAGTTCTGAGAGCTTAATAATGAAAGCAGAGACTGATTTCGGTCCACGGGTATCATTCGAATTGAATTCTTTGTTTCCAAGTTCCCTAGACCACGTTAATCAAATTGTCTAGTTTTCCGGGAATAGAAGCTGCCTACTTCAGGATTTCATCCGAAAGCTGAGGGTAGTCATATTGTTCGGCCAAGATGTGGAGGAATTCGGCCATGGGCTCTGACAAGTGCTCAAAGTATGTCAAGCTCTGCACAATAGATGTTTGCGCACCTAGACAAGTTAGCGCCGGGCACAATCACAAGAATCAGGATGCATACCAAAAGCATGTCCATGATGCTTAACCGCAATGCACAGAACCTTGAAGGCATGCATGCGAATGGCCATGCTCTTCACCCGCTGCTCGCTCTCCAAAACCAGATAGATTGTTCGAGTAAACAGATTAATAAATGTGTCGCGGTCCGAAGTAGTCAAAAAAATGCGTCCCAGCTTGAGTTTCATCACCTTGCACATGGTTTCCATGGATATTTGGATCTGCGGTGTCCAGTCCCAAACCCCATCTTTGGCCGATTTCTTCGATTTAGGGCCACCACGTCGCGCAGGCGCGGCCTCGGCGGGCTTCTCTGCGGCTTTCACCTCCACAGCAGACAGCGCCCATTGGAGAAGGAATCCGTACATTTCCAGGAGTTGCTTGTGTGACTGGATCGCATCTTGTTCGTCGGATTCGAGATCGCCGATAATGATGTCGGCTTCGACCGATAGGCCGGAAACAATTAGATCAAGGACCTTACTTAGGGACTTCGTAGGGAGGAAGCTTGTGTATCTGCAAGGTTTCGAACGATCAGAGCCGGTTCCAGGTGAGGGGAAAGGTCCCGGGGGTAGATGGGAGGGTCTTGGGGCGCACTTTAATAAAAACTGCAAGGAGTCAAAAAATGATGACCTGGTAAGGCCTTCTGGATTCTCTGCGACTGCGTCCACGATCGGGTTGAGGACATTATCAATCAGCGCAATCGACAGCTGATCGGGATCTGTTTCGCAGTCGAGTAACTCGGGGTCGGCATCGAGGGTGGGGACGGAAGTCGGATCGCTCAAGTAATACTTGAGCGAATCGTTAATGTCGAATTGGATTCTGTCCTCCATGGCGACGGTGTCGAGGTGTGGGCGATGTTGGAGGGTAGGATTGAGGGGAAGAAGTCAACAAGTCAACAAAGGCGGCGAATGTTGATCGGCGGGATGTTTGGCTTTTGCCCGAACAGGCAGGCCACCGCCTGACACAAACATTGGCAGAATCGACGCGGTCGCGGAGAAAAACAATCAACTTGAATGTCCTTGCGGCGATTTTGTGTTATGTACTGGTGACCTGCATACACAACCCCGGGAATACCTCATTGCACTTACTCAACATCCCATCTCTCTCCTCCTCGCGAAGCTACCTCCACCTATACGATGTCGGTCTTTCGTGCTGCTCCCGCGGGGGTCTTTGAGCTTCAGCGCAGCAGTTCGTTCCGAGCCCCCGCACCCTCAAAATACCAAAATGAAGACGCCCAGCGCGAAGCTCCACGGGAAGGAAGTGATTATGTGGATGAGGAAGAAGATGAGGAGGAAGAGGTTGACGAGTCAGTACGGGAAGATATGACCAAGCTTGAGGATACCTTTCCAGGCATCTCGGAACGATTTCGATTAATTAATCGAATTGGAGAAGGTATGATTCGAGGAAACAACAAACCAACCTCTATATCATCTACATATATGCTAATGTTTGGCTCATTTTTCTCAAGGAACCTTCTCTACCGTGTACAAAGCCGAAGATGTGCTATACGACCACTACCAGAACGAATGGGATGTCTTTGCGCGAGCACAACAACAAGAGGCATGGCCAAGCCCCCCCTGCCAAAAGACGTCGAATGGATGGGCCATCGGCAGGAGGGCCCAAGGTCCCTCGCTATGTCGCGTTGAAGAAAATTTACGTCACAAGCAGTCCAATTCGGATTCAAAACGAACTCGAACTTCTCCACGATCTCCGAGGCTGTAAATCAGTCTGCCCTCTCATTACTGCATTCCGGTACCAAGACCAGGTCGTTGCAGTCCTTCCTTATTTCCCACACTCCGACTTCCGCATCCAATACCGAACATTCATGGTGGCAGACATGCGCCATTATCTTCGATCACTCATGACAGCTTTACAATCCGTTCACGAGCACGACATTCTACACAGAGATATCAAGCCAACGTATGTGCTAGGGAGTTTGTGCAAGGCATTGTGTCGACAATATCAATTCTGACCCGCGGCTTTAGGAATTTCCTTTACAATCCTGACCTGAAAGAAGGCGTACTTGTTGACTTCGGTCTTGCAGAGGTAAGCTCACTTTCTTCCTTCTACTCCGAAATCATAAAAGAAAGAATCTTTCTAATCTCCTTTTTTGAATCACATTAGAACCAGGGAGCTGAGTATACCAGCCAGTGCCTGTGTGCCCATCAAACCTACGTTCGCCGCAGCAGGATTCTCTCCAGCTACTACTCAAAAAACCCACCATCCCTTGGTCTGTCAAATGGATATCCAAAGAACGACTCGCGTCCGTCGAGACGAGCAAATAGAGCAGGCACCCGAGGATTCCGTGCACCCGAGGTTCTATTCAAATGCACATCCCAAACCACGAAAATCGACATGTGGTCGGTAGGCGTTATTCTTCTCACTCTACTGGGACGCCGATTCCCGTTCTTCAATTCGGCTGATGACATCGACGCTATGATCGAGATGTCAAGTATCTTTGGAACGCGGCGCATGAAGACTGCAGCGGCGATGCATGGCCAAATATTCGAGACCAATATTCCAACCATTGGAGAAAAGGGCTACAGCTGGGAAAAGCTGGTGAAATGGTCCAGCTGCGTTGAAGATTTGACTGAAAGTGAGCAGCAAGCCACACGTCTTTTGGCCGGGTTGATGGAATTAGATCCCAGCAAACGGTTGAGTGCCGAGGAGGCACTGCAACATGAGTTCTTTGTCGATCCAATTCATCATGATGTTGAATGGGGCGGTAACCCCGAAAGCGGAGATTCCGGCGAGGAAGAAGATGCCGGAGATGATGAGGCAGATGAGGTCGCGATGCTATGAGATACCACCTTTTGTACGATAAATTATGCAGTTCTGACGTTACACGACATCTTTGTTCAGGCAATACCTCTGTTCAATCATAATCAATACCACTAGTGGATGATGTGTTTCTGTGTTCCAAGGTTTCTATCTTCAATATAATAAGGGTCCAGGTAGTCCGCCCATCTCATGTACTCCAAAAAAATGCATGCTTCATGATTCAGTCAACTTATCTATCCTAACTGGCTTCTCCAAAATCATAATGGCCAGTTGCAGTGGCATGCTTGACCGCCCCCTTCTCTCCTGTGAATGTTTCTCCACACGTATTGCAGCGGACCAAAAATCCCGAGGTATCCGTGTAGTAATGCTTGCTCTGCAAAATCTGGCACACCTCCTGTGCCTTCTCCAAAACTACCGGGTCGACAGCCTCGAAGATCTTAGTATCAATTTGCGTAAGCGGATCGGCATGTGTGTATGGCGGATCTGACGGCGAGAGGGCGAGAACGTCGTAGTGAACGCCGGAGTACACGACGACACACCGAGTCGGAGCCCCTTCGTTAAACTGGAACATATGAAGCGTTTGTACATCGATAGAACAAATCTCAATGTTAAAGTACTCGCTGAGAATTTTGAGTTCGATCGCACCACCCCACGAGTCTTCATTCTGAATCCATTTGCAATACTCGTCTGGATTCTTGCCCAAAACAACGGCCGTATATTCTGACGGATTGGACTGGATGGCACCGGCCACAATCGAGCGCAACTCTACCATGGTATCCATATCGCCCATGACTGCCGCGCCTACAGCACGGAAAAGACAAGAATTGTCATCAGGCATTACGCGAAGCACGAATGTGCCCGCATGATCGGGCGAGGCGACTTCCGGGGGATCATCCGCAGTGTTTTCTGGCTTTTGTGATGTTGCAGTTGCAGGCGGTGGGCGCATCTGCTGGGAAGAAGAAGAGCTGGGCTCATTCTGCAGTTGCGGGGTGGTGGCACTCTCTCGCTGCGCAACAATAAGCTGCTCCCCGTTCAAGTTGATTCCGAGCTCTGATACGTTTTGTTCAGGCTGCAAGCTGTCGATGTCCAAAGGCTTCAGGTCTGGATATCCGTATTTGACATCAAAGGAAGTGAGACCGGTCTTCTCCGCAATCTGTCCTCGCAAGTCGTTGATAGTGGCAGTGTCATCCAGAGTGACAGTAGATTGGCCTGAAGGGCCCCGAACTCGGAAGCGCATACTTGGATGGGATTCGATAAAGTGAAGTATGTGAAGAAGAAAGTAGTGTATAAATTCCGAGAGAGTCAAAGACCGGTAGTAGTTGGTATGGTATGCCAAGTTCTTTGTGAAAGAAGCTGGGTGGCTCCAGTCTGAGCAGGTCCCACAAGTTAAGTCGAGGGAGCTAAGGTGTGGCGACTAAATAGAGTAGGGTCCGGTGTGGGGTAGACGTAAGGTCAACACAAACCAATTCATCTTGTGAGCGATCTCATGGTCATTGATTGAACAGTCGTTTGCAGCTTTGATTCAAGAATTTGGAGTTTGGATCAGGTAGCTTTGAAGGAATGCGACACGTTTGAAGCTGCGATCGGCAAGGATATGCTATCCTCCCCCCCACACGGGTCTGTTTGGGAATTACCCTTATACTTCCTGCGGATGCTTGATAGACAAAAAGAAGAGCACAAATAAGAGAAAAAAGGTCAAAAATTGATCTCAATGGATTGCGGGACCATCTTTGGAGCTTCTGTCGACGTTAGCAATTTCACTGTAATCTTCTTCGCCGACAAATTAAGACGGATTATTTACAATACAGTCGTATTTTCTATGTATCGATACGGGTGACTCAGCAAGCGCGCAAAACAACCCAGGGAAGGCCTCTTGCTCACGCAACAATTACAACTCGCAAAGCTCACCCCCTCATCACATATAATCCCATTCTGTCGAGCGCGCATGGTCGCGGGGAATATAACATGGAGTCGGACAAAGAGCGATCACCGCATCAGCCGGAGGAGCCCGTCACCTCAATTGAGAATGACAGCTCCGTCACGGACGACCAGTGGAAGGCCATGATGGATGTCACCATGGCTATTTACGATTTTAGGGAGCCAGAGTGAGTAAAACGATCTTTATATGCCGGATAAAAGTTCAGAGCTAATTATTCTTTAATGTAGTGGCCACGATCCATCGCGATTGTTCCATCGCAGCGTCAACAAACGTATCGTCCCGGATTACTATGACATTATCAAGGAGCCCGTGGCGCTCAGTATTCTAAAGCAAAGGATCAACAAGCACGAGTACAAGTCCTTTTCGGCTTTCGTTCGCGACTGTGCCTTGGTACGCATTAGACTAGCGGTTATTGGAAATCAAAGCTAATGAGTGCCCCCAACTCTCCAGATCCCTCACAACGCGCAGACCTATAATCGACCCAAGTCTCAAGCCTATGAAGACGCGCTCGTCATCAAGGTATGTAAAGGGAGAGGGCCCAATATCTGCCAACAGATAAACATGTACTCCTAGATGTGGCTGACACCATCTACGTCCAACAGGATGTCTTTCTTACAGAACTCAAGAAGGTTGCTACAACAGGCGTGATCACCGACGAGGAAGCCGTACTTCCCGACCTGGGAGAAATTCCCGAAGCGGATCCCTTGCCAGACGATGATGATGAGGACGAGGAGGAAGAGGAAGGCGGAGAGGGAGAAGAAGATGACGAGGACGATTCCGATGATGAGGGCCGACGAAGAAAGAAGCCTGGTCCGAAACCAGGTGCTAAGCGTGGACTGAAGGATTCCCAGAAGAACGAGACTGATCCTCGAAAGAAGCGCGGTCGACCCCCGCGCGTCGACACCCCTATGGAAACCCGCATCAAGACCATCCTCAAAGGGATTCGAAAGTTCAAGAGTGCAGGAGGTCATTTGAAAATCATTCACTTTGAAAGACTGCCCGATAAAGCTGCTTATCCGGACTACTACGTGGAAACCAAGGAGCCGATCGCGATTGATATAATAAAGCGCAAGTCGAAGCGCAAGAAGTATAACTCGGTCGACCACTTCATGCGGGACTTGGATCTCATGTTCAACAATGCGAAGGAGTACAATCAATCCGATAGCCAGATATACCAGGATGCCGTGGACCTGCAGAACGAATCGCGGAAATTGGCCGAGCAAGAAAAGAAGAAGCCCGATAGCGAATATCTCATGGAAGACGGGCGGTTCCCATTGCCCGATGGGATCTTGCATCGGGGCGAGTTGTGGAAAGTTGGCGATTGGGTCCATATCCAAAACACAAATGATGTGTCCAAGCCCATTGTTGCGCAGATCTACCGGACTTGGCAGGACGGGGAGGGCGAGAAGTGGATCAACGCTTGCTGGTATTACCGCCCCGAACAGACAGTGCATCACTTTGAGAAACACTTCTATCCGAATGAGGTGGTGAAGACGGGGCAGTACCGTGATCACAGAGTTGATGAGATCGTCGACCGTTGCTTTGTGATGTTCTTCACGCGGTATAGCCGTGGACGTCCTCGAGATCTCGCCCCCGACAAGGAGATCTATGTCTGCGAGGCACGCTACAATGAAGAAAAGCACAAGCTGAATAAGATCAAAACCTGGGCCAGCTGCTTACCTGATGAGGTCCGCGAGAAGGACTACGAGATGGACCTTTTCGATGTGCCACGGAAAATCAAAAAGGTGCAAACGCCGATTAAGCATCTTCTAAAGGAAGACGCGAAGGAGACGGATGATCTCCCACGCCCAACCTGGGGGGCTGACAATGCTCCGCCCGTTGTGGGTGCTGTTCACCGTCGGCCTCGGGATGAGAATGTAAGTTTCCCTAGCATCTCAGATACGTTTCTCGCGCCTAACCCTGTCAACTTAGGAATCACCGCCACCAGAGCCCACACCCTCACCACCACCTTCGCTCCCCCCCAGCCCCCATGGCTTCTGCTACACCTCGACAATCCATGGGCCAATCTGTTCCAGGAGCTGGCATGGGTAATCTCACGACACCTCAACTCCAGGCAGCTTCTCCTTCAGCCCCAGTCATGGCCCCAACATCTGCAATTCCCGTGCCCCCGGTTGCGTACCAAAGTCCAATGAACCCACAAATGTACCAAGGGCCCAACCCACGTCGGCCCAGCAACTTCATCCCACAAACTCCAACTGCAGGATACGCCCATGCTCACGCTCATGCCCACGCTCAACCTTCACCAGCAGTGCACCCCTACCCGGCCGCGCAACCCGCTCCCTATAGCGCATTACCCCCTCGTCACGGTTCCATCGGGGCATCAGCATACAACCCCAACGCCCCCCGTCCAATCGAAGTATACCATCTCAACGACGCCGCCAACGCCGCCATCCCCGCCGATATCCGCTCTCAATTCCACTGCAACGACCTCGGCCAAGTACTCTTCTTCTCCACACCTCCTCTAGACATGATCAAGCCCATAGCACTACCCAAGCTCGGCCACTCACTCAAATACCTCGCGTCAAAAGAGGAGCGTCAAAAGAAAGTCGCAGAGCACAAGCGCAAGCGCGCCGCAGAAACAAAGGATCGTGACGATGAAGCGAAACGTCTACGTGCTGATGAAGAGACAGCACTCGCAGCTCGTATCGAGGCCCTTGCTCCGAAAGCAATTACCGCAATGGTGAAGGAGGTTGCGTCTGGAACGGACCAGCTTTATAAATTTCTCTATGAAGAGAAGGCGGACAGTGCGAGGGCTGCGGATATTGAAACTCGTGATAGTCGGATGAACGTTGATCGAGAGAATCATCACCACACGGCTGAGATTCAGGCCCGGTCGGCTAATTCGGGGTTTGTGAATCTTAAAGGTGATGCTATGTACCTGGGACAAGACCGAGAGCAAGACCGCGAGGAGGAAGCTTGATGCTTGATGGGATTGTTCCTTTTTCTTTTCTTTTGTTTCCTTTTTTGTGTTGACTCTGCGGCCATCATGCACACAACGCAATGTTTCTTTTTTCCAGGTCGAGGCGTCGTGTTTTTTTGAATTGATCTAGTTGATAACCAAGGGTTGAGGGGCGTTGGGTAGGAGAAAGAACATGTATGATTAGGGCTATCTAATAATAGACCCCCTTTCCTTCCTTTTTTTACTCTTTCCATTCAAGTTGTTTTTACCTCTTCTCACAATCGAATTCCATGATGTGGATTGACTACCTGAGCCGACTACAAAGATAGAAAGACTAGCTGTAGAATTTCATGAAGCTGCTTATTTGCATATCTCCCATTTATACATGCGATCAAGATACGGAGACGGAAAAAAAAAATTTAAAAATTTAACAACAGCACTGGCAAACAAACTTGAACCGAGTAGAGTAGAGCAGATTGAACACCAGAAAGAATCCCAAGGGTCATTGCACTCATAATGGTCGATCATGGTAAAATATCACTTGGAAATGGAATGGGAACAAAAGATACGGAGTACACAGAAATTGGAAATTTCCTCCGATCACATAAGATCACATAACAGAGTCGAGTCAAGTAGAGTAGAGTAGAGGAAAAAAGAAATTAATACACAAGGCCAGGCCCGATCGATAGCGGGGCGGAAAGGGGGAATGAAGAAAGAAAGAGAGAGAAGGGGGAGGGTCAAAAAAACGATGAGCAGAATCTAGATGAACCGCAGCGAAAAGAAGGAGGAGATTGAAAACAAGACGAAAAAAGGTACACAGAATCCGAAGAAAAGCGCACTGTAGTCAGTCTATGATGTTGTGAAGTTGCTGTGAGTTCTTTATATGCCGATCGACAATGTAATCCTGTCCTCAAATATAGAAAAACAAGGAGGGGGTGGGTTCCGCCAGGAAAATGCCGGGTTGAGCCTTTTTGTTAGATTCCAAGCAAAAAGAAAATCTTTTTTTGTTGTTCCGAAGCCCCGATGCTGCTGTGCCTAAAACTCCAATGACCTTTTTTTTGTTATGAACATGTCCCCGAAAGTTGGACGCCGCTTGGTCCGTGTCGTCATGAGGTAAGGAGAGAGGAAGGAGAGAGAAGGCAAATTAAGCATCAGGGGAGCTGTTGCGCTTGTTACCTTCTTCTTCTTCCATGGAGAAGAGGAAGTCGCTCTGTTCCTCCTCTTCACTGATCTTGCTGGTGGTCGAGGAAAGAGTCCGATCAAGGCGAGCTGGGGCTGCTGAAGAGTGCCGAGCAGAGCCTGGATGGAGAGACAATCCGCCAAGCTGCTCAGAAATCATAGACATAGATGATTGTCGGCCGGGGCTAGAAACAAACGGCGAACCATCATGCGATGCACGGCTGCCGATAGGGCCCAGGCTAGGGCTTGTCGGGTTCAACGAGGATTCACGGAGAGGAGAGCCAATGTGAGGGAAGGAAGATCCAACGGAACCATCTTCCTTGCTCTGTCTCTGCTTGGCAAACAGAGCACCGAATCGAGATGGGCTGGATGCCAGAGGCGAGCCGGTTTTGGAGAAGCTGGAGCTTGTCATGCCGAAACCACTGATGTCGCGGTGGCTGGAGCTAATGTCATTATCGGTCCGGGAAAGTCGACGCAGCTTTTCTTGCGGTGTCAGGACATCATCACGCAAGGCTGGAGGCAAATAATCCTCCTCCATGGGGAAGTTCTCATCCCAATCGTCAAGGGCAGCAGGTCGAGGAACGCTAGACGAAACCATGCGTGGCCGAACGGGGCGCGCGGAGTGTAAGGCCCGGTGACCAAGTGAGTCTTCCGGTGCTGGAGGAGACGAGCCAATATTATAAGAAGGTCTTCTTAAGCTGGAGCCATAGCCAACATCACGGATATTTCGGAATGGGTCCGCAGGGCCCGTTCTCTGTGCCGACGAGGATTCAAGTCCAAACTTCGAAGGCATTGAAGCAGCTACCGGACCGTATCGAGCAGCATGGGAGATACCTTGACTGTCAAATGAGGCCGGGAGGGGGGCATCGAGGGCTGTGAGATGGCGAGCACTGGGCGACATGGGAAATCGCGACTCGTCGATTGGAGATCCGTAGTTAGAGCCGGCATCGGAGGCTAGCCCCGCGTCAATGGTGGGGATAGAGTCGAAGTTAGGCGCTGGCTGGCCGGTGAGCTCTTCCTGCGTGGGAAGTTGTGTGGTGTATCGGGGCTCTTGGCCGTTCATGCGCTGCTGCGACAGGACCGAGTTCGTCAAGGCGGAATCCTGATTAACATATGCCTGCGGATTGACTCGGCCACCCAGATTCAGATGACTACTACCACCACCCATTCCCATACCGCCGCCGCCACCACCACCACCGCCGCCAGCATTAGGTCGGTTTACCCGTCGTCCGTCCGGGAGGATGTGAGCGAGAGCGCATTTTGCGCCGAACTTGCAGTTGCCCTAGTGCGGGGGAAACGAACCCAGTCAGTGCTCGGACGATTTGAGAGGTAAATTGAGATATATTGTGTCCTCCAGGATGTCACGGAGGTCCTAGAAGAATAGACTACTCACCTTGGAAAAGTATTTGCAGGGAGCATAATCAATGGCAGTATCGGTCGAGTGCAGAAACGGACAAGCGGGGCCGGCCTGACAGGCACCCTGGCGGAAGAATTTGCAGGGAACGTGCTTAGTATCTGCGGAGGAGAGCGGAGTGGAAGAGTTAGCTGGGTGGGAAAGAGCAAGCAAAAGGGAGCAGACTTGAGTCGCGTGAGGGGAACCTACTCTTGTTGGTCGGGTTGGGCGGACTGCGAGCCATGTCAAGACTCGATGGGGTGCGTGAGTGGCCATTCTGGAGCCCAGAGGGCACCGGAAGGGGCGCGCGACCTCTCATTTCGGAACGATTGGAGCGAGAAGGAGGAGGGCGAGAGGCCGTAAGCATCGCCGAGTCGATGGGAAAGGTGGAGGGTGGAGGGGTTGGAGGGGATTTGAGGGGAAGAATCCAGCGGGGGCGGTGTCTGCGCGAGGTGTGAGATCAGCGGTGGAGTGGGTGAGTGACTACAATATCGTAGATAGATACTCGGTACTTGGGGAGACCAAAATAGACTGTATGGCAGTGTATGGGAATAGAGGGTGTAGGAGAGAAGAGATCAAGGCAGATGACCGATCTTCTCCAGGGGTTCTCGTTCTAGTCTTCCGAGCAAGCCATCTGCACTGTTCATCTGATGATGTGCGGTCTCGGTTCGCCCCGGTTGCCTCCATACCAGCGGCCAAGGCACATAACTACATTGCCTAGTTGGTTAGAGTGTAATCTGGCATTAGTTTACTCCGTAATGTCTAGTTCAATTGGTAAATTGCTACAATGAGGGGTTCGATCTCACAAGGACTACGAGTAGGCAATCGTCCCATACCTAGGTACCCAACCCTAGCACTATAAAAGGCTAACGCTAGGCGATCATTTGGTTTGAAATCATCACTATTTCCACTACCTTTTAACTCATAGTGATGGAGATAAAGTTGAATATACTGGCAAATACTAGATCCGACCGATCTAACATAAGCAGAAAAAGGGAAAACACCAATATATCTTGGATAACTCCCGCCGTATCCATGTCTCCAACGAAGTGTACCAAATAGTTAGTCTGAACATACCAAGACCACGAAGGAAAAGAGGAAAAATAGGCTTGATAGTATTACTAGTAATATTCAAATCATCACATCATGCAGATAATACATATTTTACGTAACCTTCTTCCTAAACTTCCGATCCTCGCTGGGTCCCAGTCCCATCAAATCCCGATACCCTACGGTAGTAACTTTTCCGCACTCGCGCGCAACGGGACCGTGTGCAATAAGAGGTAGTTAAGTCGCAACGCAAAAAGGGCTCCGAGCGGAGACGGAGAGAGAGCAGCCCAGTGCCCAGCCCAGCCCAGGCCGAGCCGCAAATCACGCTGGTTGAAATGAGTGGAGCCGAGAGTAGCCCGCAACTTTGTAGCTTCCATACCCGACCATCTCTCATTGGAGCGCGCCTTCAAGCCCCAAAGACTCCTGCAGCCACGTTAGCAGGGCATTTGCAAAACCAGCTGGTGATAGGGTAATTGTATTGTATTGGGGGCACCATACCCATAGCTCTAACACACTCGTATTCTCGGGCAATACCTCACTGCATCGATCCCACATATCCCTACAAATACGGCGGCGAATAGTAGCCTGTCGATACCAGATCTTCCACTCCTGCTCAAGCTGGGACCTTTCCTCCGGGGTAATCTGGATGGCCGTGGCCTCAGGTCCATTCAGTTTCGCTAGACGCGCTTGCATATTATCTCGTTCGCATCCTAGCCGCTGTATATCCAGCTGTAGTTCTGCAATTCGAGGTTTGGCCTTCAGGGCTGAGAGAGCAGCACGTGCTTTCTTTTCCTCTGCTTTTATGGACGGTAGCTGGTCTTGAAGTTCGTTGATCTCGGATTTGATCAAGGCGATACTTTCGGGGCTGATGGAATCGGATGGTTTCTGTGGTGTATGGTAGACGATTTGTTTTCCTGCTGTTCGAGCTGTAATTTCACCCGTTTGCTCCAACTTTTGTAGGATTTTGACGGCTTGTCCTGTGTTGGGATTTCCGTCAGTGCCAGCCAGCCATGCTTTGTATGATTGAACTGTGCAGTCAATCTCACCCTTTGAAATTTTGCCGTGTAAATTCGCTGAGATGTCAGTTGCCTAGATTGTGATAACTGTAAGGACACTATGTTTGCCTATCCCATTGTTTGCCCCTATCGCAATTGTTCACTTCATTCGATGTATGGGACATACCGAGTAAGGACGGCTAAATCGATCCACGCGTCAGTCAGCATGGTCACTTCTCCGGACAATCAGAACGTACTTTTGTTCGACTGTTTGTATCATCAGAGTCAGTCAAATGAGCCAAGCCTTCCATTGAATGCATATGTAGTGAGTAGACTCGACTCACGTAGATAGCTAAGAATCATTGTGGTATCTTCCAAATGTTAGCATCTGTAAAAAAAGAAAGCTGGATACAGCTCTCCAAAGGACTGACCGTCGAAACCTCCCACAGACGCGGTCGCATCAGCTTTGGCCTTACGAGGAGCCATGGCGCTGGGGCTGTCAGAAAGTCTAAGGACAAGACAAGGCTGGGGTGAGGGTGGTCCAAACTCAACGACAGATAAAGTAAGGACCAACCCATAAGAAGTCAGCCTTACCATACAACCACCAATCGAACCCGGCTCACGTAAGGCTATACATAAGGCTACACGCAACATATACAACTACAAACGTCTTAACACAAATGCAACTTAAATAGAGCTTGTTAATTCATAACGATTTAAGCCTCGCGTCTAAAAAATCAATACAGCCGATCAACCATATGTCCAAAGGCCCCCAGGCAGCCTCGAAATCCTGAGCGTAAATGCAAAATATGTGGGAAAGCAGCGGCGAAGACGACAGAGATACGCCTCCCGGACGGCGATTGACCTTTCTTTTCTCTCGAAAACCCTGGGATTAAGACATATAAAAATGATAATGATAATGCAAGATGTAAAACGCCCACAAATCCTATCCAGAACCTCTCGCCCGGGGTATCACATCACAATCTAGAGAAATCAAGTCAGCATTACAAGGTTTTATTTTCTCTTTTTAGAAGGAGAGGGTGGTTTGAGGTAACTTACGCAATCATTGTCCTTGTTAGCACTGGGGACTCCCATTTCCTCGAAGGTCTTGGGGCCTTTACTGGGGGGCTGGCCAGCTGGCTTTGGTGGCTGAGCGGCGGCAGGTCGTTGGGTCGGCGGTGCTGACTGCGGCTGAGGTGTAGAAGATGCTGATCCTCTAGATGGCAGGCGTGACTCCTGGCGTGGGGGGAATGTGCCGGAAGAAGGAGAGCCAGTCGAACGAGGAGACGCGGGTGCTCGTGGAGATAGTATAGGACCACCGTGAGCAGAGACAGGAGTTCGCACTGGTATGCGATCTGGCGGAACTCCTTCGAGTCGATTAGGGCGTCGTCGGTCACCACCCGGCGGCGGTGCCGGTGCAGAGTACCCAATGTCCAACCGGGGTGTTCCGGTAGGGCTGATCATACTGCCTTGGGGACTCATTGGTCCTGCAGGCGCACTGAGTGGAGTACCAGGACTGGGACGGCGATAATCCATCGGCGGACCCTGTCCATAAGATGCAGCCCGGGGTCCAGGGCCAGGCGGGCCACCGTAACCTGGACCTGGAGGACCATTGCGCAAGTTTGGGTTGACGCCAAATGCCGAACTGGGTCGAGGATCGGGCATTTGGTAATTGGGCTGACCCGGGGGACGAGGGCGTGACATTGGGCGATCCGGGTATGGGGCAGCAGAGGAGGGAGGATCAGACAAGGTCATGCGGGAGGGATCTGGCATCTCGATGTTTTCGGGTGTGGCTTCCAAAGATCCTCCGCGTTGGTGAGCAACATAACGTGTTGACTTGATTCGAGAAATCGCAACCTTCTCGTGGTCCTTTCGGGAGAGGGTCTTGGAGCGCGAAATGCTGTCGATTCGACCAGAGGCATCTTTGTTTCCGCTGGCGGCAGCCTTGGCATACCAGATTCGGGCCTCTTTAATATCACTCGGCGCGAAGATACCGACCTCGTAAAAGTATCCCAGGGCGAATTCGGCTGTAGGGAGACCACTCTGAGCCGCACGCTGGGCGTACGTAAAGGCCAACTCATCGTTCTTCTCGAAGACACCTTCGTGTCCACACAGGAACCATTTGCTAATGGCCATCTCTGCCTCAGGCTCACCTTGGCGTGCTGCAAGGGCATTGTAATGCAATGATAATGCGGGGTTGAAATCACAACCAAGCTGGCAAAGCTCATATGCGGCACCCATCTTCACTTGCGCCTTTGCGAATCCATTGAAGGCAGCCTTTTCGATATTGACGCGCGCGGTGTTGAGGTCGGCAGGCAAGAACGCCTCTGGGACACTGACTTGGGGAAGCTCACGAGCACAGAGCATGCCATATACGTAGGCACCCTGCGGCGCATTTTGATCACAAGATTGTGCAGCTAAACGAATGCACTCAAGTCCTCGCTGGAAATCCTGGCGCTGACCATGCTGACCAAGAAGAATCATCATTCCGAGGCGCTGAATGTCTAGTTAGTCTCTCCGTATTTATCGCGACGGGGGCACAAGGAAAACATACGTAGTATGAGGCGGAATCGGACATTGCAACACCCCGCTCGTAGTGTCTAATTGCCTTCTCCGGCTCTCCTGAACTTTCGAACTGCATTCCAATGCGGTACTCTGCGCGAGCATAGCCCTTCTCTGCGGCTCTAGAATAGCATCGGAAGGCCTCCTTGCGATCAACCCGGAAGCCGAACTTGCCAAATTCCAACCACATTCCCTTGATAAACTCGGCGTGAGGGTGGTGCTGCTCCGCCAAGAAGCTGACGATGTTCAGAGCATCAGTCTTGAGCTGTCGTTCCACCTGAGGTGTGTGGGGACGTGGTGGCTGCGTGAGGGACAAGCGGTCCTCGTTTTGTGCGGCCACTTCAACAAAGGCCAAGGTATCTTGGGCCCAAGTAAGCTGGACTTCGGGGTCGGTGGTCGACAAAATGGCTGCGCGGTGGCGCTCCAGGTTGGCTTCCCGCTGCTCATCGGTCGGAGGGACATTGGGAGGTGGATTCCGCAGCACGGGGAAGGGGGAAAAGTTGGGGTGGTCCATAGTATCGTAGGTGGCCGATTGCGCGTAGGCGCCATGGTCGTATGCCTGAGCCTGTTGAGCTTGGCCTCGGACGGAGGCGGCGGAGGAAGTTCGCTCGGGGAATTGTGAGCGATACTGGGTAGGCGTGGGCGCAGGAGGTTGTTGGGCGCGGCGGGGGTCGCGAGCATGATGTTCCAGTTGCGCAATATTATCCTGCATGTTTTCGGGAACTTCAGGCATCACCCTGCTCGGACGGATCAGTACTCTCACCCGCGGCATTCTGAGGGATTTGGGTGAACGTGGAGAAAGGAAGCATGTCTCTTACCGTTGAGGGGAGGGGGGAGATGACCTCTGGCATGTAAAAATCATCCTGACCCCCTGGATACCAAGTCGCACCGGCACCCGCTCGAGGCGGGGGACCACGACCCTGCGGCGGTCTGTTCATAGTACTGGGCACTTGGAATGGATTCTGAAATTCAAAGGGTAAAAGCGCCGGGGCCTGGGAAAGGCTCTTGATGGAAGAGCATCCGCCGGAGCAGGTGAAGAGGGAGTACAGAGTAGAATTAAAGAGTGTGCCCAGGTGTGTATGGGGGGTGGAGGGGGTGGAGGGGGAGATGATTGAAAGGAGGGGAGAGAAGCAAAAGGAAATAATAGTTCGTCCGCCAAGAGGGACACAATCCACTTTGGCTAGTTATACTCCGTACTCTAGGGGGACCCCACGTTGGAATATGTGCTAGTAGTACCCAGCAGTGGCTAAATTGAGATTATGATCACCCTGGTGATTATTGATGACACAGCTGTGTCCTCTTTTAAATTGGGACGCGCTTACAGCTGAGACGGTGTGGGAATACGGTATTTATATAGAAATCATCATAAGACCGAACGCGCTCAGGCTGACCCGAATGCCGCAGCTTTGAATTTTTCACATTATATGGAATACTCCATACCTACGTATCTACAAAGAACTTGCCTCTTGAAATTCTCACACTCAGCCCCGATCCCCCCGATCCCCTGAGGTTGCACCGCACTGGAGCATGTTTCTCCTGGAGCCTTACCGGCTCCACTCAACACCGTTTTATTTTTATCTCCCTCGATTTTCCAGAAACACTGCGCGCTGATCCCCCGTGGAAACAGCCCTGCGCATGCGCCTGCGCCATGGACATGGAAATGGAGCTGCAGGATTTCCATCATCCGTTTACTCCGTACAAGATCCAGCTGCAATTTATGCAGGCCTTGTACGGATGTCTGGAAGATGGGAAAGTCGCCGTCTTCGAGTCCCCCACTGGTAAGTGCGCGACGCTAATTCCATCCACTCCCCTCTTTTCCCCCCCTGGTTGTTTGCTTCGGGTCTGACAGCGGGTGCAGGTACCGTAAGTGGCCCCCACCAGGCGAACCGCCATCGTCATCCAAGCAATTCCGATTAGTCCCTGCTGCTGCTACGGCCGTTGAATATCAGGATCATGGACAATTCAAACTAAGCGGGCCCGGAACTCCAGGGTAAATCGTTGAGTCTGATCTGTGGCTCCTTGACATGGCTTCGAGATCACAAGCGCCAGGCCTTTCAAGAAACATTGGACCAGGCCGCATGTATGTACTCCAAGCTCCAAGCTCCATGCTCCGATCTGAGATTAAGTCCTACCCCCCCTATTGCGTCATGTCTCACATTGGGTTTAGGTGACGATGATGAGCCGGAGTGGATGATCGAATTTGCCAAGCGTGATTCCCGTCGAACCATTGCAGAGAAGCGACAGCAATTTGAATCACGGCTAGCAAAGATCAAACAGGACGAGGAGCGCTTAAAACAGGCCCAAGATGGCCAAGAGCGGCCCCGTAAGAAACAGGTATGAGCCACTTTGTTATTGTTATTGTTATTGTTATTGTTTACCCCCGAATGCAATGTAAATGGAAGCCCGGACCAACAAATCATTAGCGACTTGAAGAGCCAGCAGCAAAGTCAAAGTCAGCTCCCAACGATGATGAACAATTCGTTCTGGACGACTATGACAGTGAAACCGATGAGAGGCAAAAGACAAGCCAGTCTGCCGGAGTTGACGGTCTCTCCGCCAGCACTCTCGCTCTATTAGAGAAGTACAAGGGACAATTTACATCGAAAAAGCCCGAACAAGATGATGAAGATGACTCAGTCAAGATCTTCTACTGCTCAAGGACACATTCTCAGCTCAGTCAATTTGCAGGAGAGCTACGTCGTGTCGCTTTCCCATCCAGCATCCCCGGCGATCCCGAATCCGAGGGCAAAGATGATCTCTCGAAGTTAGAGGAACGCGTCAAACACCTATCCCTAGGGTCGCGAAAGAATCTTTGCATCAACCCTAAGGTTCAAGCGTTGGGGAATAGCACGGCAATTAATGAGCGATGCCTCGATCTCCAACAGCCAGGTGTTGCTGCCGAAAAGAAGTGCTCTTTTCTCCCTTCAAAGGACGATGAAGCACTCATGCTTGAATTTCGTGATCATGCCTTGGCAACAGTCAAGGACATTGAAGACATTGGCAAAGTTGGACAACAAGTCGGGATCTGTCCCTATTACGCATCCCGCTCAGTCATCAAGCATAGCGAGGTCAGTACCTTCCACCTTCCCACCTCATGAATTAATCATTCGAAACCAGCTCACATGTCCTGCTATAGATCGTGACACTGCCATATCCTTTACTTCTCCAGCGCTCAGCTCGCGAGGCTCTCAATTTATCCGTCAAGGGCCATGTAGTGATCATCGACGAAGCCCATAACCTAATGGACGCAATCGCCGGTATTCACTCCGTGTCAGTCTCACTATCGCAGCTAGAAACCGCCATGTCACAATTGACGACATACGCGCGCAAATTCAAAACTCGGCTCAAGGGTAAAAATCGCAGCTATCTTGCTCAGGTTATTCGGCTTGTCAGCTCTATTGCCGGCCATCTTCGCGGCATCGCTCAGCAAAAGGGAGGAGCGCCAGAAGGATCGGTGCGATTTTCTGATCTGATGGCTGGTAAGGGGGTTGATCAGATAAACCCCTACAAGCTCTCCCGGTATCTTCAGGAAAGCAAATTGGCGAGGAAGGTTGATGGGTATGTCGAGTCTGAGTCTTCCCAAGAGGCTCAAGGCCAAGGCCAAGTTAGTCGGACAAGAGATCGGACAACGGTGCCGGTTCTTTTCCATATTCAAAGTTTTCTTTTGCCTTTGATGAACCCGTCAGAAGAAGGCAGGCTATTTTACCAAAAGGATCAGGATGGCGTACTGTTGAAATACATGCTTCTTGACCCGACCAATCATTTCCGTGAAATTGTTGAGGATGCTCGGGCTGTCATTTTGGCCGGTGGCACGATGTCTCCTGTAAGTTTGAACGGCTGCTTCGCGGTAAATTGTGTGATATACTAACCCATTTCCCCAGATGACGGACTACATGAATCATTTGTTTTCATATGTATCACCCGAGCGATTGGATACATTCAGTTATGGCCATGTAATTCCATCGACAAATTTGGTTGCACAGTCATTAACGAAAGGGCTGCTGGGCTCGGAGTTCGACTTTACTTACGAGGCTCGAGGGTCGGAGAAAATGGTAAGCGACATGAAATCATAGCCGGCAACGCTTCTATCAGTTCCCCTTTTGACGATAATGATATAGATTACCGATCTCGGACGAACGATAGCCACTTTGTGTCAAGTTATTCCAGATGGCGTTGTCGCCTTCTTCCCCAGCTACGACTACCTGAGCCAAGTGGTGAATGTCTGGAAGAAACCCATTCCGAACGGAAACGGCCAAACCACCTTCGGTCTGATTGAGAAGAAGAAGAAGATCATGTACGAGTCCCGCGAAGCAGTTACTACTACCGATACGTTGCTTCAACAGTATACCGAAGCCATTGAATCTGGATCGGGAGCATTGCTCTTGTCCGTGGTTGGAGGAAAATTGTCAGAAGGAATCAACTTCTCGGATAAATTGGGAAGAGGTGTCTTTATCATTGGACTACCTTTTCCCAATATCCGCAGCGCTGTTTGGCAGGCTAAAATCAAGTACATCGAAGAGAAGACCTACAAGCAGCACTCGGGATCAGAGTTGGAGAAAAAGGCCCGGGCTAGCGCAGCAGGAAAGGATTTCTACGAAAACGCTTGTATGCGCGCTGTCAATCAATGTATCGGGCGAGCTATTCGACATGTCAATGACTATGCGGCAATCGTGATGATTGATCGGCGCTATGAAACGCCGCGCATTCAAGGTAAGCTACCTGGATGGATTCGAGGCAGTCTTGTTTCGGCAGCGACAGCTCGGCCAGCTCAGATGACTGTCCAGCGACTTTCCAAGTTCTTTGCGGAGAAAGCATAGAATTGTCTAGGAAGCGAAAATCATATCATACCATATTTAAACAAAAAGCAAATTTCGGATGTCACCACACAGTCACTTTTCGCAGCCAAAATTCTAGTATACACATGATTCAAGTCAACATCAACAATGATGTATGTATACAAAGCCCTAACGGGATGTGACGTAACGTAACGTATTTATGACCGACAGAATAATTCACCGCTCTTAGGGCGGTACGGTGCTTTCACCGCCTCACGTGACCATCCGCAGCCCCAGTAAGGGTTTGACCCTATCACGGGATTAGCGAAGGGCCTAGCGCACACTGGTTCACCATCAGAGTCCGAAGATCCACGACCCCTTCAACGCCCATCTTCAAACCGGTCTTGTCGAGCACACCCCCAACGACAAGATGCCTACCCGTTTTTCGAACACGCGGAAGCAGTGAGTCGACTCCCTCCTCGCCATTCCCCGAAAACTGTGTGCGACAATTTGCGATGAATTTCGACATCGCCGGCGCAGCGCACCTTTTTCCGCCTAGCAACGCCCAGGATAGATACAGGATACAGGATATACTGACATTCTTTTCTCTCATAGCCGCGGCCACGTGTCCGCCGGTTACGGTCGTGTCGGCAAGCACCGCAAGAGCCCTGGTGGTCGTGGTATGGCCGGTGGTCAGCACCACCACCGTACCAACATCGACAAGTTCCATCCCGGTTACTTCGGTAAGGTTGGTATGCGCTACTTCCACAAGACCAAGCAGCAGTTCTGGAAGCCCACCATCAACCTGGACAAGGTACGTTACCTCGAAAATTCAATCAAATCGATCTCCGCCCGGAATGAGAAGCAAGCGAAGCTGGATGTGTGATTGTGTCTGTGTGAGGATCGGGAAAAAGAATGGCCATGGCTATGGCTACGGAAACAGGAGAACACATCATGAGAACACATCGTGCTGCAGCAAGCCAATCGAAGGGCGACAATCGTGATATCCGAAAATATGGTTAGCTGACTGTAATTTTTTTTTTTCGATATAGCTCTGGTCCCTCGTCCCCGCCGAGAAGCGTGATGCCTACATGAACGGCTCCAAGACCGACACCGCCCCCGTCATCGACCTCCTGCCCCTCGGTTACTCCAAGGTCCTCGGCAAGGGCCGTCTCCCCCAGATCCCCGTCGTCGTCCGTGCCCGCTACTTCAGCCGTGACGCCGAGCAGAAGATCAAGGAGGCTGGTGGTGTTGTTGAGCTGGTCGCATAAGCGTTGATTCGATGTTTTCTTTGTTGGAGAAAGCGGCGTGAATCGGGGCAACGGTCTTGTGGAGGATCAAAGTCTCTCCTATCCTATTAGTGAGGAGCAGGACGATCGGAACTCGGAAAAAAGAGCGCCACGAGTCGGGATGGTGGGCTCTGGCGTTTCGAAAAAGAAAAAGGGTTTTTGTGTATGCAATAAGAAGCATAGCATGGCCTCCGAATGCCCTTACGATTTCACAATTGTGTTAAACAAATACCATAAGGAGGAATTTTTCAAATGTCTTGTGCCGTTGATTTAAGCTTCGACAAGTCCACTTTTAGGCTCACACTGAGATGAGATTTTGACCTTGACTATCCATGGGTTGAATCAATCGCAGATAATCTGATGCGGAATAGCTGGATGATTAGCTGCGATGCTACTCCCCTGCAGTCCTTGTTCCGATTCACATCCAACTATGTGTCTACGTAGGCAGTTCTTGTAGTTTGGGAAGACAACTTCTAGGGCTTGGATCTATTGGAAGCTGCCAGTGGTACTAGTACCTACTAGTAGCCCGGGAGGTAGCTATGCAATTGATTCGCAGATACTATATTCTAACGAGATATATGTATATATGTACTAGTAGTCTACATCATCCGCCACTGTCTAAATCTTCGATTCTCGCACAGAACCCCTCCGCTCTTTACCCTCATCGCTAGATGCAAGCGTCTCACTAATGAAACGAATAGCCTCATCAACCATGTTGGCAGTCACCTCATGACCAGCAGACTGATCAATAATATCCTCGAAAGTCACACCACCGTCTCCAAACCACCCATTGGCCGCAATGGCCTTTTTAAACCATTCTAAGAAAACCTCTCCGCGGTGATAGGGCACAAGCTTATCGATACCGCCTGACATATTCAGAATGCGCTTACCCGCGAGGCACCGTGTCAACAGCGGTCGAAGTAACTGCTGTTCCTTGTCCGTCGGCTCAGGCAACGGCCCTTCACGCGGAAGGCCACAAGAACCAGGGTCCATGGGCCCAAGCATCAAGCTGGCAGGATCGTATTCCTTGACGATATCGACGAAGGAAGTTGGGAATGCTTCTGACCCTAGGATCTCTGATCCAGGCGGGGTTGACTTTGTCCACGATGGCAACTTGGACAGTCGGGCGCGGTCAATCATCAGATTTAGATAGTCGGGACATCCGATTATGATGACGCCCGAGGTCATTCGGGGATCATGAAGCAAACAGCTCCACGCGGCGTGGCCGCCTAGAGATACACCCAGAACTAGATTCTCTGAGATGTAATGTTCATTTTTAGGAAAGACATATGATTCAAGATAGTCCATCAGTAAAGATGTATCTCGAGCGGTTCCCTCTACAAACCCCTTAAGTGTTAGTTAATCTATTTCTTCAAGTTCTTCGTCTTATACACTTGATCAAGTGTAGTATGTAGTATATCTCCAAGACTCACGGAAAACGGAAAACATATCCTGCGCATGGCGGGGATTCCCTTGTCTCCAAGCCTCATTGGCCAACGGATCAACAAGTCTAGTACCATGATTTCTCTGATCGAACGAAACAGCAATCAATCCCTTGGTTGACGATTGGGGCTTGCTATTCCAGTCACCAATGGCGGACGCTGCGATGCCGGACATGCGCTCTTGCGTTGCTAGTCGAGGATGAAGTAACCAGAGACAGGCGACATTCTTGGTCTCGGGTCGAAGCTCTTCAAGTCCGAATACGGTTACTGAGATACCAGCGATTGCGTAGACCTTTCGTGAGACTGGTGCAGGTGCAGGACGACCTGAGTCGTCGAGAGTCTTCATGGGATCAGTCATTGTGGTTTTGTTGCGGTGGCGTGAGTATGATTAATCAATTAAGCAATTAAGCAATTAATCAATTAATCAATTACTGTAGGTTAGATTCGACAGTCCTCGTGCGGTTGACAGGGATTGAGAAAGGATGTCTATGAAGAAGTCAAGAAATGGTCTGGCGGGGAACAAAGTGCATTAGCGAGGCAATTCGGGTATATCGCGCAAGAGCCGAGGGTTCCTGGGGTTATTACTGTCAGTGTACTCCGAACAGTGGTTAACCACTGTCTTGCTGACTCCACCTTTCTTATCGCCGCAGCAAGACTAATTCCGACCATTGAAGAAGATTTAGTCTTCTTCGATCTCTCCTATCCTCTCTTGTTACATGATAAATTCTTATCATTGCCAATATCACTCCGTACCTTACTCCGTGCTTCTAATCCATTATACTCAATTGAATACTTGGTTGCCACGTGACCATGACCCTGCCCCAGGCTGAAACGAATGCCCCAAATGGCAAAACGAAAACCTTCAAGCTTAAGTGTGAGGGTTTGGTCCCAAAGTAAACACTAAACACTCCCGCCAGCTATAATTTGATCAGACCAAATCATTCATCACCAAGATCGGACTTCTCGTACTGAACTGTAGTTGGAATCTTTTTTATAGCATCGCTACTCGTACTTGCACTCCCCCCTTTTTCCACCGTTGACCGCCCACTTGACTGTCTTGGCGGGCCTTTCTCCAGTCGGAGACGTTCTGATGGGGCGGAACTCCACCGCAGATGCAAACTAATTTGACTACCAACGCTCCTTTAATGTCAACAGTCGCGTGTGTTGCCCCCCCTCCCCCATTGAATACACTGCATCTGTGGACTTCGACCTTAGAATGCCCGCGACAAAATCTGATCACCCCCGCTAGGATTTCCATTGACCCGGAATGTATGTGAATCCCACCTTGGAACGTGCCCGTCAGGAGCTGCGACTAATGATCGTCTCGCAATAGAACCATGACCGACACCCTGTTAGCCTCTGCCCCTCGGCAGGAGGCTGATCGCGACCCCGAGACAGATAAATCCAAGAAACCCGAACCCATTTCCGTTTCGAAAAGCGGGAAGAAGCTGGCCTCCCCGTTCCCTTCTCCCACCGCAGCCAATCGACCTGCATCGCTCAAGACGACTCAACCGTCTGGGGCCGCGGGGGAATCCAAGAGCTCGGAGACTCGGCAGATCTCAACGGGGACCGACGGAAATCTAGAGAGCAAGGAGAACCTACGCCCGTCTTCGACGCAGCAAGACTCTCCTCGGGAAAGACCATCCCTGAGCTCTCGATTGCCCAATAGATCCACCACCGATGAAAAGCCACCGTCCTTGAAACGTCACAAGCAGCAAACTTCGATATCCGGCCAATCCCCTCCCTCTCGCGCTCCGAGCGTCGTCCAGTTCCAAACCGCAGAAAACGATGCCTCAGAACTGCCCCCGTCGCAGCCTCAATCCCGTCCAGCCTCTCTATACGGCGATGATTCGGAACAGACCAGGGGAAGACAATCGTTTATCAATAAGATCAAATCGTTGGCTGCATCCCCTCCGTTTGCATCACACTCGCGATCAGCTAGCGGACCTAATATGGGGGAATTCCGGATTACTCCAACTGATTTGCAGACCCCGGGCTCTGAGCGTGGCGATTTTCGTTTCCCGGAACCTCTACCGGAGGAAGGGAGTGATATAGACGCTGATGCCGAGGAGAGCGGTGGGGAGCAGCGTGAAGCCCCAAAGAAAAAGAGAAATTTCCGCCGACGACAGACCCAGGAGGAAGAAAGTGGAAATCGCACCGCTCCTACGACACCCAAAACAACCCGCCGGCCTTCTTTCCACTTCTCGTCGTCCTTTGCACCATTCGAAAACTATCGGACCAATCTTTTCCCCCGCAGAGCAAGCACCACGGACTTCACGCCACAGCAACGAGAAGGTGTATCCGAAGATGAAGGCCGTGACAGGCTCAGTAATAGACGGAAAAGACCTGGTTGGGCAGGCACTCGTGGTATGACATATGGGGGCCGACAAAATGATGCGCAAGGAAGCCAGGACGAGCGCCCAAGTCACTTACGGCGACTCACCGGATTTGCCGGGCCATCTGAGAATGCAGAGAGCCTCACGGCCACTTGGAAGCGCCATCGGAATGAGCGAGGAACTAGTGCTAGTGCTCAGCGATGGAGACAAATCAAGGCCGGCTTCAAACTAATTGGTCAACGCCGCAAGGTTGATAATACCGTGGACAATAAGAAGTCTGCAGAGTTGCTTGCCGAGCTGGCCTCGGCCGTACCGGCGGCTCTGATTCTGGCGAGTGCCTTCCAAAGGGATGAACATGGAAGCAAACGAATTCCCATTCTCTTAGAACAGTTGAAGGTCCGTGTTACAGATAGCCGCATCGATTCCCACTCTGGCGATCGCCATCTCGTGTTTCGGATTGAGCTCGAATATGGAAGTGGTATGACGCGGATGAAGTGGATCATCTTTCGAACGTTGAGAGACTTTGCAAATTTGCATCTCAAGTACAAGCTCCATCTTGGTACCCAGAAGTACATCCAGCTACGGACTAGCGAGAACAGCCCCAACATTCCTCGTTTCCCTCGAAGTGCTTTCCCTTATATGCGAGGTGTTCGGGGCTTGGAAAGCGAATTCGAGGATGAAGAAGAAGATGGAGGCTATGAGACCGGCAACGAAACGGCCCAGAGTGGTACCGAACGAGCTGGAAGGAAGAAGAAACAGACTCAGCAGCATCAGCGTCGACCTTCTGCCGGTATTGCCCGGAGAAAGTCCAGCATCACGAATCAAAACGGCGAGTCGGAAGCAGGCGAAGGAGCTGCCGGGAAAAGGGAAACATACCCCGAGAGACAGCGCAAGAAACTTGAGATGTATCTGCAGAAGATGATCCGTTTCTTAATCTTCCGGGCTGACAGCAATCGTCTGTGCAAATTTCTTGAATTATCTGCGCTCGGCGTCCGACTTGCTGCCGAAGGGAGCTACCACGGAAAGGAGGGCTTCCTTATTATTCAGTCATCCAAGGGCCTTGATTTCCGGAAGGCTCTGACTCCATCTCTCATGAAAAAGAGACATTGGCCCAAGTGGTTCCTGGTTCGCCACAGCTACATTGTTTGTGTGGATTCACCAGAGGAGATGAATATCTACGATGTTTTCCTCATTGATCCATACTTCAAAGTTCAGACGCCAAAGATCAGCCTTCGTAACCAGAAAGCAAAGGAGTTGGCGAAATCGGCCAAGCAATCTGCGAGACATCCTCAACATCACACACTCCGACTGGAGAATTCTGAACGCAAACTCAAACTGCTGGCAAGAAACGAGCGTCAACTGCAACAATTTGAAGATTCGATCCGTTTCATGGCTGCAAACTCCCCGTGGATGAAACCCAATCGGTTTGATAGTTTTGCACCAGTACGACAGAAATGTTTCGCGCAGTGGCTCGTCGATGCTCGTGACCACATGTGGGTGGTTTCAAGAGCCATCAACCAAGCAAAGGATGTTATTTATATCCATGACTGGTGGCTGAGCCCGGAACTCTACTTGAGAAGGCCTGCTGCTATCAGCCAAAAGTGGCGCTTGGATCGTCTGCTCCAACAAAAGGCTCGCGAGGGCGTGAAGATTTTCATCATCATGTACCGAAACATCAACTCGGCCATTCCCATTGATTCAGAGTATTCTAAATTCTCCCTTCTTGAACTCCATCCCAACATCTTCGTGCAAAGATCCCCGAACCAGTTCCGTCAGAATACCTTCTTTTGGGCTCATCACGAGAAGCTTTGTCTTATCGATCACACCCTGGCTTTCGTTGGAGGCATTGATCTGTGTTTCGGACGTTGGGATACACCCCAGCATCAATTGACGGATGATAAGCCAACTGGTTTTGAGACAACGGATATGCCTAAAGACTCAGACCACTGTCAACTCTGGCCTGGAAAGGATTACTCGAACCCCCGAATCCAGGACTTTTATGACCTGGATAAGCCGTATGAAGAGATGTATGACCGGAATGTTGTTCCTCGAATGCCGTGGCACGATATTTCGATGCATGTGGTCGGCCAGCCTGCCCGAGATCTCACCCGTCACTTCGTTCAGCGCTGGAACTATATCCTTCGTCAGCGAAAGCCTACACGCCCAACTCCCTTCCTTCTGCCGCCTCCGGACTTTAATGCAGGCGACATGGAGGCATTGGGTCTGGAGGGAACTTGCGAGGTCCAGATCTTGCGTTCTAGTAGCATGTGGTCAACCGGAACTCCGGATGTTACAGAGCACAGTATCATGAATGCCTACGTCAAGTTGATCGAGGAGTCCGATCATTTCGTCTATATCGAGAACCAGTTCTTCATCAGTACCTGTGAGATCGAGGGAAGAAAGATCGAGAACCTCATTGGTGATGCTTTAGTGGAGCGAATTGTCAGAGCAGCCAAGAATGAGGAGGCATGGCGTGCTGTTATTGTCATCCCATTGATGCCAGGCTTCCAGAATACTGTGGACAGCGAAGGCGGAACAAGTGTGCGTCTAATCATGCAGTGCCAGTACCGCAGTATCTGCCGTGGTGAGACTTCCATCTTCGGACGTCTTCGTGCCTTGGGTATCGATCCGGAGGACTACATCCAATTTTTCAGTCTGCGAGCCTGGGGCAAAATTGGGCCGCAACAACAATTAGTCACGGAGCAGCTGTACATCCACGCCAAGTGTATGGTTGTGGATGATCGAGCTGCCATCATCGGATCGGCCAACATCAACGAGCGATCCATGCTGGGTTCGCGTGATTCAGAAGTTGCCTCAATTGTACGAGATACCGACATGATCCAATCTACCATGAACGGCAAGCCGTACCTTGTTGGCCGATTCCCGCACACGCTTCGCATGCGTCTAATGCGCGAGCATCTCGGAATTGACGTTGACGAGCTTTTGGAGCATGATTTTGCCACCGAAGAAGAGCTGCGGAAGATCCAGGTCGTTGAAGAAGAAGGTTCCCAACCAGGCAAGGGCAAAGAGGGACCGGACTCGGTGTCCTCCATGATCGAGCGACAGGATGAGCGGGATATGATCGATCGTCGCCACCGCATTCAAGATGAGTTCTTGTCTCGCTCGGAAGGCATGCACAGCTTCAACCATGATGTAGACTGGGAACAGGGCAGCAACCCCAACCTCAAAAGCAACAGGAAGCTTACTGCCGACCCGCGTGTCACTTCAAATCCGGAGCACACTAAAGATGTGGATGGCGAGGGAATTGACAATTTGAAAGCCGTTGAACAGGCTGGACTGGGCGTCGGTCGTGACTCGCAAATGATGCCAGATGGTAGAGAAGCTTTGCTTTCACCCATCGCCTCCGAAGGCAAGGGAACCATTGCTGAGCCAAAGCAGACTCCTTCTCAACAGAAGCCAGGTCGGGCTACATCAACTCGCAAGGACGGAAAGCTTGGATCTTCCGCCGACTCTGAGACCAACACCAACTCTGATAACCCCTCGAATGGCAATGGCAATGGCCACGGCACATCCGGGTCCTCTAGCCGTGAGTCAGAGTGCGGTGGTAGTTCCGGTTTAATCGTGTCTAAGGAAAACTACGATAATTCTAGATACGGACAACCATATGTCCCCGATCTAAAGCGCATCTTCGTCGACAAGGATTGCATGAGAGATCCTTTGAATGATGCATTCTATCTCGACACATGGCAGGCCGTTGCAGAAAAGAACACCAAGGTTTTCCGCTCCGTGTTCCGCTGCATGCCTGACAGTGAAGTCAAGAACTGGAAAGAATACAAAGAGTACGCCGCATACGGAGAACGCTTCGCAGAGATCCAAAGCAACAGACCCAATGCACAGCAAAAGCCCCCCCGGACCAGCTTCCCCAGGTGCTGCTTCAGTCTCAGTGGGCTCGCCCACATCACCTATCAGTTCCAAGGCAGAGAATTCTCAGACTATCAACGAGAAGCTCGAGGCCACCCACAGTGAACCCGAGCGTCCGAAGTCCGAACTTCTGAACCAAGAAACCCTATCGCCGATTGACGAGAAGGCTGCTCTCAAGGTAGCATCCGACCCGCAGCTTGTATCTAGCGGCCAGAATGGGGAGGATGGTGCTGCGGCCGAGGAAGCGGAAAAGCCTCGCTCTGCCTCTGTTCACGTCGATTACTCCGAGGCCGTTAATCTCAACGCTTCTCAATCCCGCAGACGTCGTCGCAGGGCTAACACCAGTGGTTCCAAGCGGGAGTTCCATGCTTCGGATGAGGTTATGGACTCTGCACGAGCGGAGGATCTTCTAAATAAGGTCCAGGGTCACCTTATTCTTTGGCCGTATGACTGGTATGTTTACACTTCTTTCTTCCTCGCCCTCTCTCTCTTTCTGCTTTTAAGTGGAAAAGAGAATCGTTCAAATTGACCAATGCTAATATTTCTCTCTTTCTTTTAACAGGCTCGAAAAAGAAGAACAAGGTGGAAACTGGCTATACGCTCTGGATCAAATTTCCCCTCTGGAAATTTATAACTAATCTGGTTCTTATCACTTGCACCGAAGGGCCCTGGCGTCGCATTTTTTGACAACTTGACTTTGTCAAGCGCAAATTTTTCAATGTCTCCCGCCGCCTCCTCCATTTTAGAAGGGATTTCGCATTCTTTCGTCTAATATTCTGAAACGCGTTGATTGCGAATTCGAGCATTTTCAATCTGGTCTCACTACCTTTTTTTCTTTTCATGGGCGGATAATTCTGAGCTTTGTTCTTTTTCTAAATCTGTTATCTGCTACCTGCTGCCCAGTACCCACTAGATGAAGCCCTGGAGGCGTTTCTAGTTCTTTTAGTTTCAAGTTTTCTTTTTTTTTTTCAAGCGCTAGACCTAAAAATGTTCATTCGACAAGTATTAGTATTTCTTTTCATATATGATGGCTGTAAAAAGAATCTGTTTTCTTTCCTCTTTTCTTAGATAAACAAAAAACAACAACAAAAAGAACTACTGGGACATGTTCTAACATTATTCCTTTTTTTATGGCTATGGTGTACAAGGTAAGTACAAGGTACATACGAAAAGACACTTGAAACCAAGACCAATCAGACATGCATTTCAAAAACAAATCATGGTATCCATAACATCAGTCATCGTAATCCCAAGCATTAAAGAAAATAAACCAATCCAACCCAACCCAACCCAACCTAACTCGGGCTCCAAGTAAGATACCAGAAAAGTTATCAAGAAAAGAAAAGAAGAAGAGAAAAAACGTAGCCACACACACACACACACACACACACACACAACAGGATATAGAAGTATACATGCAAATGATACATGCATGAAACAAAACAGAAAGAAAAGAGGAAATCGTGAGCGTCGCTTTTGGATGGTAAGTAAGGTAACCCGGAATTTCCCCAATCTGGATGGAAGGGGTATATACAACGATTTGTGACCCTTGAGGGGGTCGTGAAGAAGAGAAAAGAAAAGAAAAGGAAAGGAAAGGAAGAAAAGAAGAGAGAAGAAGAAGAGAAAGAAAAAAAAAGAAGAAATGACGGAGGGAATGAAAAGGTCATAACGCAGAAATGGACGTGAAACGGAGAGTGACCAGAAAGAACTAGAAGAGGTCACAGCTCAAGTCGAAAGCCTCGAAACTCAAGGTTCAAGGCTCAAGCAGAGACAGGCGTTTTCTGTTCCTCCTTCTCCTCCTCCTTCTCCCCATCCACAGCCACATCTTCCCCATCAGGCCTATTATAATTATTTGACTCCGCAAAAATCTTCACCTTGGAATTAATCGCATTCCTCAACGAATCAATATAAGTCCGGAACTTAACAATCTCCCGTAAAAGATACGACGACTTGCGTTCCCAATTCGCCATAGCTTTCGAGGAATTCGGATGCCTCGGCGAGAAAGCCAGATTCATCGCCGGACGCAACTCATTATGACGCTGCAGATCATCTTCGACATTCTTCACATAGGACTGGAGTGCCTTTAATTGGACTTCTTCCGTCAAATTCGAGGCGACCATGCTTTGCTGTGGTGGACTCCAGTCACTGATGTTCACCCTGTCGGCGGGTAATTTCGGTCGAATGGTGCCCTGGTGGTCGATGGAGCTGCGGATTGAGCTTTGGATACTGGCTCGCGGGGCCGGGCCCGCGGTGCCGGATGAAGGTGGCGGTGATCGATTCTGATTGTGATTGTCGGAATTGATTAGAGCGCTGTTTATTATTGCGTCACTCCATCCGTATTCGATGTTACTGATTCCTCCCACCAGAGGCTGCTTGGATAAACGTGCGCTCCAGTAATTAGCCGTTGAGACGAATTCGCGCACAATCTCTGGAGTGCCGGCTTGGAAAAGATGGACCGCTCCTGTTGGTAGACTCAAGGCCCAGACATGCGGGCGAGACTTGGAATAACCCGGTGAAGGGAGAGCGCTAGCAATGGTCTGCCGAAGCATGAATTTCCATATCTCCTCTGCGTTTTCGGTCCAGTTGCCGCCTCCAACGACGACGCCTCCACGTTGCTTTGCCTTCATCCGCATTGACTTTGATGCATTGCTGAATGAGAAAAGGCGCATCCAGCCCTGCTGGATGACTGCGAAACACTCGTTCCAATTGCGGTCCTTGGCGCGTTTGTCAACTGCATCCAAATGATGCTTGTGCTTCACGCTACCTTCCTTGGCCCAGGGGGCACCGGCCAAGGCCAAAGTTTCATCTTCGAGAAGCGGCGTCGTCCTCTCTGGCTCGTCAAAGCTATAGATAGAGGTGGCAGAGTCTTCTCGAATAATTGCTTGGCTGAGAGCGTTGGCAAAACCAATTGACTGCTGATATTCGCCACGAGGGAAGTCCGAGCCAAACGAGTCCACAGAAGCAGAGGTAAACTTGCCAAGTGAATACTTGCTCCATGTGCTTGATGCAGTTGGGCTCCAGACCGAGGACTGGTCGTCCAAACTTGTCCGGCTGGATCCCATCATAGACGGGGGATATAATCTGGCGCCCCGTGAGCGCGGTTTTGATGACCAGCGTGCGGCACCATGGCGAGAATCGGCGGAGCGGCCACGAGGGAAAATGTCCGAGCCACTTTTACTAATAGTGCTGGGACTTCTGCGAAGCAAGCTGGAAGTTGGGCCGAGGAAGTTGTTAGATGACATGCGCGAAATCTCTTTCTCCGGCTGCGGCTGTGCGCCGTGAAGAGGAAGTCTCTCCTTCTGGATGGAGGTATAAAATTCCTTAAGCACTGCTTCCACCTGCTGTTCCCATGCCCTGACAGTTCCAGTAAAAGGAGTGCTGACCAATGGTCCAGCATCGGTATCAGTTGTCTTTTCCCCGTCTAAAGAACTGCGGCCAATATCAGAGGGGAAAGTAGGAGAGCGGGCGGAGGTAGGAGTGGGGGTTGAGTCAGGGTTTGAAGAGGCGGTCTTAGAGCGGTTGACAGGGCGCAATGTCTCGAAGCCTTCCGGGGCTGCATCCATAGCAACACGATGGATTGTCGGCATGGTGTTTCTGACGAATTGCGACTTGGTCATTTTCGATTCAATGTCGGCTAAATGCAAGTCGGTGTTCAGTAGAAGGATGGAGTAACAAATAGTATGGACGACATCTATAAATCTGTTAGAAAGAAAACCACTACCCTAAGTGATTTCGAAAGCATAAGCTTACCAGTAGCCTTGAAGCCATGGCTCGGGTTGCAATCACACCATCTGGTTGAGAAGGCATCCAAGACCCGGTCGACCTGCTGAGTCTCTCCCTTCAAAACCAAGCGCTGACAAAGACCTCGGAGAGCAGCAAGAATATTCATATTGGACCAGTTGAAAAGTCGCATATAAGCCTCACGAATTGTGGCGCGATCAGGGTCACCAAGCCAAGCAGCAGCTGGGTCATTTCCTACGACCTCATCTTGGCTATCATATAGCTTCTGCGCTTGTTCTCGGTCAGTCGCGGAGTGTCCATCCTCAACAGCCTCGCCGGGGCCATCCATCTTGTCTTCCTCGTCTGCAATAGCTTTGGGTTCCTCCGACTCGATCACAGGGGTGTTGGATGCAGTTTGATAGTGAGAAACTTCGGAAGCGGCAGGTGATTCAGGAACATTGTTGTCAGCGGGGAGGAGTGTCAACTTTTTGGGTCCCGCCAAATTATCCTGGGAGACATCAGACTTAGTGGAAACCTTGAGGTTGCGTGGGAAAGCCTCTGCAACAGGTGACAGCATGGCCGGTGACGCTGGATTTGTACTCTTCTCCTGTAAGGGGGAATCGGCAGTTGCATATGACTCCGCATCACTAGATTTTGGAGTATTATCAGTGGTACCACGACCGCCTGCTAGCGGTGAGCGATCCTGGCCGCGGGAAGAAGTCGGCGGCTGGAGACTTGGCTTCGCCTTGGAGGGACCTCCAGGAGCCGAGACACTTTCTCTTGGCTTTTGCGTTTCCAACGACAATGCTTCCCGGGCCAGTTTACTGCCTTCACGGGCCTCCGGATTGACTGGGGTACCATCTGCTATATAAGGATTCATCACCTGTCGCAAGCTGCTCACCGGGCTTGGCTCGGGCTTCATGTAATCCAGAGCGTTCGATGCGAGTTCTTGAGGTAGGGTAATCGGTGGCGGGACATTATCAACCACAGACTTCTTGCGACGTCGGAAAAACGAAGATTTCTGCTTGACCAAGTGTGGAGGTCCATCGCGCGTAGACGGAGGTGCTCCAGCCGAACTCTTCGGGGGTGGTTGCTGTCTGCGGGTTCTGAGGGTGGCAGTCGCGCCAGGAGAATCCTTCTGCTCAACCTCTTGCACAGATACGTCGTTCGTGTTGGAGGTTGGAGATTCTGCTGGGACTGGCGACGAATTCTTTCCTGCGCCAAAGACACGTCGGAAGAAGCCCGGGCGTGCTGGTTCTTTGGGAGTATTTGCAGAGTTGTTGCTGTTGCTATTGGTTGCAGTAATCACAGTGGTTGTCGCCATCGCTGTGGGTTCCGGTTGAGGGAAAGCCGGTTTATTGTATGAAATAGTTGGACTCGGCGCAGGCGGATCTAATGTTGCGGGCATGGCCGGAGGCATATCGAGATCCGTGTCACCAGATGGCTGGAATTCGCTATCCCAGCCTTTCAAAGTGCTGGTTCCGATATTTTCAGGGCGAGCTTTCCGGACCTGGGGTGCTTGCGCTGACTTTACACTGTTTCGTCGCGATGCGGCAGGCGTTCGTGATGCAGGGGCAGTTGGGGTCCTATAATCATGAAGCTTGCGGGGTCCTGCTGGAACACTTGGTGTCGGTGCCGCCTCGTCGTCGTATAAGTAGTCCTGGCTTGCATCGACGTCCGTATGTGGCATGAATTTCTGTGGGCCGCAGTCAAAACTTTCCGAGCGTCGATGTCGATCCATGCCTCCTGAATCAGCGCGCCCTCTAGGCATTGTGTATGTATAGTCCGCCGTCGAAGTGCTTCCCTTGCTACCTTTGCGTATATCATTGGATCTCGGCATGGTCCCGGTACCTGATCGAGTGCTCATGGCATCCCCGCGGGTACTCCCCATCCTCCTCGGGGCCGTTTGATGATTAGAACTGCTGTTACTCCGGCGGCCTTTGGCGGTCATAGTAGCGTAGCGGCTGCTTCCATCGTCATAACCGAAGTCGGCTTCGGAAGACATTGAGGAGGAGAAGGTGTGGCCGCGGTATCGGCCACTAGTTGAGTCTGTCTCAAAGGCCGAATTGAACAATCTATAGTCGTCTAGCACTGATGAAGCCGGGGCGAATTGATCAAGCGATAGCAGCATGTTATCAACAATGGATGTGCGAGCCGCATGGTTTGGAGACAGGGATAGGTCATGGGGGTCCCGTTCGTCGCCGGACTCGCTCGCTCTCGGCGCATTGTCGAGGGCGGCCGCAGTATCCGGGAAGGCGTCGCGAATTGACGGTCGGGTATATCCTCGCTTGGGTCTGAACGTCGAGGTCTGGGAGGGAGGGGTACGGGGAGGGGAACCGGCGGCGTATGTGTCGCGCTGCTGAGACATTGTTACACTAGGAGCGCGGGTTAGTCGAGTCTGAAGTAGAACGATGGTCGAGGGTCAAATCCAGATGAAAATCCCCTGGATTGTGATGAGGAGACTCAAGGGGGGGTGAGCACGATGGGCTCTAGAATGGCACGTACCGGCAATGCCCAAGGCTCAAGGCTCGAAGATCGGAGATGTCGTTGCCCGAAAATGGAGTGGGCTGGACCAGTTGCGGAGCGGAGGGCACGGGGAGGGGATGATTCTCAGAGGGTCATCGCATGTCCCGGACAACGCAAGGGGTATCGGGGGGGGGGAGACGGAGGCTGTCCACTTGAGTTGAGGTGAATTGATTGACAATGGGACTGGGTGAAAGAGAAAACAAGAGGAACAAGAGGAACAAGAGGAACAAGAACCAGAGCCGGGGGCGGGACGAACTCCTGAAGTTCCAAGGTTGAACTAGTCAAAGAAGGTGGAACTGGAGAACCTTAGAAGGATGGAACCTTTGGGTATTGGTTCAACTTATCTAGGTTTATCTCAAGCCACAATTGCAAGAGGGTATTCGGGGTAATGAGAGTAGTGAGGGTAATAAGGGTACTGGTACTAGGTCGAAACAGAAACAGGGGAAATTGATGCAGTTTGGCCGTGAGGTCCATCTGCATCGATTCAGGGGGTCGATGCGTTGGCACCCTGTTTTTTTTTGGCAAAAATACGCCTATCACCCAGAGTTGGAGTTGGAGAAATCCTGCTATGATTGCAGAGTAGGTACGAGTCTACGGAGAAGGGAGTATCTATCTGGAATACGGAGTACGAGGGTAAGTATACTGGTTTCCGACTCCTCTTCTTCTGCGCAACTTGGTCGATTTCGATGGTGGAGCCCAGTGGAGACCAACCGTCTCGCGCTCAGTCCGAGTCCATGCTCTTGCAGATTGCAGACTGAATGCTATGCGGATGCATTTATGTGATGCATCCAGAGGCAACTTTGACTTTTCCATGATGGTGAGGCTTGCCAGTGAGTTGATGGGTCGAATATATTCCTAGAAGGTTTGTACATGTACACTACACTACACCAGGCGTGGTTACGAGTATGAATGTCTGTTGAAAATATATACTTCTAGTAGTACTTGCTCTTGTGGACCTTGGCACAAGACAGCCCAACACTTCATTACTAGTACCTACTACTGTAAGTACAACTACTACAAATGTTCCCTTGCAGAGTGGTCCAGTTAACATTATCACAGTACTATTCTTGGCCTAGTCACGAGACCAATCCCAGTCAATGAGGACTACCCTCTGTAGAATACTCGTGAACCATATGGAACATGTGTTGACTACTAGTATTCTATAGATTTATGAAATAGGAAATATGAAACAATTCACCTAAACACTGAGAAACAGCTTTTAGCTGATCTGCCTCAGGCATACATCCGACACAAGTCATGTGACGATGACATAGCCCCGAGACCTGCGTACTCGGGTTCAACCGATCAACGTGTCGTGTCAATGTCCGTTCCTGACCGTTCCTGACCAGAACGGGCCTCGACAATGAACCCGCACATTTCTGTTCCTCGCCAACATGCTGGTCCGGCCAATTTCGGTTCCACCCCTCGCCGCGGGTCCAGCGTGCGCATGCCGCGCTTCTTCAAGAGGTACGCTCCTCGGGATGGCAGAGGGGGAATGGGAACCCAAGACAATGGCGACTGACTATATTATCCCACTAGACTCTTTAAATTTCCCCAGATGGACTTTGAGATGGCTATCTGGGAAATGACTTCCCTACTGATCGCCCCTAAGAAGGTCTTCAAGTCCATATATTACCATGTAAGTTATTCATTCCGCCGGGGAATCGGAACTCGGCCACTCCAATTGATCAATCCATGCTAACCACCTTGTCTCCATATAGAAACGTAAGTCACGTCGTGTGCCAAGTGCCTCTTCACCTCTTCAATAGGTCTTTCCTAACTCGAACCTTTTCTCACAGAAACCAAAAACACATGGCATCGCCCTGACCCGTCATTCACCTACCTCCTCTCTTTCTTCTTACTCCTCACAGCCCTCGCCTGGGGTCTCGCCTATACCCCCTCCTTCGGCGCGATTATCCGGCTCTCGCTACTCTTCGTCTTCTTGCATTTTATTGGATCATCGCTGTTCGTCTCTGCTATCGGCTACTTTGTCATTGGCCGCCTCTTTGGTCCCAATGGCGCCGCTGCCTCCATGACTGGCTTCCGCGGCTCGAGAGGTCGTCGGCGCGGTGCTGCTCAGGGTTTATTCATGCAACCCGGGGAAAAGGATCAGCTGGAATTTGGATACTGCTTTGATGTATGGTCCCTTAGCCATAGCCCTTTTCCTTCTCTCTAACTCACTCACTCCCAGGTCTCCAATCGCGCCTTTTTCCCTCTCTACTTGCACCTCTACGTGATCCAGTTCCTACTCCTCCCACTCCTCACACGCAGCCCGAGCAATTTCCTCGCTACGTTCCTCGGAAACACGCTCTACCTCTCCGCCTTGATCTACTACACCTACATCACTTTCCTGGGCTACAATGCCCTCCCATTTTTGCATAACACGGAGTTGCTTCTCATTCCCATCCTGATATTCGGCCTTCTCTGGCTCATTAGCCTGATTGCCGGATGGGGAGTTGTCATGGATGGATGGGGCGTCGAGGGCTTGTTCTGGGGTGTATGAGAAGAGCTACAGCTACAGCTACGGCTATGGCTACGGCTACATACATTCTTCGCCCAAGAAAGAAAAGAATCCATTGGCTTGACTTGACCCTCTGGGCTATTCTTCCCACTCTAAACTAATTCCTTGGGGGCTTTGATTTTTATGTCCCATGTACGAACGAAACCTTCATTTTCCTTTCTCTCCTTTTCTTTTCCTTTTCCTTTTCCTTTTCCTTCTCATTGATCTCTTCCTGGCTATGCATCGAAAAAGAGTAATTCTTGTTCTCTTCTGTGATTAGGGTGGGCGTCGGTGTACATGATTTTGTCTTTCATCTATAGGACCAGGACCAGGACCAGGCATCATTTCCTTTCCCCATTCCCATTCCCATTCCCTCTGTGCGTGTATTTGTGTTATAGATCACAATATCAAAATATCCTTTTCAGTCATCACGTAATATCGGTATAAAAAAAAGCACATTGAAAAATTTCATCCAACATCAACATCAACACCCTCCCCAAACCCCTCCAGCCGACAAGACAAGGCAAGACAAGTTGCAATATCTATTTCTTCTTGTTACCCCCCTTCTTACTACCAGGCGCAACCTTCCCCATAGCCGCAGCCCGCAATTTATCCTCACGCGCCTGAATAGCATCAGCCCGCTCCTTAGCAGCCTCATCCTTCTCCTCCTTCTCAGCCTCCTTCCTCGCCTTCTCCGCCTCCCGCTGCTCCCGAATAATCTTCAACCTTGCCAGATCAGCCCGGGCCTCATCAGTCTTCCCCTCCGCATGAAGCTTCATATAACGCTCACGAGCCTGCTGCGCCTGAAGCGCTTCACGCTCACGGCGAGAAAGCTGTGAGAGGTCCTTAACCACCTTTTTGGGCTTCTTCTCTTCGTCCGAGTCTGTGGGCTTGATGAGTTGGGAGCGCGACTTGGCTGTGTGGTTTGGGTTGGCGGGGAGGGCGGATGATGACTCGGGCTCATCGTCGTCGTCTTCGGATTCGGAGTCTGTGGGGAGATCGCCGACTTGCGCGGGTCCCTTCTTGCGCTTTGCTAGTGCGGCGGCTTTCTTTGCTTTTGCGGCGGCGCGGCGGGCTTCGCGGGTTACTTCTTCAGATGCGCTGGTGGGTTGGGCGCCTGCGGCGCCGGCGGGAGCGGCGTCATCGCTCTCTTCTTCGGAGCTTTCTTCCTCTGATGAGGACTCCTCGCTAGATGAGGGGATTTCGTCGCCGGGGTCCTGTTGTACAAGAAGAACTCCATGTCAGTTTTTTTTTTCTTGTTCATTGTGCTTGTGCCTGAGAGATGGCGGGGGGGAGGGGAGGAGGGGAATTGGTTTTCTTCCAATTCCACTGGGATTTCAACGTACGCGCCAGAGACCGACTGGGTTACCCTCCTTGTCGATGGGCTGTAGGTCACGACTGAACTTCTTGCCTCCTAAATTTCACGCAACTTGGTGAGTTCTGAGTCCGGGGAATCGGGGGGTAGTTGTGCACGCGATGGGATCGTACCTCCTCGCGAGGGCTTTGAGAACTTTCCTCCACGACCGCGGGGCGCCATGATGAAGAACTTGATGTGTTTTCCGAAAGGAAGTGGGGTTCGTAGAATTCGCCGAGTGATCTGTAGCTCGGATGGATGGATGGAGCTTATTTTTTAACCCTTCAAAAGATTCAGTCAGTACTTTGTTGAGTCATTTCGAGTCACCGCGGACAAGGCATACACTGAGCAGACCGCAAATGGAGGGGCAAGGGCAAAGTGGGGTGGAAACAAGTGCGCGGGCAATGAAGACAAGCGCCAAAGAGAGAAGAGAGAATAGAGAGTGGAGACAGAAGATGGGATTGACAAGGGTACTAGTACTTACCGTGAATTGAGGGTGCTGGGAGGGCTGGGGAACAAAATATTGACAAGATGGCGGACGAGTCACCGGGCTGGAATTAATCAGTTTCGGTGGGGAGGCGAAGCTTCCGCCCGAACATTCACAGTCAGTACCATTTTAACATTAGGGCACCGCCACCACCTTAAAGTTACAACAGATGCTCAGTTATTTTTACAGGCTATTCGAAAATTAGAGGAAGATTGTCTTAATTGATAAAGTGCGTTTTTAGAAAAGAAGACAAGACTTGAGACAAACAAGAAAAGGTGTGCTCTTTATCCAAAAGGTTTCGAACTGGGCGGTCCTTGTTTGAGAGAAATCGAGTCTGTACTTCGCTGCCATGAGTTCTCCATGGAAACGATGTGCAGGATGATGGAGCTTTTCGAGTGCAAAGACAGGGTGTACTTTCATGCTGCCAGGAAGTTGTAGCTTCCATGCATTACCGACTTTCTCAATAATTTCAAAAGGACCATGTGCTAGGTGTGAAATCTTGCGATTAGGTCGACTAGCCTTCCATAAATGGGCTGTCACGAAAACACGACCACGCATTTTGAAGTCATCTTTGAGGCGTCGAGTGTCTGCATAGCGCTTCTGACTTTGTTGAACTCCTTCAATCGATTGACGGTCACAGGTGGAAAGAGATTATTTTACCCAAATTGTTCTTTTGCGAATGAAGAAGAGCCCTAGCTTCACTATAATTTATATTTGATATCTATTTCCTTGTCAGAGAACATTCCGTACATACGACCATAGGGTGTGGAGAACAGGGCTTCCCGTCCGCTCAGCCGTACTTAAGCCTATTTTAGTATGCGGTTAATTCTCAAAGCGCCCTGAGCTTTAAAATGGCGTCGGATTGTATCCTAGGGTAAGTGTGGGTGATATGGGTGAGAAGTCTGGAGACTGGGGCGATAGAGGTGAGAACAGGGTGAGAGCGGTTGAGAATTCTCACCTAGGACCACCCACACGCCTACTTTGACTTGAGTCCAGCCTATAAATATGATATGAACCCTAAGTGACTGCTTGGCCTTCTGTTCTTATTTTCTTAGCGTTTAGCTATTTCAAAAAAGATGCTCCTGAAAGACTTCTAAAAGGAACTTGAGGAAGGAACTGCACGTGCTGCGTCACGTGGCTTTACCCTTGAATATCAGAACAAACGGGAACAAGAAAACAACACTATATGTCTAAAACAGCTCGCTCTCGCTACTCTTAAGAAATATGAGGACACAGCAGAAAATTAGGCGCTGTAATTAATGCTATTAGCAACTATAGGTCGTGACACTAATTTCAGTAGATGGAGACTTTCCCGGAACGAAGCTATTGTCGGACTTGAGAGTGTGTTCTAAAGTCGTCTTGGTGCACTATGTTGTAGTACACGGTGGGATACGCTGTGATCTTATTTGGACCATAGGGTGAGTGCGCGCTGTGATCTTATTTGGATCATAGGGTAAGTGGATCGTGCGATCAGTAGGATCCACGATGGTGGAAGAGTAACTTGATATCAGAATCAAAAGAGTGTTAAACTTGTTCAATTTAGCTATGGAATGTAGGCAGTATTTATATCTTATGAACATAGTGGAATAACACACGAAAAAGAATAATAAGAATCCGAAATAATCATGGGGGGGATACCAGAGTGTTGGGAAACTCGTTGCTTTTTCTGTGTGATGTGATAATTGATATTCAACATCGTATCGGTCAGCCAATCATGCAGTAGATCGTAAGCGCCAGGCGCTAATGGCTTCGTCCACGCTAATAGCGGGGTAAGGGCATACACATGCCGACAGAATTTTTATAGTTAGTAGCTATACTGTTGACATGAGTGGGAAATATCCAGGATTGGAGCATACAGCAAGCTGTGTTCTGTGGTGGAAGTTCTTCAGGTTGAGGGATGTAGTCCTTGAGATATGGATCTAAATCAATTTTGCAAAAGAGATCGAGCATCTCGCTACGTCCTGAATCATGATACCCGACGAGATAAGAGATGGAAAGCATATTGATTCTCAGCGGGAGCCAGATGCATCATCTAAACACCGGCGAGCACGCTACCCCGGTGTTATTATCGAGGTGTGCTATTCACAAAAAGGTCGATGTGTTTCGCACTTAGCGAATGAATACATCTTAAACACTGATGGGAGCGTGAACGCGGTGGTGGCCCTCTATATCGATTATAAAGGGTCCAAAAAGCGACTATTACTGTATGGCGACCGGAATACGCAACCTCGGATGGTAAGGAGGAGCTTCAAGCGACCGCTACTATCGAGGCGCTGGTACGTACCATATGAGTGACAATCTTTCCGAGTTTTAGTTGCTGACTGTTACAGCCATTTCGGACTGATTGCGGCCTTCCGATCGAAGAAACAGCGCTCCGACTGTCCTTGAGGGACTTCGCAACCCAGGAACTCTCACAGGGGCTCACTAGTCTCAATCAAGATTTTTCCATAACATCGACGCAGCTTTGTGACTTCCTTTCCCGCGCCAAAAAAGAACAGCCAGGGCAGATGCTACTGCAGGGCTCTATCAATTGACTACGCCCGGGAGCTGGAAAGCGTCGTCGGCCTCAAACTCCGCCGGAACAGCCAAGCTCGGAAGATGAAGGATAAGTTGCGAGGAAAAGGGAAACTAAACGAGGGCGTCGAAGCAGCGATTTTTTCCCGGACTCTTCGTCAGGGGATTCGAAGGGTGAGCTCCCTTAAAGTGGAATATGTGGAGCAGCTCAGGAAGAGTGTGCCTTCCTCCGGAGATTTCAATACTCTCCCTCTGGGTGGGCATATGTGCCCGATAGGTAGTTGTCATTGGTCAATATGTATCCCAAACCTACGACTGATAAATCTCCGATTCTTCGCTGGTCATGAGCCTTCGTTCTTATGGCTATGGATACCTCAGTCTCGCAGCACCCATATTAGTATGCTTGTCTGGATTCATATTCAGATTTACGTCCGCACTGCATGCTGCGATAACAGCTGATTCCGGCACTATCGGTATAGGCTTCGATCCTAAGGGCATCTCGCAATAGTACGACCTAACTTCTGAAATCCAACCGATCCTTCTACTATCCAATGCGTTCTCTCTTACTAGCTGATTGTCAAATAATTGATTACTTCTCATCATCCTATATTTAGGTTTCCGTCAACGTCGTGCAGCCTTCCACGCAGGGTATTTAGCTCGCCAGAATCAATCTGTTCAAGTAATTCATATCTCTGTGCATCACCGGTCTCATGCCGATAAAGAAATAGTAAAGGCAATGGATCATTCCTCCACTTGGGCACTCGCGTCCGCCGTGTCTTCCAGAAAGTCCCTACCAGCGCGACAGCCCCGAGTATCCAAACAAGTACGGGTAATACAATCCATTGCCAGTGAATCGAGACATATGTCACACTGGTCAGAACATGACCTGGTGTCATGTTCGCGTTTTCCAGCTTCGAAGCTGCCTGGATGTACATGGTGTCTCGAAAGGTTTTGGAGATTGCTGCTGCAATGTTTTCCATGGCGCATCTCAACCTGATCGCTGACTCGCTACTACATCCAACAATATCTTCCCGTCCAAGGGCCTGAAGGATGTCGGATGCGGCGTACCCCATATTGTCACTTGTCGCTCCATATGATTGATGTAATGGATTGTGCGAGAACCCGCCACTCAAAATGTTCATTAAAAACGTCCTGATAGCAAATTCTGCTTCTCTCTCAAGTATAAAGGTTTGGTTGGGTTGCACACCCATATCATCTCCCCAGGGCGGATTGAAGTACCGTCCTGTCTCGTTATTGGGTACAGTCGCAGTATTCCAGATCGCTAGTGTGTCATCGGTGAAGACATTGTTCCGGACAGAGGGCCTAGATAGGCGTACGACAGGCTCAATGACGCATTCCGTTGCCTCCCATGCGTCGCCGCCCAATGACAATTCTTGGTTCATAATTGGATCCGCAAGTACTGAGATATTTGCGAGTCGGGGAGTAATAAGCTGTATTGGATACATTGTCGCATTGGTAAATACCAACGCTGCATCCGGATCAACTGCAGAGCTAATGAATGCACTGAATATAGCGGTCGATGTGACCCCCCTTAAAGGATGCTTTTACGTTGCTTTTGGGGAGGGTGACATTGCAGCTCGTTTCTGAAAGGCCATATTTATGGGTCACTTTACATGACTTGGTGAGGTGCTCAGTGATGTTTGCGCAGAGTGCGCGGGTTTCCAACGATGCAACAGCACCCCATGTGCAATTTGCTGAGCTGCAGGAATACTGAGGAATGGCCCAAGGTCTCTTTTGGTCGCGATTTAGAAGAGAATTGTATACATTCGATTTGAGTTCAGAATCGACCTCTTTGTTCTCTGTCATATCGTCAATCCAAGCCACAGGTAATATGTTTCTTTTGTTTTGACCTACCTCCACTACCCGTAAGCACATATTGAAATCCATAAGCATTGTATATGGATGAATTTGCCACAAAAGCAGTTTTTGATGAATCCACAACCATTTTTTGTTGATAGTGAACTAGATTCTGCACAAATGGATCATATCCCAACGCCAGGATAACAGCCAAGCAGCCCCAGACCGCAAAATGCCTGCCCATCGTGTTAGTCTGGAAAAACTCTAAGCTAATGAGCACGGCCTACCTAGCACGTAATCTCCATATCAACTGGATAGCGCCATAAAATCCTCGACTCGCCGTGTCAAATTGACGAAGGTCTGGTAGGGGTCGCGATGCCTGCTTGAACCATGTCCACTTCAACTGGCCTAGCACCCCGCTAATGGCAGATATAAGGCAGCCCTTTGAGACGGTGCTCAACCAGGAAATCAACGAGTTGAGAGACATGTAATTCCACTTTGGTTCAGGTGTGTTGTTGAGCGAGGCAAGGATGACGACTGTGGCAACTAGGATACCACCCGATATCGCGACTCCCAGGAGTTCCCAGACAAACCAGTCAATATCAACCGATTTCTGTGACTCTCCCTCTGCTCCTTCGTCATGTTGTTTCGATGCTGCAGAAATAGGAGAGCCTTTAAAAGTCGGTGTTTCGGCGTTCAGGTCCGGGTTATAATGATCATCGTCTGACCTCTTAATCGGCTCATAGATAGGGCTTGCCGACTCTGGACTTCGAGACATCTTGAGAAGTAGATTGAAACGTTCTGATGGAACGGAGCATGAAATCTCTTCCCTCTTATTTATTATCAAGAACGGAAGCACGGCTGACATGGCTGCAAGGCTTTAGGGGCTGGCTACTACCTTTCCGCGCTGCTAAACCGCTAATCAGCTAGACCCTGTCCTTGGCCCCCCATAGACCCTGGGGACCAGCATGTCCGGCCAATCGTACCCCGGAGACTACGGTTGATATAGACCTAGGCAAACCACCTTGCATTAGCTCTTGAGCGCAATTACCCTCGCACGTATTTCACTAAACCAGTATCCTCGTCGTACTGAGTAGAAGCTGGCAAACATTGATCTTACAGAGAACCTCCATACAATTTTGGGCTTCCAAGGCGCTCTAATTATACCCCCCACGGTATTTCGAGTGAGTTGTGCTGAGCTTGCGGAAGCCAACGGAGCCGGTTGTCTAGTCGATAGAAAGTACCAACCATAGCGCTCTTTAAACAGCAGGAAAAAAAAGGGGTATCGGGTGGGGTCCAAAACACGTTATAAGTTCGTTGTTTTCGCGTGGCAGTGCTCTTCGAAATAGCGGCAAAAGTACACGGGCACAAGTGTAGACTACCCCTATTATTGTATCATATCGTAGTACGACCGTTTATAAACGTTAATTTCTGTCGACCTATTTATTTCCTCCTACCTTCGTCCGTATTTGGAGTCTACTCTAACCCTTATCACCGAGACTGCCTTGTCGCCGAAGTCCCTTTAACTGTGAAGGGCTGAAGCAAGACTTGATTAAATCTAACTAGGCCAACATGCTGTTTACAAAAAGCTTGGACAAGGAAAGGAGTGGAACAAGCGGAACAACGACAGAAGTAACGTGCAAGGCGGTGGCAGAACGGGGGCGTGCGGGGAAGAGGCTATGGCAAGGCCATTGTGAGAAGCGGGTCTGACCCGTGACATTAACATCATGATCGATTAGCGGAGATAATAAACGTATGATCATTTCCAGAAAAATTACCAAGTAGCCAATCATGTGACTCTCTCTTACAATACGTTTCCAGGATCTGAAACTCACCAAACTAGTGGTCTTCTAATGTGGGCCATTGATCAGGATACCCGCAATCTCGATGCTCTTCGTGGTGTTCTGTACCCTGAGGACGTTGTGATGACGGACAGCATGAAGGATGATACCAGCTATTGGGAAAGCCAATATCCTGGTGACTGTAGAACTACGGAATGTGGTAAACACTGTCCTACCGGTACTATCGAGATGGATACTTTTAAATGTCCGGATGGTGGTGATAAGGACGACTCTCGCATCTGCTGTCCTATCGCTGCTGCCCCTGACCCAGATACCTGCCACTGGCGTGGTGGCGAGTCTGGAATTCTTTGCAATGGACAATGCCATGGTGGTGAAGTGGCCCTGGCCTCGGCCGTAGATGGAGGCAACGGCCACTGCTCTGATGATATGTTTTTCTAATTCTCATTCCAAAAGTACATGTTTATTAACAATTGCAGGACGTTAATTCTACTGTTGCCCTATCCCTGAGGTTGCTGCCGGTGGTGGTATCAACTGCGGCTGGAAGGATACATGCTCGGATGACCAAGAGCCCTTGATATTCGCCGGAATATTCTTGGAAGCTGTCTCCGATGTGTTGGACTACACTGGACTTTTTGGCCAGGCGCTGGCTGATTTTCTAGATGATGTTGACATGGACAACATGCGATAATACTGTTGCTCCAAGGAAGAGATCAAGAACTGGAAAGACTGCTATTGGGCTGTATGTTTTGTTTTATACCAACCATCAGAATGCCTGTGGCTGACAATATAACAGGGGAGAGGTGACCGATCTGTCTATAGTTGTGATGACAACCATTGTAACACTGGTCACGAGGTTGAGCTTACGCTGAGTCTATACGGTGAAGGAGAGGACTGTATGCCAACGTGAGTTATGTCGAGCCTTTTCTATTAGGGCAGTATAAGCTGACAGAGAACAGGTCTCGTCAACGAGCCTTCTGCTGCACACCCGCAAGTGGTGAATTACTGTTTATGCCAGTCCCTTTGGAGTATCTGTTTGAGAATTCCCCAGAGAATGCAGATGACCCCGACTTCAATCTCTCGGTAGACGACACCTGGGGCACTGGTGACACTCAAGGCGATGCTGATGAAGAGCCTGAAGACGCTGCTTTTGGATTTGTGGTTATAACCGCCCCTGATGAGGTTTATGTCAGCTTGGATAAGCGTGATGGCTCGCCCTGGGAGTTAATGGACTGCCCCGACAGCGATAGCAAAGAGGAGCATACTATCCGCATGATCTGTACTGATTCCTCCGCGGACAGCAAGTGTGACCACATTCACCGTGGAAAGGGTGCTCCTGGTACCATTCTTCAAATGCCTAGTCGCTGTGGCCCCGGTCGATATGCCGTCGCAAAGGAGCTTAAGGAGTCCTATAACCAGAGTCTCCCGGGTCATCTGAACAAGCGTGAGCTTGAGGGCAGATCCGTCTACGACTTGACCTTCGACTACGACTTCAAGCATGTCCCTCGTGATTACGGCGATGCCTTGATGCGTATTGACTATAGTAACCAGCCTGGATACTGGGACTCTGTTGTCGACAGGCCCGCTAGTAACTCCGAGCGAAAGGCCAAACGCGCAAAGCGGGATGAAACAGGCTATCACAAGAACCGAAAGCGCTATCTCGAAGATGAATGGCGTGATGCGTATCATCATGGTGGTATGGAGCGCCATGAGGTCCATAAGCATTGGTTCGGTGAGGATATCCTCAACTGGCTCGGTCAATTGATCACTACTGGTGAAGCCGAGGCCACCAAGGAGCTCAACCATAAGGTCAATGAGAAAGTCGAGCTCCTTCTCATTGACCAGCAGTTCGGACCATGCCCTGTTGGTGGAGCCCAGGCTCAGGCGAATATTCGATCATCCATCACAGCCTCGATTGATGTTGAGACCTCTTTCGGTATAACCATTATCACCACCCTCAAGGAGGGCATGGATCTCAGCAGATCCTACCTTTACTTCAGAAACGCCGGAGAGGTTGAAGCTAGGTTTGAACTTGACGCCGTTGCTTCTCTGACGTACTCGACCGGTGATATCAAGCTGCTCGGTCTCGACGACTTCCCCGGCGCAACCTTCCGCGTGCCTGGAGTTGTTACGGTCGGTCCGAACCTCGCAGTCTATGCCTCTGCAGATGCCTCGATTGTTCTAGCGGGACATCTGGAAGCAGACGTTACTCTCGCATCCTGGGAAATTCAACAGACCTACCCTCAAAACGATGAATACCCAGAAAAAGCCCTCAATGAGCCCGACCGTAAGGCTAAGACCATTGGCAAGCCCCATTTCGATGCCTCTGTCTCTGCCAACGGCGAGATTACCTTGCATCTGAAGCCAACTGTCAGCTTTGGAATTGACTTCGATGACCGCTGGAAGATACCCCGGTGTTCCGTTGATCTTGTCCTGGATGGATATGTGATCAGACATGCGGAAGCTTCCTACGCACTCGACGGGGACAACAGCTGTCCACTCAGCTATGGTATTGATGCTGGTTCAAAGATGTACGCTCAGCTTGACGCCCCTGAGGAATTTGGTTGGGGCGACGATCTCCGAGTCACGCTCGCAGAGGTGCCCAGGAAGCAAATCACGCCTTCAACCTGCGTTGGTGAGAAGGGCAAGCGAACTTTGCTGGGCTATGAAGCATACAATTCTTCCGTGGAAGACTCTTCCTCGCGTAGAAATGAATACATGCCTATGCCTGTTTCTCATTCCATTGCCAAGCGTGACACACTTACCCTTGGCCCTCTGGTCACGATCCCCGATGACTTCCTTAATTGCCCTGGTGAGGGTGGGGGAAAGAATTCTTGCGTGATGTGCTCAATGTACGGCACGAAAGTCAGTGACAGCGATGACTCGAAACGAGATGTCTCTTCTCTGTTCGGCCGTGACGATGATAGTGGTTCTTGTCCTATCTACCCATCCCCAGATAGTGGAAAGTGCTACGATACAGATTCGTTCCTTTTCGACCGCGCTTCTGACCCACAAGAGCCTAAAAAGATGAGTCTCAGCTTCTATGATAACAACAAGAAATTTATATATTTGAGGTATCCCCGGTGTAACGCAAAGGACGACGGGCCGACGGGTGTGGCGAAGGTATGCCTTGATTGTTTATTTTTTCCTCTTCCGGTTCAACAAGACGCAAATACTGATGAGAATACAATAGTGGTATCTTCCCGAGTTTATGCTATCCAGCTCACAAGATATCAACGACAACAGAAGGTGCTCGGCAAAGATAACAAAGGAGAACTCCGTCAAGGGAGCGAGCAATGCATAGCTCATTGACGGTAATAGCAAATTGCCCGCGAAGGACTTCCGTACGGAGCACGTCTTTGAGGTACATCTGGTCAAGCATTTCCTTGAGTGGGTGTGCGGAGGAAAGGAATCCAAATATGGAGGTCTTGGCGAGGTTCCTTTCCCTAAGAAATGGACACGTCCTGACTCGACTTGGTGCTCAGAGGTGTTTAGAGGTAAGAAGACCAGGGGAGTGTGTGTAGCGTCTTGTTGATATTAACTAATGATATCTGTATAGGTTCTAATGGCGGAATGACTTGGTCGAGAAATAATGGGCCCAAAATGAACTGGGTCCAACATACCGCTGAATTCCTCGGAAATGGCCAATCGCTTGACCTGCTCGTCATGTATCACGAAAAGCCCAACGGAGTCAAAGAGGTTATTACCGAAGGAAGGAAGTCTAGCCTCCCTAAGGACGACCCCAGCAACGGTTACATCGTTGAGCTAAAAGAGATAGCGGATAAGGTCATGATGACTGCTACTGTTTGGAACTATCTGCAGGAATTTAGCGACAAGTGGACCAAGCCCAGTCAGAACATCGAATTGATCTCGGACAAATTCGACCATGAATATACCCGCCAATATTCCCAGAACAAGCCAAACGGACAGGCCCTCAAGCCAGACGATACCACCTGGGGCCTCAAACACTGGGGTCTGCGTACCCTATGGGCCTACTGGATTGACAACCATCTGGCCAAGATTGAGCAGATTCAGGCGGATTGGCACAAGACCGCTAAAGACCAGATCAGTTCCATAAAAGATAAGATGGACCCGAAAAAGACAGACGCTGTCGCGAAGAAGTTTGCAGACATCACCATGACTACTGGAGACGCAGCAGTGGGAAAATTCAAGTTCCCAACGTCTAATGCGGGTAAACCGCTTCCTGGTACTGCGACAAGTGCATCAAATGACGAAAGCAAGTACGGAATGTGGGGAGGCAACCAGCTAGGAAAGCTGGGCCTGTAGTAGATTTGACGAGGCCACCCGAGAAGTACCTAGTTGCAGCTGTAAATTTAGCCAATTTCTGACTATAACACTTAATTGATTTTGTTGCTGTTCATACTAGTAGGGCATGCTACTGGGCAGTCACCTGACTTTATGTCTCTCTCAGTATATTAAGATTTCCACCTACCAGTAGTACCACATTCAATCTACTAGTACACACTTGCACATTCTCTCCTCCATACTACCTACGTACCTCCTCTCATTATGCCCGGATGCTCAATTTACTTGGTCTATTAGCCCTAAGTGTTGATCTTCTCCCTTACGTAACACCCCTCCCCTCCATTTAAGCCCGTTGCTCCCTACGTTTACTTCAGTAGTCTCTTTCAAACCTGTTTTCCTCATCAAAGGTCGCTGCTCATTTGCACCAACTATAGCCCCAGTTGCAAGATCTGAGATGGATTGGCAGCAAGTGCGCACCTACACGGACCATTTGGGTCATCCTGTCGTGCTCGAGCAGTATGTCTCGCCAGAATACGAGACAGACCCCGATCTGGAAACTCCCATTCAGGTCTACAGTCTTGTTCCCTTGGACGACGACCACGAAGAGCTCCGAGAATACCTCATGCAGATGTTCTCGGATGACGAAGTGAAGCCTTTGTTCGAAATTTACTTATACCGCCCGCCCGATGGCTTTGCCTGCATTGAGCATAATCGCATGGAAATCGCGCGTCGCAAGCAGCAATATCGGTCAGGAGTCGAAAATCCTCTTCCACTAATTGCGCGATGGAATCGTCCCAATCGCCTATCCAATATTGGATTTTGCGTTCTGGTGCGATCGCACAGTTATCGAGTGGGCAATATGGAGGACTCCGAGGAGGCTAAGGAGATCGGCGACGGCCCGGATTTACTTTACTTCAACCGCACATTTTCTAGCAGACGCGCTGATGCTGACTTGGCGCAACATTCACCCGAGGACAATGAAGACCTCAGGTTAGAGGCATTTGAACTATCCATCGAGCGTGTTACGGAGCAAATGGACATCGGCCAGATGATAATCCTCGATTTGTTCCTTAACGTCTCTTCTTATGCCGATCAGCGATATGCCTTGGATGTTGATGAGGGCGAACCTCCTGGCCAAGATATGCCAACAGAAGAGCAGATTCGTGACCAGCTCGGCCAAGAAACCTCGGTTGGTGGCTTTTCTCTTGGTCCGGCATTCCAGGTTTCTAGAGAAGCCGACATTGTTACAGTCACCAATACTCCTGAGGGCAAAACCTCTGACATTCAATACGTTGTCCACACATCTTTTCTCAGTCATATACGCGACACGGCAGGTTTCTCTCTCCTCGAAAGCACAGCGCGTCTCTTCACAGCGTCTGTTCTCTCCCACCTTCCGGCCAATAAAACCCTCACCCTCAAATTCTTCATTCCAAAGTCCAATTCCTGGTCGGCCATCGGCCCCGCCCAAAATGAAGTTCTTGAAAGTTTATCCCAGCAAAATCAAGAAAGCCAGGAAAGCCCTTTCCCTATTGGCGCCCTTCACAATATCCTCTCAGAAGAGGATCAGCCCCCAGCTGCAAAACGAGTTACTCCTCGTGGCCCTGAAAGATATCTGTACAACTGGTTACCGTACGAATCTGGCACGTTCACAGTCGTTCTTGATCGTGCAAAATTTGTCTCCGAGAACGGAGTTTACTTCTACAAGAATCATTATAGTAAAGTCAGTGATTCGGAGGTTCTTTCTGATAATACGAATATTGTGCGTGGCGTGGATATGAGTGCGGTTGCTCGGCGGCTGGGAATGGTTGTTCTTGATGAATGAGCTAGTCTAATAGATCAATTTGACTCTTTTTGTATGTAATCAAGACGATTTGCTAGATTATGTAGAAGGATGTTACTATTCGTTTTCCTTCCTCATCTATAAAAGGCAGTACTAGTGGATGTGGGATAAGTAGTGTTTACATTGGACATAACCAAGCCATGTGCTTCGAGCTCCAGAAAGTGAAATTCCTCAGGAAGCAAGGGGGCGATTGAGTCAAACTCATTTGTCACAATATCGGCCATACGTGTACTCCTAGTGATCAATTTATCTCTTTGAAGTTGTTTATCTTCACGATCTTTGTTTCAATAACACCATTCAATGCAATGGTATCGCAGCTTCAGTCGCGTTTTCCAGAGGCATCGAACTAATTTGTGCTTGAAACCAAGAGATCAATCATCCTACGCAATGGCAGGCGATCTTGCTAGACGGTCAACCTCAGCCAACCGCAGCGCGAATTATCGGTCAGCTCAATCGACTGGGAGTGGTACATTGCCGGGAATTTGACGAAAACACCGCTCCTCCCAATCTTCCATTGAGCAAGTAATCGTCCAACCAGAAAGGAAAATGTATAGAAAACTGATCTTCAGCGGTAGAAAAAAAAAAAAAAAAAAAAAAAACGTTAATGAGAGACTGAGCTCAAGGGGAATCGAGTCCAGGGTATCTGCGAGCAAGCTACTAGTATTTCAATCACGTCGACCAGCGATCTCATTGTCTCAAAATATCGGGACATCTCTGTATATATTTCCCGGGGGAGTGAGGTTGACAAGAAAGTCTGAGAAGTACGCCTTATGGGCCCTCAAATACTTACCTAGGTACATGAGAATAAGCCTAATCGCATTTGATTTCTTAACGTAAAGGGTAGGGGTTTTACCATTCCACCCATGTTGAAAGCGAAGGAGAAAGGATTAGTCTGTTGTCATGGGAGGATAGAACATATCATTGACAATGACTTCTCTTTTATAGCCGCCAGAAATTCAAGCTAGCTTTTCCGGCATCGGTTTTTTCTAATTGCGATCTCAATTATAGTCTCTGATTCGCGGTATCAAACTACACCAGTTTTTTCTTTTTCTTTTTTTACAGTACTCACACCTTGCGTAAGAGTGAGCTGGTGCCTCAGGCACCAACACGCTAATCAACTTATTTATGGTCTTTTGTGCATCACCCTATGCTGACTTTCAGTCACTACTACCAAAATACAAGTCGATTCGATGCTTCTTGATTACCTAGACGAAATTGCCAATAGATTTACAAATTCGGTCCGGTTCCTGAATCCTTAGAAAGTTCAGTTAACGGGGTTACCTGGCCGGCTCACCAAACTTCGTCATCAGGGCAGCTCGCTCCATCAAGTTAGTTCCAGGGACCTGGAGATACATTCCGATCATCCCAGAGAAAAATATATGTTTCTTCGATGCGTAAATCGATATTTTCGGCGATGTGATCATAGAGAGCATTCAGTATCACAGGGGTGATATACACAAGCAAGCCAGCTAGTCTGCATTCGTTGACAGTTGGCTCTAAAGATCAAGCCTGCTCCATTACTACGATACACTGTGACCTGCCAAAGAGTATTATTTCTCTATGGAGTTGATGCTCTATTCCAAAACGCTGGGTGGGTAACGCGATGATCAGCCTTCGATGGTAAGAAAGCACGGAACCTGCAAAGTCCTTCTGAATTGAGCTTGCATGAATTCGTCGCTTTTGGCTGTCTACGAGCGGGGCCCACAGTGCAATGGTACAACCTACTTAGTGGGGAGCTTCTTCTCGCAAATTGTCCTCCTGGACGTCTTCCTCGGGAGTACACCAGCTTACCGTTATTTCAGCGGATCTTTGACAACGTGAGAAACCCTTTCCACTTCCTATTTCCGGTCTGGTATTAATACAAATTCAATATAGCGAACCCTTACAGTGCTATCATCGAATTTGAATGGGTCAACATTCATGTCAACTGTCCAGTATGAGGGATATTCTGTAAGCTTGTTGCGCCTCCGTCGTGCGAGCGTGAAACTGACCTTGTTTACGCAGCTCCACTTCTCGATGGATGAGAGTGAACTTATCATCAAGGCACGAGCAAAGCATCAGACACTTCAGCTCATCCCGCAGCAGAAGCTAGCTGGAGACTTCCCAGAGAGTCTAGTCTCTAACATAACCATGACCTATTGCTTTTGAGCCAACACGAGGTCAACGAGCTTCTGCCTGATATCAGAATTTCAGAAAATACAAGTTTGCATGTCTATTCTCCTAAGACAAATAAAACCATGCAATCTTTTGATGATCTCACCTTCCTCAGCATCGGTGAAAGACGCAATGAATGGCATTGGCCACGTGAGATAATTCAAGACTTGGCACTCTTCTCAGGGGACCTTTACTTCGATTCATTCTTGGCATATGAAAACTTCCGGTACTTCTTGGGTCTGGTGGCAGGTTTCTGCAGCAATATACCAGAGGGCCGAATCACAAATGAAGGATTTGTTGACGAGGAAACGCGACGGCTAGTTGGCTGACCCACACAATCTCATTCCAGTGCAGCCCTTTGCCTTTTCTAAAAGCACTTTTTAACATGAGAAGCAAAGGGCATGGATTTTCCCAATCTCACATTGGTATGATTCTAGATGTTAGGGTACTGACGGCCACTCACTTTTAATTCTGAGTTTGGTGTTTAATATATGTTTCAACTTGAGACTAAAGCTCCGTCTTCCAGTTTACTTGATCGTTGTCTTTAAAAGATCTTGTCGTGATTTTGAATGTCATAGAATAATTCAGACCAGGATTTGACTTTGCTCTCTGATCATATTTGATTTTAAAGGAGAGAGTCTGCTTCCCTTCCTTGTATATGAATCCTTGGCCAAGAAAACAGACTGGCATAGATCCACCTTGACTTTTTTTTGCCGATATCCCGAGGAGCTGCTACCTTCTCCCGAGTCATACTGTGGCATGTTGCTACTATAGCATTAGCAACTCCGAGATCCCGATTGCCAAGTTCCATGGCCCCCCTCAATCACGCATTCTGGCAAGAACTAGTTGTCCGACCATCAGAACACAAGTTTTCAACGTATGCTTGTGTCATTCAGAAGTAAAAATTCCATTGAATTCGCTTGGATATTTCCGCTCATGTTAGAGAAACGTTGCCGATCGCACTCTGCCAGATTTTCCTTTCACCACCCTTCCTCAGCGCAGAGCATCTTTAGGAATAAAACAAAAT